GCCAATACTTCTCTGGGTATCAGCCACATCCTGACTTGAATTATGGAAATAGGATGAGATGGTGGGTTGGGTTAATAGTGGCAACGGTGTTATCATCCATATCTTCAGAGAATGTGTTATGATAGGGAAGCTCATCTGCTGCACCATCCTTGTTGTCATTTGTAGACTGTGCTTCTTCCATGAGTCTGATGTACACAATGCCGGCTGGTGCAATGGACTTAAGAAGAAGTTTTGCATCAACTTGTTTACCTGCCGGTATGGTATGACCAATGTCCCAGAGCAGTTTTTGACTATCTCAAATGCCATCCCATTAAGTTCACCAGTCAATAATTCTGATAACTTCAGCTTAAGTGTGTCTGAATCCCATTGACGGTCAATATCGAACCCAGATATAATTCTGCCATTTTGTTCCAGTTCCACCTTCTCAGGTTTGGTTGGTATCTTGCTACTATCCCAATTCAAGATGACCACATCCTTGGCAACAATGTCGTTTGTTGATGGTCGACCAACCCGCCTAGAACTTTGAGTTTGATTTCCTCTGGAGTAAGGGTGAGAAGTTGACGAATTGCGGGATCTACTGGTATACCTCCCAGTGGTTGGATTTCTGCTGGCTCCACTCGCATTTCTCGATGTTGTCGGAAAGCGCCTTCGAAGTTCGGTCAATTGATCTACAGCAGGTTGGTTCTGGGGTACAGTAGCAGATGCTGAAGCAGTTGTTGAAGCAGATGTTGACGTCGACGATGCTGAAGGTCCAGATCTTTCTATTAACGATGTTAGTTGGTTTATGCTTGCTATTGCCGCCTCAGCAATCGCTTTTACTTGTCGAGAAATATCTCTCTCCGCGGCCATGTTTTACACATGGCGCGCACGACCAGTGGTTCCACTCTGAAAAAAAATATTTCCTCCTTCGCCACTCAATATTTCCTCTTTTGAAACAAAATTTCCTTCTAAAAATGTTAAAATTTCCTTCTCTATTTCCTTCTGAGGTTTTATCATATACGGACTCCTAACACTAAGATTTCGGGTTTTTTCAGCCTAAAACATCAACAATTTTAATGATTTAGATTTGAATATATTCAGGAATATACAGAGAATAATATTAGCGAGCATTTGGGAAGTTATGGCGTTTCGGTATGGACAAAATTATGATATATTTAGTATAACTAAAAAATTTCAAGAATTCCCCTATCAAAGTGTAAAACTTCCCCGTTTTAAATTTAGTTTATTGGGAGAATGATTTATTAACGTAATATTTAACTTGAAAACTTGTTCATGAATCATGAGAATGTTTATCAATTTGATCATTCAAAAAGTTCATTTAAAAATTTTGTTTTTAACTCTTTGGCTTCTGTGTCAGTCGCGCTTGCCTTCATTCGAGACATGAGGGTCAAAGCATGCTTTCCTGGAGTTAAGCTAGCTGCATTATAGTTTCCGTTATTCATCCCCAGTTTGCATTGCAAAAGAGAGACGAGTGAAGCGGATTTCAAGCGTGTGCGGTCATCTGTTTTGACTCTTTTCAACATACTGAAGATTCTTTCAACCGCTGCGTTGGAAAAAGGAAACGAGGCAAGCACTTCAACACACTTGGCGAGATTAGGGTATTTTGCTTCACCAGACGGAACTTTTGCATCTTTCACACGAGACCAATACTCTTCCCATTTCAGACCTGGAGCTAGGTTATCATCAAGAGCGTGCTCCCTCCATTCAGCGTCAAGCTTCCTAACATTCAAGACTTGATCTAAATAAGGCAGCTTTTTGACAACTTCGGCTAATGATGATGGAACACGTGCTGCAGCTTTCTTAGGCGAGATGCACTGGATAATACTGTATATCTCAGAATCTAGATCGAACCGTTGTTTAACTTGCAGAATACTTTCAATAAGAAAGTTTCTGCAATTCACAAGAAAGTTTTTCACATCGACGTGGTCTTCCGGAACATGTTCTTTAATTTCGTGTAGAGTTTCTGTTGCTGCCACACCGAGGTAAACTTCTTTCAATGGTAATTGGTTTTCGACTTTAGTGGGATCAATTTCCTTTGGGTTAGTTGCCTTTACGAAGGGAATTTTCATAAAATCACTCGCAATTGACCTAATAAGACCCTCTATTTCATCTTTTAGGCAATGTAAAAGCGGCCTTTCTCCTTGAAACAAGCGATTAAAGTCATTAAATCGCTGAAGTTGATGACTCAGAAATTCTAGATATGCTAAAAACTTATTGTTAAGTGATTTCAGGATGCGTTGAATGCGTCGGATCCTCATTTGAGACAAGAACGAAATATTGCTGCAGCGCAATGTATTGCTCCAAAATACGATTGATACACGCTTCTAAAGAAAGCCATCTTGTTTGCCCAGGCGATAACAACTGGTGGGGTTCAACATTATAGAATTGTTGAAATTCTTGGTAAACATCTTGCCTTTTGGACGAGCGATGAAAGTGGGCAAAAATATCACGACATTAAACTTTTTGGCAACGTCAAAGCAGCGTGTGACGATGCCAAGTGAATTAAGTGACACGAACACTTTACCGTGACTACATTTGGGTAGTCCGTCTTCAACAACTGAGAGACCGAATTGTGTTCTCCGAACATTACGTTCGTCGTGTCGGAAGAATAGCCAATGATATTATCCATTGGAACGTGGAGTTGATTAAATGATTGTTTCACGGCGGAGTAAATTCCTTTGGCTGATCCATCGTCAACTTCAATCATGTCGAGTAAATATTTCTTTGATTCGAAACTTTCCATATCAAAGTATGTGGTTAAAATTGCTAGTTGCTTGGCGGTGCTCCGATCTGTTGTCTCGTCAATGATAAAACTAAATTTACGAGACCTTAAAGCGGTCACTGCTTCGTTCAGATAGTCAAAGCCAATCACTTGTCGAACAACGTTAGTGGCTTTTTGCTTGCCAAGCCTAACGTTTTTCAATACATTGTCTTTTGGGAACAATGATCGTAGAAAAGCGAGCAGGTCATCGGAGATGGAAAGTGGTAGATAATGTTCAGCGATAAATGAACACAACTTTATCTCCATGGTAGCGGTTTCTTCCTGAGTATTTGCTTTTTTAAGAATGCTAGAAATAGAACAGCTTGGAACTGCCCTCACATTCTTTTGATGGCTGTTAGAAGCCATGTGTCTCTTTAAGCCCGTTTTTGAGCAAGTCACCGCTTTGTCACAGATCTTGCAGAATGCAGTGGTCTTGTTGTTTGCTCCCATCTTCTTTACCAACCATTGACTAAATTCGCTGTTACTCAGCCAACTATCAACAAAGCTCTGATTTTTTTTTCTTCTTTTCTGCGAAGGCTCACCTCGGCTAGAAGCCGAAATCTGCGATGCTAATGGACGTTCTTCGTGCCATATTTGTAAATCATCGTCTAGGTCTTCCTCGTCTGACGATGAAGACATATTTTTTACACTGTAATACAATTTAAATTTAATTTTCTAGAATATTATCTGCAAAGTTAGTTTCTTTTTTAAAATTCCAAAGAAAATAAAATTTCCTTGTATTTCCTTTCCGATGATCAAATTTCCTTTCAATTTCCTTGCAAAATCTATTTCCTTCCAAATTTCCTTGCGTATGCTCAAATTTCCTTTTAGAAGGAAATTTCCTCCCAAGTGGAAACGCTGCGCACGACGTTGCGGTCGAAGAGGATCACGGTACAGTGGGTTCGAAAGAAGCAAAATCACTGGCAAAATTAATTGTTGGTTGCAGTGACAAAATTAATTCGCGATTGTGACAAAATTAATTCTTACATACATAAAATTTATTCGTGTTATTGTGCGGACAAAAATATTTTGCAGTAGTAAAAAATAACTCAAGCAATAGATAAAATTATTTCCAAACTTGTTAGAAATAATTTAGCATTGTAAAAAATAATAGCTTCACGAAGCAAAATATAATTTGAGTATGAAATAATATTTCAACACCCAAGGAATAATAATTGGTCGTCTATAAAAAATTGAATGCTGCATTTTGACCAGAACGGGCCCCCATACCATGAAGTACCGCCGGTGTGTACGTTAACACCACAGGCTCATAGATACAGGGAATGACGATCGATATCCTCTTTCTTGGATCGTAGCTTAGGGTTACGATACTTTTCCCACTAGTATCGACTATCGGCGGTATCAAGTACTTGGTATTAGCATCGGCCCAGGCAGGAATTGCTCAAAATATTTCGGAACGCTTTTATTTTAAACGCTATTCGCTAAATATATATATATATATATATTTGAATAGTGAAAACTGAAAAATAGTCGTTTAGATTTTAAAGTAAATACGGTATCGTGCACCTGTACCATGCAGGTCCAGGACAGCTCCTGAAACATGGGTCGTCATTGCTATTTTAGACGAATTTCCTGACGAAAGCCCTTAGCTCAAAACAATGAGAAGTGTTTGTGTCTATTTTAGGCAGTATTGAAACGAATCAGTTATATATGCTACACGGCAAGGCGTCCCTGACCAAGACAGCATTTCAAAAAGGCGAAAATTTGAGACTTGCATTATCCAAATTACACTCCTGTTTTGAATGACTTCGAATGTTAACTGGAGTAATTCATATCCCATTTTCACTTTTTACTTTTCAGCCTTAAAAAATATCACACAAAGTCGGTCCATACAAACCTTTTATATGTATATAGAATAAAATACCATGTATGCAAAACGTTTATTAGACAGGTTTATAATTATATATCGATGACCTGACACAAGTAAAGATGTGTTCCATGCATATTTATCGCAAAAGACATTGCTGATTTATACTAGAATTAAAGTAATTCCGAAAAATGATAGCATAATACAAATTTGTATTTCTGTTTTGTTTTTTTTTAGTTTTTTTTTAAACAGAATAAAAATTTGTATTATGTTATCATTTTTCGGAATTACTTTAATTCTATATGTGCTAAAACTATCAGCTGGTAAAGGATACATTGCTGATTCCGATTCAAGACAATGACATTCTTTCATATATGACATCAGTAATAATAACTATACTGTTTATAGTTTCCAGAGCCAAATGCAATCGAGCACGTCAATACACAGAAAAAAGAACTTCTGTTACTCCTCTACTTTTTATTAGATTCAACATTCATAATATACTAAAAACACGGCTTAATTGAGTAAATTATCAGCCGGTTTTCTTTCAGACAACACACTACAGGTGTCTCAACTATTATCAGAGTTTAAGGTAAAATTATTATCTAATTATTTGCAGCCGGGCAAACTATAGAAGATTAGTACCGGCAAGTTGGCAAAAAAAAACCTCAAAAACATTGTTTCCATCTCACTATAGTTCGATAACAATACCAGTGCATTTATGCTTTCATCACAACAAAACAAATTCTATAATTGTTGGATTATTCTGAATATTGCGAAAATTATAGTATTTTTAACAGTTTGTTAATCGTTTGTTCTGATCTGTTACTAAACCTAACGTACTGTGGTGACATCAAAATATATAAAAACTCCCAATATCTGTTAAATAAATTTTAAAAATTCTTAGATTCGAAGCCTAAAATGTTGGCCACCTAAATTCTCAAAAAAAAGTATCGAGCCACCGTACGCATTCACTTGAAGTATTTTAGTTTTCAGCCTCTCAGATTCTTCATGGTACATAGTCCAAGAACTGGATATTACCATCTGCTGGATATTGGTCCAAACAACCTGAATGTCCTGGCTTTGGACATTTCTTAAACTGTCCTGCTGAGTAGAATGAATCGCCCCCGTGATGCTCAGCATGCCGGAAATAGTTAGTGACGTAATGATTTCGTGCAAACATTCCCGGATTTCGTGGAATTGTTACCCAGGCCCCGGCCATAGGTACACGGGTAGGGAACTTGCCTTGTGATATCATATCTCCGACTTCAAGAGACTTTCGGCCGTACATAGACAGCCGCCATCTTTTCGTGGTAATATCAAATCCCCCTAAACCTCCTGAGCTAGCTCTAAAACCAAACCCTAAGCTTCTGAATCTTCCTTCAAGTTTTCTGTACGCAGAGAAATTCTTCGTGTGAAAGTGAATATCAGCATCTTTTTCCCACGGGATAACCGACGCAAACTTTACTGCACCTGGAGAAAAGAAGTTTGAATACAAGTTCCTTTTCCTCGTTTACATTTTCATGCAAGGATCCATGCAGCCAGAAGGCCAAAATATATAACCAAACAGTTTTGAACATTAACTGGGAATGAAGTGGGTAGCACAGTACCATCTCAATTTTTTATTCTTTGAACCAAGAGCTCATGCTTAAGCTCTTTATAGACGTTACAAAATGATTCATACTTCCCTACCTAAAACATTTCCGGCGGCGTATTCACACTGCATACCCCCTTTTTCACACTCTTGCATCACAACTCTCACCACTTCGCCTAAATTCCAGAGATCACATGGTGGTGCACCCATACCATTTGGCCAGCTACATCTTTTATCTTTTGTATAGCTTAGTCCACGTCTGCAACCATACCACTTCACGGTGCCGTCACTATCAAAAATTTTCTTGATATCATGCTTACCAGCAAAAGTAACCAATGCTTCATCTTTGATCTTTGGCGTGTCAATATTGAACATTACATCAGCACAAACCACTGCACGATTGCCAGCTATATTTAGACGTTTCAACCGAAAAAATAGATCGCGAAATACCCCATCTGAAAGGCTAATGAACAAAAAAGAGGAAACTCAAAATGATAAAGAAACACCATTGGTTTTACACTATCAATATTTACATAACATATCCAAGATACAGCAATTACCAGGCGAAAAGGCACAAGTTGCTCCTGGTTGATAAAAACAGGGCTGAATAAATTGTTGTGTTCTGTTTTCATTAACCGGGAACTTGTGCGATTTTTATCAGTGTAAAATTTTGTCTAAATTCCACTTGAAAAATAGGTTAGTATTACGACAGTGATTACCTCGGATCAAATTTGAGTTTCTTTAACACTTCGGTTTTTGCTGCAAACGGTCCAGGGAGATAATCACATATCGCACATTCATTCAAAGATTCAAAGTACCCAACGCTGTACTTTGCTGTCCAATAGTTTAACGAAGTTTGCCGACACCCAAGGTCCCAGTGGCCAGTTAAATTTCTGTAACTACCACCTGCGACCGCAATGTTGCCATTATTGCTCAAAACTCGTACCAATCGATGCAAATCAATATCATCATCAAAGTGGGTCAAATAAGGCGCTATCAATACATACGGTGTTTTTACTTCATCAAGCAACTTTGACCATACGTCCCCTTTTTTTCCTGAAATAACCACGTTCTTAAATGATATTTTTAATTTTGAAATCTCCTGTTGAACAGCGCTTGGCAATGTTACACCAGTTGCCATTACTACCGTGATCTCTGGATAGTACTTTGCAATACTTTGCATAATTTCTAAATAATTCATTGCAGGCTTGCTGAATTCACTTGGCAAATATATCAAGAGGGTAATAAGTTGGTGTATTGGTACAAATTCATTGCAATTTGTGTGAGAATTTCTCAAATGATAATATGGTGCACTGTCGATGAAGTCCTTACTCTCGAACTTCTCTGGGCAAACTTCCTGGTTTTTCGACACTTTTTCATCTTGTAGAATTTCAAGCATTTTGTTCAGCATTTTAACCTGGTTACCCAAAGTTTTAAAATGTTTGGATGACGTATAGAGAATACGTTGTAATTCCATGATGCCGTTGGAAAGTGATCGTAATTTTACGCTGAGAACTTGCTTGTCTGTCTTTGATGTCGGTTTGCATGTCAAAATGGGAAGAGGAGTTGTCTCAATAGTGATCTGGTCAACATATTTTTTCATTGAGAATATAACCACCGCAGCACATGCTATGAAAAGTAAACCCAGATGCACCCGTCTTGTTTGAAAAGTACTCCCTTTCATTTCTAATCTGCAAAGACGAGAGTATTGAAAAGGTGAAGAATGTAGGCGTATTGACACCACTCAGCCACATATGTCAAAATGCAGTAGTAATCCTGGAAGCATATACACCTCCAGTTCATTCTAAGGTTGTGCAAGTGAGATTTAGTGTGTTTTGGGGTACGATTTCTTGCAGTTTTGAAAATAATTTGTTGCATAAAAATATTTTTTATGTATATTACTCTTCTAAAACTTCCATATCATTCATTAGGATTCTACAACATTAATCTCAGAAGGTAGCTATGTCACTGTTAAAAAATCAATCTGGTGCCTAAAAATTTGGTAGTGTAAAGTAAACTTTGTGAAATAAGCGCTTTACTCTATTTCAATCATATTCAGACAGGAAAAACAGTTCATTTAGAAATAACTTCTATCAATAAGAGTCTGAAAAATTTCAAAGTCAGAGACACTTTCGGCTAAAGGCACTTTCTGTTAGTTGCCCTTTAGAAAAGGGATGTGCATGCCACCATTGTTGCATTTGTTGGTGCCAAGCGGATGCTTTGCCTCCAGTCTCTAGATTATCACAAATAACCCTTTTATCTAAAGTTTTTTATCTACCTATTTAAGATGAGCATGATATGACTTGCAGCAATTTATTCCTAAAAATTGAACATGCAAAGCTTGATGAATACTAACCCATTTTTAAATGGGTTGTTTAGCTTTGAAACAAGTATTTCTGAACTGCATAAATGTTTATTATAAGCTCTTTCATTGTACCAATAGAATATTTTCTCTTATAGGACTTATAATAAGGAGTTATCCATCATCCTTTGCTTGTTCAATGTTCAAGGTTTAAAGGGTAAAATGGAAGTCACTTCAAGTGTTCTGAATTACAATAAACTTTCTTGAAAAATGCACAAACTTTCCAGTCTGGAAAAAAAATATATTGCCTTTGTATTAAATTAAATAGGTTGATTAGGTTCTAAATTTACAATTTACATTTTGTCTTTCACTCCTTCTTCAGGCTTGGTACTAAGTTTGTTGATGCATGTAAATATGCCAATGATTTTGTATGCTAATGTTGGTTCAAATCTTCCTGGTTCCCCCACCTCAGGCAACCTTCAGGATTTTTTTGCTCTGACTAAACAGAAATTTCAAATTCCCTATCCCACCGGCCACCACTCAATTTAAAACTGGATATGATAGCAAAACTGAACTGTACATAATTAAGGAGAGGTAGAAGTTATATCAAAAGGACTTAAAAGTGGGTCAAAAAGCAGCCAAAAACACTGAGACTACAATTAAAAGGATTGTAACAACTGTGCACAACATGGGCAGCACAATGTTATTATTCAGTCTAGTCTATATCAATATTGCAAGAATGTGATAGCTTTTTGCCAGGTAGTTCATTTGAATTGAGTGCTTCAAGTCAAAATACATCTGCATGAATAATAGTATTTCATAAAATAAAATAAACTAAATATATATATACTACAGTATATATAGCATGCACAGCATAATTAAGTCAATTTATATTTTAATATTTTATACGTGGCGATTTCGTCCTGCATCGCTGCATGTCTGCGTCGCGGATTTTGAAGTAGAATCGATTACAAAATTATTTGGACAAACACGTATTTTAAAGATCCCACGATGGTCAATTTGCGGAGCGAAATCTATAATTTCGACGACGGTCCTAAGATGTTTTTTTACAGTACACAACCTCCAAAAATGTGGCTTTTTATTGTTTTATATGAATTTATATTTAGTTTTCAATATTTTCTTGCACAGAAACTTACCGCCCAAGTTCAGCCCAAAGACATTAACACATATACGAAGTACTTGGTCAATATTATAAATAGAAGACCCAAATACTACGAAAGTTTCGTCCTTCGCGTTTCAAGAACGCCAGAGTCGCCAAAAGAGTAATTACAAACAATGCTCTCATCACAACCAAATTTCCTTAGGAAAAGGGCGAAAATTCCTTATATTTCAATAAAATTCCTTAAACTCGTAAAATTACAACCATGCCTGGACGTTATAAGTTTTTTTTGTTGTATTTTTTGATTGAAAAAATTGATCACAATTTATTTTTACCCATTTTAGACCTTTGTAGAATTACTCAGAAATTCTTTAAAAAATTCTTCAAAAACCTAAATTCTTTAAAAAGATCCTCAAAACTTTTCAGAATTCCTATTTCTAAGGAATTATTCTTAAAAGTGAGAACTCATAATTACAAAACAATAATTTAAAAAAATAGGTACGTTGGCGTACATGTGGGTAGCCTTTCTTTAAAATGAGAGAACCAAGCTTTTCACAAGCTCAGGACAACAATAAATAAATTTAATTTACACTTTACCATACAAAGTCCATCGCAATTATCGCTACTCTGATTTCATTAATGAAAGTAATCATCACACAAAGATTAAATTCACGACACAACGTTTTTTGGGACCCTGCTTTTTCCAGAAGAATGGTAAGGAATCATCTTGTTACCGGTATTGGAATAAAATCCAAAAGGAAATTAAATTGGTCAAGATGCATTATTATACACATAAAGTGGCAGAGTTAAGTCAGACTAACCCTCGAAAATGGTGGAATTAGATAAAAAAGCTTATGGGACAAGATATCCAGAAAATTAAGTATAACTGAGAACTTTTCAACGTTATCCCCATCATTACCTTCTTGCTCAACTCAGCACGTGCCAAATCGAGTGCTAAAAGAATTTGCTGCCGAACTTACACTGGTTATAAAGGAAATATATCAGTCGATCAGGGAAGGACATATGCCTGAATTATTAAAATGTTCGCCCATAACGCCTATCCCAAAGGTGAATCCACCACAAGCAATTGAAGATGACCTACGTCCAATATGATTAACATGTAATTTGGCAAAATTATGGAGGAGGTTTTTTTTCCTAAGAGACTTTTAGTATAACTTGCAGGAAAAATCTGCTGTTTAATAATATAAGTAAATGCAGAACTTTAAAATCTGAAACATTTTTTACCTTTAAATATTTTTAATGCCTTCTCTATATACCTACAAATAGACTTATAGATTTTAGATAACAGGAACATATTTTTAACTAATTCTTATTGCACTTTTCTACAATATCAGTGTATATTTTAGTATAATCTTACAATAATTTAGCTAGACTCGTTAATTCAATGTGACTACTGCTACGTTTCGAACTTAGATAGTTCAATGAAAATCAGCCTTGGCGGAACATGTGTGTCAAACAAACGATAACATTGCGTGGAACGATTCTAAAGACATAACCACTAACGATCGTTATTGACAAAGGCGTCGTTTGGAAGCGTGGCGGATGACGGAAGCCATTTGCCAAAAGAATATTTACATCTAACACCTCGGGCCGGTTGTATCAAGCTCGTTTAGCTTAAACGGTTTTTAAGCTCAAAATAGAAGCAAGTCTATCGTTTTATTCAACAAGCAAACTAAATGTTTTCAACCTTAATACAACGATTACTGTTTACAACTACATATTCAGTGCATAATATTCAAGTTAACTCATTCAAGAGGGATGTAAGGGTGTTATTTTAATTTTGACTTATCCACCGTTTAAGCTAAACGGGCTTGATACAACCGGCCCTGATTGATAGATGACGTTATGTTGAGAGTGAAAACACTAGACCGGGGTGTCGAAACGTTGGGTCGTGAATGTAATTTTTGTGGCGCGGAAGGAGCATGGGTCTACGATGATAATGGAAGATTCTCAAAGGTATTTGCCAGCACTCAATTACTAAAGCCACTAACACTAAAACACTGGTAAAGGGTTTCCATGCAGGAGCGAAAATCAACGACCTAAAGCACTATTATATCCCAGCTCTCGCTACTAATCCGAAACTGGCGAAACACATACTTATACACTGTATGCAGGACTATTAATGATTTACGTATTAGAAATTCAGAAGAAATAACAACGAAAATGGGGTAGTTCTGGGACCTTATCACAGATGAACAGATAAATGATGAATTTTGCTCCGATGAATTAATCTTTTGCCTAAGAAAAACGAAGATTCAATTTTAACATTATAATCCTAATAATTATAACAGTCCAGGCAATAGAAGCGTAAAATATCAAGCAACTCATTTGCTCCATTTTATCAGTTGGTTTACGGAGTTTATCATATATTTTAAAAACCCCTAACTTCCGGTTTGGAATTGACCAATAATATGCGTCTCTTTATTTTATTATCCAATAGGATTAGACATTGGTCGATTCGAAAGCGGAGGTTAGGAGTTTTTCAAGGAGTTTTTCAAGTATTTGATGAACTCCGTAAGCCAAACTAATAAATTTGAGCAAATGAATTGCTCGATATTTTTCGGAACGCTTCTATTGCCGCGACTGTAACAGTAAACAAAAAACAAATATTAAATACTAGGCAATATTGCAGTTATGGTACGTTGTCTAAAAATTGTACATTGCCACCAATCGGATATTGATCCAAACATGCTGAATGTTCTGGGTCTGGGCATCTTGCAGGAGCGTTGGGTGGATAGTACGACTTCTTCCCATGATACTCTGAACTACTGAAATACTGAGCGAGAAATTGTCCTCGTGCCAACCTCCCAGGGTTACGCGGAACTGTCACCCAGGCCTCACTTATGCGAACTCTAGTTGGTAGTTGATTCTGCTGTAACATTTGACCGACTTCGAGTGATTCACGAGCATACATATTAATTTGCCAGTTTTTAGTTGATATTGTAAAACCCATTGTTCCAGATTTACTCGACTGGAATGCAAAACCAGCGTTCTCGAACTTTGGGCGAAGTTTGTCGAAGGTTTCGAAGTCCTTGGTTTGGAAATAAATGACGGCATTATTGCTCCAAGCATACGTAGAACCAAAGTGCACGGCACCTAAAATACAGACAGTTTTAATAGACAATTTTAACCTATCATGTGATTAGCCAATTGAATGACTATGCATGGGGTGTTATATAAAGAAAGATAACCACTTTTTACCTACGATATCCCCAGCAGTATATTCACATCCTATTTTTACATCATCACAAGCTTGCATTATAAATTTTACCACGTCACCTAAAATAGGAAGACAAAACATGATGATACGCCATATTCATAAATATCGTAACCATATGCCGATAGCGTAGACGACCTCACGAATTAGTCCCGCTTAGTTAATATTACGATTATTATTATTTTTTGGGTCCATTTATTATTATTATTATTGGTGCCCATTAACTGTGAAAACAATAAATTTTCCTTGAGAATTGAACAATTATAATAACGTGAAATTTGCATAGAGGAACTAAATTGTCAGACTGGCTACGCTACTGATAATATTAGATACCTAAATTCCATAGATCACATGGTGGTACACCAATACCATTCCTCCATGAACACCCAATCTTGTTGGTATAGTTCAGACCACGTCTACAACCAAACCATTTCACGGTGCCATCGCTGGTAATAATCTTCTTGATGTTATGCTTGTTAGCCAAGCCTACCAATGCTTCATTGGGCACGGATTGTGTATCCATATTGAACATTACATCGGCACAAACAACAGCAAGGTTCTGTTGCTTTTTAAATCTCCAAAAGAGGTCTTGAAACAGTCCTTCTGAAAGACTACATTTAAAATAAAGAACATTGTAGTTTTTAAGGATATATACAGTCCTTGGACACAAAAAAGGGAAAAATCAAATACAGTAGTTGCCGCAAAAGCATGTGAGCCAATTTTCTCATGCACAAAAAGAGATGACGTCGCTGTGAAGCTTTAAAGGACAGTCGTTTAGCTCTCGAAATAAATTATGTTCAGCGAAATCCGAAAGCGGCTGTACCTAATCTTTACTATTTTTTTATAGAGACAAAATTTGATTAGATCCAATTTCAGGGCCGTATATCTAGCCTAAAGGCCCATTCAGTACACTATGCGATGTGTCGTAGGCCCGTTTCCACGCAGCCGGATACGAGTTGACTCAACCAACTAGCTATAACTGAGTACGCACATTACAATAATCTTTGCTACAGTTAGTTAGGTTGAAACGAATACTCCCAACTAACTAAAACACTTATATCTTACACTTATATCCAACTACGTGGAAACGGGACCTTACGATACGATAAACGATTCTAACCATGGTGTATGTGAACGCGTAAACACAAAATATAACATTTCAAAATCCGATGTTGAACAAAATGAGAAGGATTATGGCAATGGCCTTCTTTTTCATTCGTTAGAATGATAATTGCATAAAACTAATCGTACAGTCAAAATAGGCCTTAATTAGCATCTCAGGATGACGTTTTTGGCGTACTTTCAATTTTCTCGGCAAATGGGTTTAAAAAATTATAACAACATGTTAAGCGATTTTTTAGAATCAACAGAAGATTTAAACTTGTATTATAAGTATGCATTGTATAATAGCAAGTTTTCATGTTCAGCTTTGCGCAGATAGTAATCGGAAAAAAAGTTCAGTCGCAATGTGCAGTACTGTACACAGTACCTGGCATCAATCTTGAGTGATCGCAACCATTCTGTTTTAGCTGCAAATGGTCCTGGGAGATAATCGCATACCACACATTCATTAAAGGACCTATAATATCCAGCAGTGTACTTAGCCGTCCAGTAGTTGAAGGATAACTGTCGACAACCAAGGTCCCAGTGTCCAGTTAAATTCCGATAACTTCCTCCTGCCACCGATACATCATCACGATAGCTTAAAACTCGCACCAATCGATACAAATCAATATCATCATCAAAGTGGGTTAGATAAGGTGCTATTAATACATATGGTGTTGACACTTGCTCAAGTAATTTTGCCCAAAAGCTTCCTTTATTTCCTTTGATCATTTCATTTTTGAACTTTATTTTCAGACTGGATATTTTTTCTATGGTCTCCTTATTCAACTCTTTCTCAGTTGCTAAAATAACTTGCACTTGAGGGTAGTCATTGGAGATTGTTGTCATCATGCTAAGGTAACTCATAGCAGGTTTAGGATGTTCATGAGGGACGTACATTAGTAGGGTTAAAAGTTCATTTATAGGGACAAAGGTGTCACATTTGACACGAGCATAGCCTAAACGATAATATGGTTTACCATAACCCAAATCTTTTCCAGCAAACTTTTCAGGGCAAACCTCTTGCCTTTTTGTATTAGTAACTGGCTTTTGTGCTGGTGGACTGGGCCTACTGATCACATTCTGACCAATCAACTTTAATACATCATTTACTTGATTAAATTGAAAACCTAATAAGTAAGAGTTAAGTCCTGTTGCATCAAAGTCATTTTGTACATCCAGAATGTTCCTGGCAACGCTTTGCAACGTATTTCCCAATGCAACATCAAATGAGACGCAAGTTGTGTTTGGTTCCACAAATTGAGGACTTGGAGCTCTTATCTTAAACTGGGAGTTGGCCTTGTATCGGGTATGCCATTCTCTGACCACAAGTAGGAACACTGCTACCATTGCAGCAATCCCAATATATCGAGCGTTTACCCTCATTTCAAACCAGGCCTGAACTTAAATCTAAAAAAGAAATGAATTTTTTCATATGTAAAGAAAGAACACAATACTAGAATGCCAGAGCTGGCTGTATGACCTCGCCATGACACTGACCTCGCGTGCATGTATAAACGGAACCCATTTTATTTGTATTCTCTACTGTCAAAGTATTGAAATCTGTAGTGATACCCCTCACTTTGGCTACGGAAGTCGGCTGTCACAAAGGATTTGAATTGGTGGGATAAGAGATAATTTCCAGGGTGCATTGCAACATCATATCTATAGAACAAGAAATTGCCATCCCCAACTTACAAGATAGAAGTATTCAATTAAGTTTATTAAGTGTTCAATCTCTTGCTAAATTAGTAAACGCTGTGCTGCTGAGAGAGACTTCTCTACGGTGTGGCATAACTAGATCGATAATTTTTAGTGGGAGGGAGGGAGAGGTGTATTTATTTGCTTTATTCATATATTCAGTTCTGCATGACGGATTTCTAATCTGAATATATGAATATATAACCCCATTTATCGTTCTAGTCAGGCCACTGTTAAAAAAAGTATCTCTCAGTTGCACAGTGAGTACTAAATGAGGCAACAGAGGCCTCTATCTCTGCGAGCACTTCTATCTTGCAAGTTAGGAATGGAATTTCCTGGTCTATAGATATGATGTTGCAAGCCAACTTTTGCTGTTGGTCTTTCACTGTGCCAACAAGGTGAGATTTCACACCAATCCCCACTATTTTCAAACCAAAAATGGTATGTGATCACATACACATATTCATATATTCATGTTTACGTATCATGGGAAGAATAGCTTACAAAGGAAATCAGTCAGGCATAAGATGAAAATAAGAATAACAACCACCCCCACTCTTCTCCCAAAAAGCTTTTAGTTATTTGTGCTTTTATAATAATATTGTAATGAGTGATGATATCTTCATGTGTGCAATAAAGCCCGCCACTTTTATGATTTTGTTATTCAGTGATAACCATGCAGGCCTTGAACTGATGCATGTAGTAACTAACAAAGCATATGCACTGTTATGAACATTCTAAAATATATACAAAAATACCATATTGATGATATTGTCTATAACCAATAATATTCATCATCATAAAATTTGTTTATTTTGCTTGCAATAGTTGTGGACAAAGTTTGAGGAAAAAGGAGTGTGGGGAAAGCTCACGTTTGCACCAAATCCGCTATAATTTTGCCTTTAACTTTCCCATAAAAAATTGGTGTTGTATTTACTAGTTAACCAAGCTCAAAAGTTTCATGTAATAAATTTCATCTCTAGGAAGCAAACAAACTCTGTTGCTTCCATGTAAATTAATTAAACAGCTAAAATAAGTGATATGCGATTAAAATATTGATGTGCGGTTAAATATTCCACAGCTCACATTCGCATATTTGCTTTTACAATTTAATCCAACTACAACACTAAAATATTCGTGTTACTTTATTCGTGTTACTTTAAATATTTGTGTTACTGAACACTAGTATCTCACAATAACACCTTTCCCTGCTGGAAATATTTAACAATTATTAGCTGATATTCCCCGATAATCACCGAGCCTAAGGCGAATAATTGTTTTAGTATTTTTGCGCAAGTGAGTAATTTGACAAAAGAACTGCATTTGTTCGCTTATCTCTTAGTAAGAAACGTCCACAAAACGACTAGCCGCCATTTTGCAATTTCGGTTTTGCTTTATTCATCTGAAGGTGAGTATAACTGCATAATACGTCAAATTTGACCAAACGATATGTAGGATTTGTTATATTCACTTGTGCTAAAATACTAAATGCTCATTGCTTCGAAGACGAATAAACTGACGTATTCTTACGACAAATCTACAAGCACTGATGCACGGCGTCATTGTTCAACCATGCACAAGAGAATACCTAGCTAGAACTAGAAGATGCGAACTTACCTCAACTGACTTCGCCAGCTGGCGATAAAAACCTGTATCGATGCTGAAAAGTTGTTACAAAAAGAGAAGCTCGGCGTGTTACTATAGTAAAATAAAATCTACAACGACAACAATGTTTCGTACAATGAATGCGATAATAAGTTGCCCAGGCAGCCCAGCCGATGTTCTGACTTGTGATTGGCCAATGGCCAATTTACTCACTACTATATTTAAAATTGTGCTCGCTGCTTGTGTCAAAGAGGAAATATATTTATAGAGAATAATACATGGATGCTTGGAACATGGAATTTATTTCGAGTGTTGAGAATGATATCGAACGAGTGAGCGCAGCGAACGGGTGAGATATCTTTCTCAACACGAGAAATATACTCAGCTGCCCCCCCTTACCCTTTGCTTTTCGGGGTTAACGGGGGCAGTCCTGTGCCCTTTGCTACCACATAAAAGTATCGTAATAATATTGGTAATTATCGCTAATATTATTGAAAATGCGTACTCCCGTGGATTTGCAAGTTCGCATGTACTTGTAAAATTTGAGTTTCCTCTTCGTGTGGTTGCTAAAATGAATGTGCCCTTTTCTAAAACTCTGCCCACGCCGCCCTAAACTGCTTCCGGCGCCCCTGATACGAGATTTAACAGTGCAATATCTCTTTATTGACTCCCACCTCCCCCCTCCCCTCGGGACGCAGCTAACAGTCACGTGAACGAGAAGAACGTTCAGCCAAACGACAAAAGATAACGTCATCAAATATGACGCTTTATTATATGACTAGAATAGTTCATCGGTCTATCAACTAAAATCAAGCATTCTGATTGGTTCCTGAGCGGTCGGTAACCAACAGTACGGACCGGACAGGGTTTCTCTTAATCGTTTTTAGTCATACAGGGTGAGTCAAAAAAAGTGACACCTTTGAAATTCAAATTAGCCGCATAGCGGCTGTAATGTGACCGAAGTTGCCTAAAATATTTCATGGGTATACGAAGCATATCATATTAATTAACCTAAAACATAAAGTTTGTTCCCATTGGGAGTTAAAATGCATTCTAAGCTCTGTAAATACAAAAGAATAGTTTTATCAAATCGTTTTTGTTGATTGTACATGGGAATTGTCATATTCCAGTCATAAGTTCGCAGCTAATTTGAATTTCAAAGGTGTCACTTTTTTTTGACTCACCCTGTATAATAAATAGTTTATTGACTGAGCTTGTTCGGTCCGTACAGGAGGATACTGGTCTCGTTCTTTTTTTCGCTTGAATGGACCTCGCCTAAAGGCTCGATATTTTGTGTGGAATTTATATAATATAATATTTCTGTAAATTGTGTCCCGGTTTCGTTTTTATATTGTTCGACTTTAAAACCATGCCTTTATGCTGAGTACATTTAAAACTAAAATTTACAAGCATATTTTTAATCGTCGGCGAATGGTTATTAAATATATTATAGGTTGATATTTTATTCCAAAATCTCCATCAATACGCTTCGTATTTCCAAGCATTCGGTAATTTCAGAAGGTTTTGTTTCTGAAAATCAGTGCCCAAGCAATGTGGCAACGTTGAATCAAAGCTATATATTTATTTTACGTAAAATAAAGTCATTATTGGCTGAACACTCCCGGCCTGACAGCTCAACATTGCTTCTGATTGGGCGAGCATAGTAATTTGAATAATATGATTAATTCTTTCCTTTCATTTCTGATGTCCAGGCTCAGGAGGAGAGAATTAATCATATTATTTAAATTACTATGAACATCCAATCAGAAGCGTTGTTAAGCTGTCAGGCCGGGAGTATTCATCCAATAGGATTACTTTATTTTGCAGACACGAGGAGCGGGTGAAATGAATATGTGTTTTTGATTCCAGTTTGAGACATCACTTCAACCACAGATTAATCTGTGCTTCAACGCTGGTCTTCGAAGAATAAAGATGAGTCTCCTCCATGCCAAGAAAATTTCAACAGAAATTCAGTTGCTATCAGATTGCTATCGTCTTCAGCAGAAGAGAAGTTTAATTGAAGTTTACTATCTCTGACAGACTGTCGTTGGTGTTATACCAGGTAATATGCCTTTCCCTTTGCGTGTTTTATCAGCTTGTTTCATCGTGAGCTTTTGGGCTGAGGTTCCACGTGTCTTTAGTTCACGTCTTGTAATGCCTCTCTCGTAGTGTTCCTGTGGTGTTCAGCTTTAAATACAAACTTGTATAACAATAACGTTGCTTTTTATTCTTTTTGTGCAGAATTTTGACAAATGAAAGCGAAGTTAAACGATGAAATTTGTGAACAAGAGATTGACGACCGATGAATTGTGGCTGAACTGGCTCAAGATAACTCGCCTTTGAAGAGAAAGCAAGTCTAGGCTTTTTCTGGGGGATATTGATGATATGAGAAAGGTAATATACGTCAAATCTTACCGTTGAGCCGCTAATCTTCCCTCTAACCACACGTAAATTACGTTTGAATTGAGTTCTAAAGATCTAAGCAGTGAACTAATGGCCGGTGCCTTTTATTCTTCCAGGTGGAGTTTGAGAGCTTAAAACCAAACTGAATGAAGTGAAGTGGGCAAAAAGTCCGTTACCGTAACAGAAATTGCCTAAGACGACTCGCATTTGACTCAAGATAACTCGCCTTTGAGGAGAAAGCACGTCTACGCACTTTCTTGGGACCTGTTAATGATATGAGAAAGGTAATGTACGCTAAATATTGTGTGAGCCGCTAACCTTTGCTCCAATCGCAAGCAACTATACCTTTGAATTGAGTTATAAAGACCAAACCAGTTAATTAACATTGCCTTTTATTCTTCCAGGTGGAGCTTAAAAGCTAAAACCAAACCGAATATAGAAGTGAGCTGGACAGGAAAACCCATAGCTGAAATTCCGCGAGATGACCCGCATTTAAAGAGACAGCAAGTCCAAAGCTGCTCTTCAGCGCTTGTTTCTGGAATAAACAGGTAATTTTGGGTCTATTTTATTCAAAATAGGATGGGAAAACTTGAAACGCTTCATCAGGCATCATGCGTTTTTTCAACTGAATAATCACCGCACGTTTTCTCCCGATATTTGAGCTCCCTTCATCGAAGGTAAATCCTTGAAATCGCTGTCTATAACAAGCATTACTTTGGTTTTATTGCAGGTAGCGATTTAGCGGGTCAAGCCATTTGAAACGACGACAAAACCTGTTCATAATAAAACGTGAGTATTTAAAGAAATCGAACATTTTTAGATAAATCGAACAATGGGGAGTTTATGATCTGGTCAAAAACGACAACGGCCGCATGATAATTGATATGAATATTAATAATAGCAAAAAAGGAAATATTTGAAATCCCAGAGGGGTTTTATAGATGTTGTTGTTTTTACAATCCCGATTTTACGCGTGTTTCTCAATAAAGAATATAGTTTGCTCATTTCTGTAATCTTATTTCAGGTTGATGAGTAATACCCAAATCCACGCCTATAATGTAGGCCAACTCGACGGCAAATCTACGCCTAATGTAGGCAACTTCGACGGCAAATCTACGCCTAATGTAGGCAACCTCGACGGCAAATCTACGCCTAATGTAGGCAACCTCGACGGCAAATCTACGCCTAATGTAGGCAACCTCGACGGCAAATCTACGCCTAACGTAGGCAACCTCGACGGCAAATCTACGCCTAATGTAGGCAACTTCGACGGCAAATTTACGCCTAATGTAGGCAACCTCGACGGCAAATCTACGCCTAATGTAGGCAACTTCTACGGCAAATCTACGCCTAATGTAGGCAACTTCGACGGCAAATCTACGCCTAATGTAGGCAACCTCGACGGCAAATCTACGCCTAATGTAGGCAACCTCGACGGCAAATCTACGCCTAATGTAGGCAACCTCGACGGCAAATCTACGCCTAATGTAGGCCAACTCGACGTTTAATATATGCCAAATCGACGCCAAAAAGCAACGTTCAGCGATGCCCGGGCATCGTTACAGGTTAGAGTAGCCTGGTGGTCAAAAAATGTGCATGCAGGGGTTAGTCTGTGCATGATTAACTTAACGAAGTTAACTAATTTAGTTAACGAACTTAAGTTAAATAAAGTTTTACGTTCAGTTAACTAAGTTCTGGCCACCAGGAACATAGCTAATGCATGATGCATGTGAGCAAACGTTTCTTAAATTCGGTTAAATATTTGAATCGGTTTTGCGGGCTTAGGACTGCTGCTTAGGGCTGCGCTAAGGTTTAGGTTGATAAATTGCTTGTTAAAACTAAAAACATATAATTTATCATGTTATATGCATATTTCACATAAGAATGGCTAAAAGCCATGCACACTACACAAACCATAGCCACAAATGGCAGACATAATCCCATAGGTTCTTTCTTCTACTTCTTATTTCTATCTTGTCCTGATTGAAATCATCTTCGGCTCTTGAAATCCGGTCAATTGCGGCTTTCGGAATTAACATTGTAAAATGATAACTATAGCGTCACTATTCGGTCTGGTTGTAAAATTATTTGTATATGTAAATACGTTTTTGATTTCTCTGCAAACATTGTAAATATACGATTATATCTTGCCTTACTATATTTTGTAACTGAACATATAATATTGTGTATGTATTTATGAAAAAACATGATTTATATCAAAATAGGAACAGATACAAAACATCATGCATGATCTTGTAGCGGCACATAAAATAGACACGCACACGAGTAAATACATTAATGCAATAAACCATGGCCTATATAATGGCTTCTAGTTTATATCTCTCTTATCTCTTGCATTAATTCACTTAAGGCTACAGACTACAGTTAATATTCAAGCCAGAAACATTGATTTTACGGCATGTCTTATACTGTCTTGCTATTCTGAAATACATGCATGAATTTATGCAATCAAAGTTAACACACACATGCTCTCAATTAATGAATTTGAATTTACTTGAAGAAAATAAGGAATGGGTGGGGGGGGTGCATGCAGTTATCTTGAAACGATATATGCCTTATTTCTACTATAGTTATAGAAACCAATTACGAGACAAACATTGGCAGTGGCATTGTAACTTTATTATTTTTCCAAGGTCTCTGTGAGATTTCCAATCATTTAGCTTCGTCGAGCAGTGCTTATGAAAAGTAAGGCGCCACTTTTTGTCTGTACTGTTTGATTTTGCTATGTGGTTCGAAGTGTTAGCAGGTATCTTGGGATATCTAATAACGTTGCAGTGTTATTTTCATTGCTGTTTCTATAAGAGCAGCTTGCTTTGGCTATATGCCTTGGCTTTGAAAGTATTAGTCCAGTTTCTCTGAAAAAAATTGTACTCTTGGTGCTGTTTCTATAAGGGCAGCTTGCTTTGGGAATATCCCTTGCATGGTTCAAAAAATGTTGACCCGAATTTTTTCAAAAAAAAAATTACACTTGATGCTGCACTTGGTTTCGACAGTTTGTTGCTTTGTCTATATGCTTCAGCCTCAAAAATATAAAGTCAATTTCTTGTGGTAGCTATTTTTTATTAAAACTTGTTTCTACAAGGGCAGCATGCTCTGGCTATATGCCTCAGCTCTAAAATGTGCAATGAAGTTTTCAAGGACAATTGTGTATACCTTCATGCTGTTTCTATAAGGGCTCATGAAATATCTTCAATTTGACTCGATCCTTGAAATATATATGCACAGTTTGACATCTCAAAACGAAACTATTAGGAACACTGCCTATGATTTGTCAGCAGAATAATTACAGTTTTTGGACGAACGTAACTTGAATCTAAGTGCTCTGAACTCAGGCATTTTTATGTATTAATATATTAGGTATCAATCTCATACGCTTTATTCAGCTCTGTACCAGAGTTAGTAGGTTAAGCCTAATAGAACAAAAAAATACACGATAACTTAGAAACACTTACATAAATGCATGTTTTACTGATCAGTCTTGAAACACAATAGCACACTGTAAAAAGCAAGCACAATTTATACTAAAGTATGCCAAACATTTAACCTGCACTGTTCTATAAATTCAAATGTCAATATCTTAAACGCACCTACTTTGTAACCGGTTTTAGATATAATAGTTTAATGTCTTCGTATATTAATGATGTACTATGTAAAGAAAACACACACGCTTTGTAATACATGTTTAGTGAAATATTAATAAAAATAGGACCAAAATTTTCCGACTCCTCTCTCTTGATTTCAATAGCTTTAACCAACACACACTTTGTTGCAATACATGATTTTGTTTTAATAAAATCTCAAACTTGTGTACTTTGTGTTTAATTCCGGCTTTCGGTGAGGGTTTTTCTCCAGGCACTCTGGTTTCCCTCGTAAAAAACAGTGTCCGTGTGTTCGGGACCGTGTTTACGGTTGGTTTTCCATACGAAAATTGAACTTTTCACGAGTAAAATTGCATGAAAGCTAAACATTTCTGTTGACAATTTATATCCGCATAATTGGTATATGTCTCGTTATGCTCGATAAAAAGTTTAGAATATTTTCGCAACCCAGTACACTTTAATGTCTGACGTGAACTCCTTCAGAAACATAATGGTGTAGTGGAAGCTGACTTGTACACACGGTTACTGGGTTTAATTCCCGGAACACTGTTCTTTGTCGCGATGAACTTCATGTTCTTCAATTAAAGCAGGATTAAAGCATGCAAAGCTTCGTCTTTAGACTGTAATTTCACTTGACGAATTGTTGATGAGCGCTTTACTGATTTTGAAAGACGTGATACAGCCAAATGGAAATGCAATACTTCCTCATCTTGGTGCTTATAAAAGAACGACCACATTCGCCAGATACGTGACTTAAAACGTGGAATAAGTGTTCAAGACTTCAAGATGTTCTTTTAATATCACCACCTCATCCGTATCATTTGGGTAATCCTCAAGATTAAGACGAGATAGTTGAATATCAGTGAGAACGAAGAGACAATCCGATTGGCTATAAAGTGATGCTGAAGATTCCTTAGCGACAAAATGATGCGAGCTTGTTAAATCCTTACCTTACCTCCTGCACTTACTGTGAAGGTGCTTCCTTTTAGAACCAGCGCATGATGCACTGAGATTACATTTTAACTTTATTAAATAAATATTCTTTTTAGTCCGTTTTGTCACATCAAATTTTGTCTTTATTTATGTTGTCAACTATGACTGCAGGAAAACTGCACGGTAATTGTGATTATTTAAACTGATGATATTTATACTGGTATATGGCACCTTATTTTCTTACGTTCACGATCTCTGTTGCTGTCATGCTAGTCTTCCTCGACGAAATCTGACAAGCATCCCAAGTTAATTCTGAAGATGATATTATATGAATGTAATGTCATTGTTTCAGCAGTGATGTGCCCTACGGGAATCGCAGTGCATGTGTTTAATGTTTTTGTGCATGAGGTTTAACGGTTTCTCTGGTTCCTCTTGACTCAAGATTTTCAAATAATCCCTCTGCAATTGACTGTATTGTTGTAATAGAATAGACAAAGAGGCCAAATTTTAAAAAAGCTTGAGGCGAATATTTGTTATCAACTACTTGTAAACTATTCTTTCAAAGACAAAGGCTTTGCTTTGCTGTTGTTTTCTTTGATTTGGGTGTCCTAAGGGAATGTTCTTGTCGGGTAGATTTAAAGACGCTGTCCACAAAAGGTAAAAGAAATCCAGAGATCCCCACTTCTGATACAGGCTGTTGCTGGAGTCTAGGAATACTCTCGGTCGGCCTGTACGTCTTCCATCCATGGAATATACTTGGCTGAGAGCAATACATTGTGACTGAGACACCAGCCTAAAGATTCTTGGCTAGTTGAGACGAAGGCGAGAGTGTGTGCCCCCCATTTTGTTTATACATAAGCCATTAGCAGGAGTACCTGTGCTGATGCCCTGGATTTCGTAAAACATTTGACTGCTAAGGATCTTACTAGGAGCTCTAGCTTCAGTTTATGTGAAGAGTGCTTTCTTGTAGCGACCATCTCCCTCCTGTTGACACTCCTTGGCAATGGGCCCCCCTCCCCTGGAGGGATGCATCGGTTTTCGATGTCAGTCATTTGATGATCTGAATCAACAAGCTTGTCTTCTAAAATATCAAGTTCGTTCTGCACTCTGGTTCTGCTCATAACAATGTGAGGTGCTCAAATATATATTTTGCCCAAATTTCGCAAATCTATCGATTCGAAAGGTACAAGTGTACTTGTACACAGTGTCAGTAAGCTCTGAAAGCCTATGGCCCAGGCGAGGCTGGATAATGTGGGACACTATAAAACGTTTTATGTCTCAGCCTTCGAGGGCCAATGGTCGTAGACTCGTAGCCGAAAATGAAATCATTCTTAATTGCTTATTAATTCAGGTTCCCGTCCTGCACGTGACATGCAGGTGACTAGTTACGATAGTAAAAAACCTATGAAATTACTATTTTAGGCAGGTTTATTATGAATTGCAGTTGATCGATCAGTTTCAAAATCTTTTATTAAAATTATTTACACTCTTTGCCTTGACTCTGCAGACAATTTTCATGTTACTTGTGAATCATGTTTTAGCCAATGACACAAGAGTGCTTGGTTCGCTGAACTCGAAATCATTTCCTGTCTTTATTGTAGATTCTTCGACCCTGTTCACCGTACTTCCCTCATCTCTCTTCTGATCCATAGCTTCTACCACCACCCTGCCACTTCCAGATGCATCCCCTGATCCCAAACCATCTCCTGATGATCCCGAAGAATCACCCGAGCCAGATCCAGAGCCTGATCCTAGATTGGTAATCAAATTGTTATTTGAATGATTTAAAACCGTTAGAGTTGTTAGTAAAAACCATAAATCAAATAAAAGAGCCGGTTTCGAATGTTTCCTACAGATTACTGGCCTTTGAATTACAAATAAACATGAAAGCTAATTGACCCTTCCCATAATAGACCAACTTTTGATTTAAAAAGGAATTTCCGAAAAGAGGATACCGAAATACAATTGCCAAGTTGCTGCAAAGGTCAATGAATTTAACCTGACTGCTCTCCAGATAACTCTGGATACAAAGCGTTTTTTTGATTTGCTGAATTATGATTAGGTATATATATTATGATAATATAGTTTGGCTAATATGATTGATTTTCTTTTTTGCCCCTAGGTTTCATTAAGACGGCTGTTTAGAACAATGGTGAAAACGGCTTATTTTTCCATTTTATCAATAAAAGAGGTAGTCTATATTAGGACTTAGGTCTCGCACAGTAAACGAAGCTACACAACAATAGCATGAACTGAGTGGGTATCATCAAAAGAGTCCTTTACCGTCACATGAGGTATACGTAGAACAACTCCGTTTTTCAGCAGCCTTATTTTTGTCACATGGTAAACCACCATACTTTGGTTTAGGGTTGTTGCATTTTCTCGCACGTCGCTCCCATCCGATGTCACACGTGACTGAGCAACTCGACCAGGCCGCCCAATCACTCCAGCCACCATTGACTAAAGTAAAAAAAATGAAAATACAGCAACTATTCAGTTATATTAAAGTCACCTGAAAATGAAAAACCAAGTACACCGTAATATTTTCGCGTAACTTTCGAAAGACGAAAAAATATTTACGCACTTGGACAGTGGCGTGTGTCTTCACAACTTTGTTTTCCATCTCTCAAGCCCTGACAGTCCCGCCCTCCGTATCGCGGCTTGGGGTTGGTACAACTGCGGTATCTCACTTGAAGTCCTTCACCACATGTTACTGAACAGATTGACCAATTACCCCAATCTGACCAGCCCCCGTCAACTAAAGAAGTGACATAAAGCGAAATTTTAAAGACAAGTCTTCAGATAATATAGACCTTTAGCTTAACCAATATGTCAAACCGCGAACAGCAAACGGCTAATTTCAAATAATATTTAAAATTAGATTTTTGGCACTTTCTGGCCCACAATTTGTCTCAGTAGTTACTCTATGGTTGAAAATAATGCACCAATTTTCTCGGCCTCAGAAACCTAGCATTTGTTAAAGACAGTCTTAATCTGTGTCTTGTTTGAATTATACCTTGATTCTCAAGATGTCTTGTTTATTCGGAATTTGCTTTTTACTTTACTTGTCTTACACGTTGTTCAGTGTAGATGGGCACGCTACATGCACATGCTCTATATACGTACTTGGACAATGAGGCCTATCACGGTTCACGCAATTCTTTTTTTCGCTTTGACTTCCGGGACAGCCTATGTTGTTTTCATCTAAACATTTTCTGGTTCGCCTTTTTATTCCAAGACCGCACGGGGAATTGCACTCTTTCCACGCTGACCAGGCGCTCCAGTTTTCCTCTGAAAAATGTATAGTGTTCAGTGTTCTCAGTAGAATTGACTATACGTATACTTATTGGTCGCATCGTTGTTTTTTCAGTTATAGAACTATACTATATGGTGAATCGCTTTCATACCAGTCGTACAGGGAAGGCATTTTTTCTTGCCCTTTTTTGATTCTTGATACGCCGCACCTTTCTTGCCTTCACAACAATCATTAAGCGTGTAGCGTCCTGGCATTTTCTTCCTGCAGGAATTTCTTCCAGCATTGTAAACTTTGAAACATCTTACTTTAGGCACTTTTGTTCTTCTCCCTGTGGAAAGAAACAGCTATTTAAACTCACTATAAACTGAAATTCCGCTTGTCCTCGATCTAAGATTGCATGCTTAGTAAATTAAAATGTCAAGACTATTAGACTAATACTTATTACAATCCCTGTGGGCTGCATTCAACGAAATAAGAAGAGTTGTATGCATAATGTATTATATTCATGAATGCAGTATGAGATATTCTTGACTAATTAATAAAACAAAATGGCTCTGTATGTAAGTTACAATTGTACGACCTTCTAATCGAGGAATATCAGTGACATAGAGTCCCGTTTTCATGCTACTATACGCAGGCGTCCGAGTCCTATGCAGTTTGCTTTGAACTAAGCATCCAAGAGCAAGAGAAAAAAGGTTGGTAAAGCATTTCAGTACACTTTACTCTTTAGAGAGAACGTGGGAAAATTAGCATGATGTAAAATGGTTGAATTTATGTATTTACGTCATACAATTACGTCAATGCGACCGGTCATACAACATCATGCAGCTGTAGCATCAGGGAGCTGAAACTTTGATGGAATGGATGGCTGGTCGTGGTGTTACCTAGGGGGTGCCTATATAAAGTATATGGGGGACATAGCTCTTCAAAAGACGCAACAAATTTTAAAAAATACGCTAAAGCCAAACGAGTAAAGATTTACAATTGGAAGCCTCTAGCTGGATCACTGTAAGGGGCCTTTTTTAAATTAAATATCTTTGAGTAAGCTGTTAGTCCGCCAGCTCCATTACCCCCTCATTTTGTTTGTGCCTGGACACTGTAATTGAGCCTGGGCACCGTTCGCCCTGGGTCTCGTGGTAATTTCACCGCACCGCCCCCAAACACAACTGCATTTCATCCTCATTTTTCATCATGAGCATGCGAAGTATCTTGTAGACTGGTATTCAGCACGCCGTCCACCTTACCACATCATCTTCCATCCCATGAACTTACTATAATCAGTAGCGTAGCCAGCCTGTCGATTTGTCCCGCTATGCCAATATTTTGGCGTTCATTGACTGTGAAAACAATGAACTTCTGAAGGCATGAGTAATTATAATAACTCGAAATTTAGATAGCGGGACAAAATCGTCAGGCTGCCGGGCTACGCCACTGACTATAATAATGCGAAATGCAAGAAAGTAAACTATCGTTTGTGCATGGAACTACCAAGGGAAGTTAACTGTGCTGAAACCAAGCCATATACATATCAATGTTATTAATCTTAATTCAACGGCTTAAAATTAAGGAAGTCGTCTAAAAATGTGCAGCTTAAGCTCCTTACTGAAAGGTAGTCATAAATATAATTATTTATTAGGAACAGTTTTTCCAAATGAGCTAGATCTAGAATTGTCTAGAGATGCTAAAATATTTTCAAATTAAAAAAGTTTAATCTAATTTGGGGCTGCTATATTAAACACATGCATGTTTTGTTTGTCCTCCGATAATTACTTTAACAAATGTCTCGCTGATAACGTCATGCATACTCTAGATACTACTGCACAATCATTTCTCAAACATCGGAAGATATTCAATTAATAATTTCCATGACTCGTGCGGTGAAAACTGAATATCAAAAAGTCAAACTTTTATAAAAACATGAATTGAACACGTTTACTTTTTTCAATACATTCTTGGCGCATTCATCGCGTCTATGACAAGCTTTTAGTTATATCAAAATTTACAAATTTAATTGACATTATCTAAAACGTTTCCACAAAGTGAGTATAATCTATCGGCAAAATCTATCAGTATTTCTATTCGTGATTCAGTTTTTTTCAACTGATTTCATGCCATTTCAAGATTTTACTGATTTTAACTGTCTACAGATTAAGTCAGCTTTTTACTTATATGGAATTTTTGGTGATAACCCATTGCACGGGTTTCGTTGCTTCATCATATTTCACTGAACTACACTATATTTAAAACAGCAGCATACAATTGGCTCTGGCTTCCAATATACATATAGTAATATAGTAATAGAGTCTATAGACTTCATTTCTAAATATAAACCTAGGCTTTCCCAGCTTCATGTTATCCAAGAGAGCGTCAGTTGAGATGACCAGATAAAACGTGATATTGAAAGAAAGATGTTTTTCTAGTTATTTTTTCAAACTATTCAAACAAGATAAACAACCAAAAATAGAAGTAGATTAGACTCAAAAATGTGCGTCGTATAAAGGTTAAATCAACGACATATGGCGAACTGATAGACCCTGATAGTTGAGATCTGAATGACTGAACCAAGTATTTGAACTAAAAAGCCCGCTAAACTATGGGCTATTTGTCAATTTAAGTACAGCGGAAGTTAGAATCATCTTTCATGTGTACTTTCGGACCCATACGATCGATTTCTTTCAAAAATTTTCGGAGCGATGCAACTCACATTCCGACTTAGACGAAAATAACAACGTATATAATTTCTGCCACAAAAATGTGATGTTGTTGAACGACCATATCGTCAACATTAAAACCCTTGTGACGCATATATATCATATGATATAGTTGCCTATCAACAGTAATCTACATAAATCCTCATACGCGATTATTCTCCTGGTAAAGCTCTCTATAACTTCCCACATTCCAATAGTCTCATCCTGTCAGATAATTAGGAAGCAGATAATTTGCATAAAGCACGCAACAGACATAGGTAAATAGTATCCCAACAAAAACGGATATAAATATAATAATATTGACGTTGAATTCGCAATTTCTTTTCAACGGCTAAAACAGTGCAGAAAACATAAAAGAATCCGATTCCAGCTACTGGGTAAACCTCATAGACACTTGTTGTCGAATGCTTTACAACAGTATTTTTTAAAATAAGATGATCTTGGAATTTCACCTTTAAACTCTGACTGCACCGAGATTATTCCGTGCTTGCGTTTAAACAAACGTGAACAAGATCATTGCTATATAGAAAAGCGCTGAGATGATACATTACGAGAATTTTAGTCAACTGATTTGTTACTAGTTCTCTTATGACGCTAGCTTTCTGACACAGCGCGACAGACAGAAATTTAAATAGCATGACAACTAGTGTTGAAACGCGCTAACAACTGATGGAAATTGAGATGGATTACTTTCGTTGATCGGAAATTTTGTCAAGTTGTTTATCATTTACACATTTTGAAGCAGTTTTTGCTGATCTCGAAATCATGGAAAAGTTCTTAACGTATAGTTTTAAGCGCGGCGTCAAGATTTGCATTTAATTACATTCCCTGCATGGATAGGATAGATTTGTAGACTTTACACGTAGTTGCCCGTTGGTTCGTTGGCGTCTACAGCTTCGGTATTTAATGATAACGGCTTCGTTAATTACACTATTAAAATGATTTTCATACAAAGTAAGGCAGGCATACCTGTTGTTAAACGTGGAATAAAACAAAGAACGATGAAGAACAAAAGACTTGCTGCAAACAACAAATTCATGATGATTCTGACCCAGACTTGTTGACAAGACGCTTTTAAACCAAGTCATTAGAGGAACTGAAGCAAACGACGGGATACCAGCTGGGAATTACTGACATCCCGTTGTCGTGATGGCAGGAAGTGTATCATTTAACATGGTGTGACTGCAGGGTGAAGAGCATACACGGCTTAAGTTGCAGGCTAAAGGGCAAATAACAGATGCGAAATATCTAATAATCTGAAACGTATGATATCATATAAAACTAAGAATTTCTCGAGATTTTAAAGCAGGTTGGTTTTAGCGGCATCGCAAGTTGGTTGGAGTGAGATTAGCTTAATCTACATGTCTTTACAGTCATTCCAAATCATGTAAATTAGTACATACGCCAGAATATCAAACCTCAAAGTATTTTTGCTCGTCAAACTATTGTTATTATTACCAGTGCCCGGTGCACAGCAGATGGTGTTCGACGTCAGAATAGCCTCTGCCCCATTCCATAGTCGGAAAACTAAGTTTTGAAATCGAAGAATTTTTGCTGAAGTATCATCATTCATCATTCATTATATCAGTCTGAAACCTCTCTTGGACTTTTTTACCGCTTTTGGTCAGGTATCTGCTTGTACACTGGTAATGGAACACCATTAGGTGCTAGTAGAATGCTCTAGTAAAATGCGCATGCAAGCAGCTCTTTGAATTGAAGAATGTGACAATTACGACATGCCTTCTGACATGCGATATCGGTTATGGCCACATTTTCCATATCAGATAAAGACGGATACCACATGCACAACGTATTTTCACAAATGAAAACAGTAACCTAGCTACCATTGTTTAGCTGATAAACCTGCATGGTTATGTTTTTTTTTAAATTTTCGTATATATTTTACAACTATTAAACCATCTGTTTTGCCTACATACCTAGCTACCTAGCATATACACCTCCGCTGTGGTTAAATGCGGTTTCAGCCTCAATTACCCTGAATAACCTTTATTGCTTTGCGTATATGAAATTGAAGATGGCGTCGCTATTGGTGCCGCTGGTCGGTAGGGATGAAAGCGTTGCAAGCATGCTCGCAAACGTGCTTGCCCAGCGTGCTCGGAGAATGCGCTTAGCGCACGCGAACGTGCGTGGAGAACGTGCTTGGCGAACGTGTTTAGCGATGCGATCGGTCTGGGGCCCCCTGGGCTCCGGTGTTCTGAGAACCCCTTCAATCTCGTTCTCAGTCGTGACTAATCCAAATGCTTCTGGGGTAGGTTGTACGAAGGTTGCTTGGATGATGCTATTAATAGGACTGTAAGTTTTTCAAACGTTGTAAAAATTCCGGAAAAGCAATAAAATTACCGAGCTTTGGAGCTAAAAATTATTAACTCCGAATTTGAGAATTTAAAGTTTGTTTGTTTGATTAGCTTTACCAAACAACGAACAATTTTTGAACGATTGAAAAAATCACTGATCACTATCTTTCATACAACTGGCCTCTGAGACGTAAACAGCATGTCCATTTTCATTTCGTGATCACAGTCACACAAGTAGGGCCGTAGCTACCACTGGGGTAGTGTTGAAATACTTTTACTTCTAAACACACCGTCACAGAAGCCCCTTAATTTAATTAGAGACAGGGCGTTAACGTTCAAATTTGCTGCACCTAAACTCTTACTAGGAACTAAGACAGATACATTTTGTAATTTTAAAAAACAATCAAAACCTATTTCTTAATTATAATATATGTGCATTATAGTTTTTTTGTATAGCGCATTTAAACATCTTTATGATAATCAGTTGCGCATGATATATTCATCTTATGCCCAACTGATATCTTTGAAAAGCTATTGTCAGACCCGCGATATGTGTTTATATGCAAGGAACGAACAGCATACACAAGAAAGCAATGAATGGCTCACCGGTTACCTGCAGTAACTAGGAATCACAAAAATCGGCTAGCGACTAAAAAAATTAATAATAGGAAGTAATAGTACTCGGTTCTGCCGATCAATTCCAACAGTTATACACTGGCGGTCAAAAAGAACTGCTCAAATGTTGCTATTGTCGTATGTAACAGGAATCGTAACAATCGATCAATTGTAACAATCAATATTTGATATAGCTTAGCATGTAATCTAGTCTATATTTATTCGTATATATTGTTAGAGGGACAGTTACGTTCATTTGAGAGCATTTTAACTTGTTTTGAGCAGTCCTTTTTGACCGCCAGTGTATATATGCTTTAGAAACATTCTCCTGTCTAAATGCATATATAGGTGTAAGAAGTTGGTTAACCGATTGGACGAGGGGCATGCCGTTTGGCGATGTACCATCATGGCTGGTGCCGAGCGAGAAAAGTTTTTAAATTCCAAGACTGTAGTAGATATTTGGAAACAGCCTATTGATCATGAATATCCACAACATGTGTCGCATATTTCACGAATTGACTTGCCATTTGATGCTTTTTTACGAATCAAAAAGTTGACCAACCTTTTAACATCAAAAATTATTCGGGGGATATCTCACCCCTCCCTCTGCTTGCTACATCGTTGCTCATCGATGTTAGTGGTAATCCATTATTAGTTACACAGTAAGTTTCAATGTAGTAGTAGGGTTTCTAAAATTACGTACTGAATTTTTAAACCAAGATCAACATTGAATCACCTGTTCAAGCCAATGTTTGAAATTAGGTATCATCGATCTGGGTGAACAGGTCCATTTTTAATGTAGTCTGGAAATTTCTAAAATTACGTAATCAAAGTTTTTCTTTTGAGTCAATTATCAAATACTCAGTTTGATTGTCGTCTAGAGTTTTTTTTAGTTGCTATTTTATGATTGATCTGAAGAGGTATCTTGTGAAAAAAAAACAATCAAGATATGCTTGTTCGGGCAAGAATTGCAACAAAGATCAAGGATGTTGTTCACTATACGCCTTTGTTTTCTGGCTTACTGGCCTATAGTTGCAGGCTTCTTTCCCTTGACTATAAAACAATTATACGTTGCATTTGTTACCAGCTCTAACTTTGATGCAAAACACTAGGAATTTTTCCAGAAATGTCCAACTATTTTAAAATTACAGGGGGCATGATTAGGAGATGAAATCGATGGCGTATCACTGTCATCGACCTTTCAATTAGAACACCTTTTCCATAAACGATAACATCTTTCTAAGTGTGCGCTACAAAACAGGAAGAGGTGGCTGATGACTGATTTGTGTAGCCTGTATTGAGCTTTGTTGTTCCTGCAACAAATATTCACGCATAAAATGCAATAATAGTTTTGAACAGTTTTGGCGGTAACCTATATAAAGGCATATATCATCATAAATAAAAAAGATCGTCAAACAGTTTAGTTGCATTCTCCTTTTTCAGTTTTTTTCGTCCGTTTCGTTATCGTCCGCCATCTTGAACACTCACTCACCAGAGTTGGTTGCCATTTTTCAACCAAGGCCCAAGCAACCCGACCTTGGCATTCTAACTTTTGTTTGGCTTTGAACTCTAAAAATATCAGTTTGGCTTTTTGCCTCCGTCATTGGCTTTTAATGATTTCTACCATTACTTTTTTTTAATTGTATCTTGGCTTTATGCCGGGTTACAAATCTTAAAGCGGAATCACGCAATGTTTTGTCGCTTGAAGACAGTGCAAATATCCAAGGTTTTAAACGCAACGCTTTGTTAGTTGGCTGTTTGTCGTTCAGTGTCCGACATTAGGCAGACAAATATTGGAGGTAAAGCTTTTTGTACAGCAACAGTTTCTTCAGAGTATATCCACTTGAGCGGAAATTAAGATGGCGGTGTGCGAAGGTCAACAAAGTTTAGTGATCGAAGGAAGAAACGTAGTTTTAAGAGTTGTTTCATTTAAAACCCTGAAACAAATATGCCTCCGGTGTATAATGGTAATAGGTTATAATTATGTAATGTACTTTAATTGTTCTTTCTGTACATGGTACACCGTCCACACTTTCATTACAGCTCTTTGCAACTGAATCCAACTCATTCATGTAACTTGTGATCGAGCATATCTTCCAACGCAGATTTTAAACATAATTTTTGCCTTGGTCACGTTTGGTCATAGGTATGCACAGAATCTGGCCATTCTCGCTCAGAATTTCCATTCAAACAAGACTAAAATAACTAGGAGAAGAAAAACAGACAAACCACGACACATGCGTTGGACGAAATATGATACGTCCGGTTGTCCTAGCACTTGACCATTTGCGAAAGTTGATTTGATCAAAGCTTCTTTTACTAACCGCAGGCATTTTTTGCCGTTTTACCGAACTCAGCTCCGTGCGCCTAGTTTCCGATTATATTTGCAAACACATCGCCACATGCAAGGCTAAAGGATATTATTTTGGGCTTTGGCGAACACCGGGCGATTGTACTATGGACGCGCTTTATATGTGTCTGTTTAGCATATTATGCGCGCTATTTTGTTCTGTCGGATATGCGGTGGAAGGTGAGTTTATTTTTTTATTTACTACAATTGCTTGCCCAAACTGCCTATCCTTGTGCTAAATTTTGAAGAAAGCTGGTAGCATAAAAACTGCCGTGTATTATGCTAATCGACTGATACGCGTCTTCTATTACATGCATATCGAACAGGAAAGATTTCTTTAATATTTCTGCTATATTAGCAAATAAGAGCTTTGTCATATTATTACCAGAAGATACTTACGCGTTAATATCTCGTAAAAAATTAAAATCAAATAATATTGTATAATGAGGCGAGATCTGGCATTGTTGACGTTGTGAGGTTCAAGACAGAGAGCGATTGTTATTTCGTTTGTTTATCACAGCAATTTTAGAATTTTAATATAGTCTGCTGACCGACGAGGTTGCCCGATATCTAATATCATGCAATCGGTACTCGTACTACTTAGACGGAATGTTTCCAAAGTGCCTATTCATTTACACATAATTGTCATTGGTTTAAGATTCATATCACATCTTGAATCGGGAGAGTAATATCACAAAGGGAATATATAGAGATATTGACGCACGTTGGCGCACGATGTGAAAATTGAATTCGATCCAATGCATGTACAGAGCTAACTTTCATCGCTTTCATCACTTTGTATTGTAGTACTTGATTCTGTATGCTCTGAACTGTTGAGTATGTTTTATACATATATACATGTAGCGCGTCACCTTTTCCTGTAAGGAAAATGAAGTTCACTTACTTTTAAATTCCTAAAAGATTGGTTTAAAGCAGGCATCTCCGCACCTGATATAGATTACGAGATTATAACATCGCTTTCTCTATTTCAAGTATTCTAACGGGGCCACTGAGGTTAAGGAGGTACCTTTAAAAATTGGACTGAGGTTTCTAAAATCTAGGGCTAATTGTGATACAGTTGGATATTATTATCGTAAAAATCACTTTCAGGTGGTGTCTCCCCTGGTCGATTTTGCATAGTTCTACTGCGTTTGTCACTTCGTGTGTTGTTTTGAGCTGGCTTTGAACCATGACATGTAAATGATCAATTATAAATAAATGAGCTTCAATGCAATTTCGTCACGAGGATGTTATGCAAAATTATATTAATCACAAACTGTTTGATTGTTACATTTCAACTTTTTAACACTGTTAAGAAACAAAATTGCTTGTATAAGGGTTTTAGTTCAGAGTATTATATGTAATCTAAGTGAATAACTTTAAAACAATAAATAACTTTAAGACAGGACGAAATGCCGCACAAATGGTCATGACCTATTTTAAAATTTTGAACCCTGATGTGACTGTCCTGCAGTGTTTCCATCAAATGCAGATTGTGTTTAAAGAAATATACCGATCGTTTACCATACGGCAGATCTTCAAATGTTTAATCTACAAACATGATTATACCCCACGTGTAGCTCAGTGCGTCAACAGAATAAAGAATACTTTTTGCGGTCTAAAACCAAGAGTATCCTAAATAAGTCTAACATACAATTATGTGGTTTACAGAAACTAAGGCTGTATAAGGTATTGTTCTTGGACATAGGCTGGATAAGGTATTGTGGCTATTAGTGCCATTGTTCCAGTCCACAAAGACCTCCACGCCAATCCCATTATTACATGAACACTGAAACCAGATCCGGGTTTATTCGTATTTCAAAGATTAGTAGGGGCGGACGTAGTTAGGTAGTACCATAGAAATAATAGATATTATTTAAATAGATATTATTGTCTATTATTTCTATGGGTAGTATAAATGTCGTACCTCGGTATTTAGTACAGTCCCTGTACCCGTGCGTGTTCTTTATGCACGTTTCACAACTTATTCCAGTCTAGCCCAATCCAGTTCAGTTCAGTCTAGTCCATGTTTAACAACATACCTTTAATTATACGGCGATACTTGCCGCAATGATAACAAACCCAGCAGCATGCTTAATCCGCAAGGCATTAGCACATTATGCGCAAAGTGTCAGTAATGAAATTTTTTTATAGCCTAATTATAGGCCCGTTCACGCACGACCTGCACGAATTAAGAACGGAATATTGTCGAATTGCACTGAATTAATACCTAATTATTTACTCAGTGATGATCGTTACGACCAGAGGTTAGAGGCTAGAAGCTCCATCGTGCTATTTTTAAAACCTATTTTTTGGCAATCGCGTTGAACTTGAAAGTAAATAATTATTTTAACGATTTTGGCCTCAAGTTTTTGACCATTTTATTCGTGAAAAGTCCGAATGGATATTATACACATTCCTAATTTTAGTGTGCAGTGATCACCAATTTTTGCAGTGAAAAAGTAGAATGTGCAGTGATAAAATAAGAAAGATGCAGTGATAAATGGTATTTTCTCAACAGACTTCACTCTGCTGAGGTGGATTCATAAGCAGTTATCCCCCAAAATGCTGGAAATCAAGTCATAGGGACTCAAAAATACAGAAAGCAGGAGGTCCTGCAGACCCCTACAATTCCCCATCTTTAAATTACCAATTTCCAGTTAGGACCATTTTTATCATGCCCCCCTCTCCACTATACTATTGTGATGATATGTGCAGTGATAAAAAATTCTTAAAATTAGCTATGATTATACATATTACACCGATTAGCTTATCTTAGTTTTTTCCCTTTTTTTTAACAGATAAGTCCAGTATACCTTCGACAGAAGTGCAAGAGGTAACTTCTAGGTTGTTATATTCATTCTGATTTTTTTCCTTGATTTCTTTTTCAATTATCAGACGACTGTAGAAACCTCTGGACAACTCAAAAGTGTGACCTGACAAACTGACCATGCTTAAAATAAGGAGAGGGGGGGTGGGGTGATTAATTGAAAACTTCGTAACGTCAGAACGTCACTTCAACTTTTGGGTTCCGACGAAAACTGTGGGGAAGTGCGCGATTACTGTGGCTTCCCATCCCTAAGCAAAGGACGAACTGTATTTCTATCGTAAAGAAAAATAATTGATCTTTCTGTAGGAATCCAGCTTTTATGAAAGTATATTCAGTGAGGTGTTTTCAGATGAGTCTTTGCAAGAACTTCTAGACGATACAGGATCCCCAAGCGATGGTAGAGTAGTTTCTAAAGAGCTGTATTACAATATAAGCAAGAAAGACGATATACAAATAGCTGCGGGAGCAGCATTCGAAATTCCTGAAGGATTGTGGCCGCTGATACAAGGACGAAAGATTATTTATAAAGATTTCAATGAACTGAGTCCACTCGAACAACGGGAGATGTTAGGGGTTGGTTACAATTCATTATTTGTCGTCTCAGACGTCAAACTTTTCATGTCAAAGTCTTTGTTTAAAAGTCTGTTCACACTCGCTTCTGATCTATGGAATGTAGGCTGTTCCTTACAAAGCATTATACTGCATTGTCTTTAGTTCATTTGCTGTCCATATACATTGCAAGTCAACAAACTATAAAAAACATCCATCAGAAGTTAATTAGATCTAAATTGGATGGTGTGAACAGAGTTTAAGTTTTTTTTCTATTCGGCACATGAAAAGATCAACGTCCGAAATGGATTTTACTATTGAAATAGCAGACACATTTAAAAGCCGAATTCATATTAGGGACGGGAAACTCATATTACTTGGTTATTAAAAAAAACAATCTTGATGGGTAAATTTATACGTATGATGGGTCGGGTAATGTTAAAAAGGTATCGTACTAATCATTTCGATAACCAACAATCAGTTTGTTCATTTTCTTTCAGCCTTTTTTCAGCCTGATTTTAATTCCGTCTAAAAATTCGAATTTAAAAGGAGTTTCTCGTCCCACGTTGATCATATTCGGCAAATTTTCTCCCGGTAAAGAGGGCTCAGTTTTCCAGCGGTCTTCGCATAAAAAATTAAAAGCTTTTCGTTTTACGCTCTGCTCTCAATTTTGCGTAAGTTGTCCGCTGACAACATGAGCCCGCACGAGTGGGAGAAACTTAGCTAAGTTGGACCAGCGTGTCCAGACGGAAAAGTTAGACGGGAACGTTCGGACGAGAAACCCGTTTCTGACCGGATTCACATCAGACGAGTTTCCTGTCTCGAATATGAATTCGGCAAATAACGGGAAAGTGATATACATGTTGTTGAATCATTTTTTTGAACTAATAACTAATCATTGGAGAACAATTTTTTGTAGAAATACGATTTAAAAGGTGATCCTGGCAGGCCTGGTATCATTGGACTACCGGGAAAACCCGGTGATCAGGTATTTTTTACTTGCAAACAACCTATCGCGGCACATCAGACAGTGATGCACAAAAATGCATGTTATTGTGAACTGATATGCTATATATTTTCGTAGAGTTTTCAGGGGGGGAAAGGCGCTCTCAATTAGTATTTTTTTACGCACCTCAAAAAGGGTCTCGTGCCGGGTTCGAGGGCGGGGTCGGAATGCCTTTAATTGAGTATACATAATGTTTTTTCAGGGTCCTCCTGGTGATCCTGGACCACCTGGGGGAATCGGAGCTGAGGTTAGTGGTTGTAATACGTCAATATTCCACGCTATTTTTCAACGTGTGGTTAGAGATAATGAGCTGGAATATATTATTATCTTTGGTCTTACATGTAGTCCTATGGTAAAACGTTTCAAAAACTCCACAAAGTAAATGATCTTTCAGGGTAATCAAGGCGAGCCAGGAATGGATGGTCTCCCTGGATTACAGGGCCCTCAAGGATTGCCAGGAGCACGATTGCGAAATGTATGTTCTTTGTTCTTCTTTTTAACTATTGTGCTAGTGCTGATAATAGATTTCATCAGTTCATCCGCATCATTTTATCGTAAAGGTACCTTATGGACTGCCTCGAGAATGGCTAGAACGTTTTGTCGAGTCAATTCGCACTGGTTTGGTAAGATATACTATAGAATAAAAGATATAGCTACTATTTTCTCAAATTATTTAACTCACTGAAATTACTATTAAGCGAATATTTGCGATACATTTTTTTTGAACAAAAAGACCTAAACTATATCATTCAATTTATTCGATCGTCCATTTATTCTTACATGAATTCTTACAGGTGGCGAGACAAAAACATGCTCCGCCTGGCCCACCCGGTCCAAAAGGCTCAATGGGCAATAGGGTAAGTGTATTGTAAGTTTATGAAAGTGTTATTTCTTTAATGTTATTTCAAAGCCATTTACGTCCATTTAATAACGTCCTTTTTAGGGATTTCCAGGTCTCCCAGGTGGTGCAGGTCGCAAGGGAATGAAAGGCTGTCAGGTACGAAACAAAGATCTCAGTATATAACTGGATAGCGGTTTGGATTTATATACGGATTGAATGCTTGATGTTGAAGTGCATGCATTTTATTTTATAGCCAATTTTTGCAGTCTGCTATGTTATTGTAGCCAGACTTTGAGCTAGCGCATTTTCTTTACAAGAGTAAAACGGTTTACCTTACAGGGAATTTCTGGAAGGCCAGGACCTAAGGGAAATATGGGACTTCCTGGGATTGAGGTGAGTGGATAGCGTTATTTTTTCGTGGAGTAAGTGTACAACATCCAAGCTCTTTTCAGTTGCAGTATAAACTAATTCTAAACAGCGTTGCTAAATCTGGATTTTTTTCTGATATCTCGGGGTAAAATGTGAGAGAGGACTAGTAGCTATGTCAAATGTCAACTCAACTGTATTACGATTTAAGACTGATCAGTTAATTAATATGACAGTGCTGTTTATAATTTCATGACTATGCTCAAGATTTTACTCTACACTACATATTATACTACTTAAACCTTTTTACATCAACTTTTAAAAGTTTTTTTATTCTTTCTGCTCTTATCTACCGTACAGCTGCTGCTATGCAAGTTCTTCCCTGTCCCCAAGCGACCAAAATTCGGGCGAGGAGTTCAGTATATCTTGATTTTCTTCGACCATTATTGTAGCAATATTCCCGTCAAAATTTGTAGCTTCATTAAACAAGCTAAAAGGTTCATCCGAACTTGAATTTTCCAGAATGCAGTCCACAGTTCTTATTGTTCCCGTTGAGGCTTCTTCGCTTGGCGACCGTTTAGTGAGATCAATTATTTGCTTTTCTAACTCAATGTTTTCATTTTCGAGTGAAGAGTTTTTATCTCGGAGAATATCATTTGCTTCTTTCGTTTCTTGAATATAAGAAGTTGCCTTTTTAACAATCGAATTTCTAGACAATCTTTTGTCATTTTCTTCTTTGATATTTGGTAGACATTCCTCTAGTGCCTTGAATTGTTTCTTAATAACCATCCGACGTCTTCGTTCGATTGTATTGTGTTTTATTCGCTCTGTGTCACTGTGTGTCTTCAAAGCTTTGGTTTTCATCATTTATAATAAACACGTTTATTGTTAATTAACTAGGCTAACTTCTGTTTGCTTCGGTATATTTGTACTCCACAAATTTAGACGAGATATTTGCATACAAATTCGCAAGGAAATGTCCCAAAGGCCTCTTTCCCAGACTGCTCGATCGTACAGCACATGTCATATATTTGATGAGTGCAAGCTCATTTCGAGGAATCAATACCATAAACTGAGCCTTTAATTTAGAGCTGTTTGCTCCTCGGTTTGCGCGGTATACCGTTGCTATAAAAAAAGCCAGTGAAGATCTTTCATATTTATAAAATTTGTGTCGTTGTGTATACGCCACTATTGGTTCTATATGTACTTGTAGTTCTGAATAATGCTAAGGCATTCAAACAGTAGACTATTCCAACAGTTTCCCATGCACTCAGGACTTCTAGCTCTTCAATTTGCACTGCGTTAATTTTATGTTATTTTCAGGGTGACCCAGGGTCAAATGGTGAACGGGGAGGAAGAGGGATGCGGGGAGAACCGGTAATGAAGACTTTAATTTCTTGACTTGCGACGCGGCAGTTATTTACTACCGTATGCCATTGACAGTGGCAATTTTTTGAAACGCCGGCTTTCGTGGGCGAGCTTAGTTTCCAGTGTGCCCATGCAGTATTGTGATTGCAAGTCAAAAATAACAAACTTTGAAGAATACAGGCTGAGTTCTAATTATAGGAAGGAAATAACCAGGTTCTGTTACCAGCGAGTAAAAGGCAAACATAGTTTTTACAACTGTACAACTGTACAAAGTACAGCTGGTCTTTCGTTGTTGATTCACCTCCAAAACGAGTAAAATGTTCTGTTTTGTTCATTTGATATGAGAATAAAAGCAACTTGTCGCTGCCTTCAAAGGATTGTTTATTTCTCTATATTCAGGGTGATATTGGCCCTAGAGGTACACGAGGTGCAATGGGCGATGCAGGAGAACAGGTATATTTTGAACAAACTCCGTCCCAGCGGGTATAGCAGTTTATCGATTGTCTTAATATACTTGTTTTGACTATGCTATCCTCTGCCACAGAGTGGTTTTACAAAAAATGTAAAGCCTACGCGTAATTTACCGTGCGATGTTCTACGTGTCTGATCTATTGTGTCTTTTAAAAAAGACGGAATAAATTATGTTTTCTACAGGATGAGTAAAAAAAGTGATGCCTTAAGGCTAATTTCCACTCCGGAAAACGAGCAGCGGATCGGATCGGATCGGAACGAAAGATAATCCGCGCGTGCGCCGTCTGTTGAAATTTTTGGCTTATATTGATCCGAAAGCGTCCGAGACCGAATAAAAAAAAGTTCAAACAGTTTTAACTTTTTTTTATCTGATCCGAAATCACTTCATGGATCGGACCAGCTCGGAAAAAAAATCCGATCCGATCCGCTGCTCGTTTTCCGGAGTGGAAATTAGCCTTTATGCGAAATCGTTTAAAGTCCAAGTTATGCGAAATCGTATTATAATAAAAAAAATGTTCACAAGCTATGCGCCATGTCCTTCAACATGACAACCGTTTCTTTCAGCACAATGAGTTTTTCGCCTGTGCATATCACGAAACAGTTTCTAAATTATGTCAGGCCGCTGTCGAAATGGGTTCAATCACGTATTAAATTGTGTTACAACAAATACTCGTTGTTCAGTGGTTAGTTGAACCATCGTGTGTTGTCCAGTTAAAAACTCGTCCAGTTCCATGCAAATTTCTACACTTATTATTTCTCTCAAGATTAGTCAAAATAACCCCAAATAACTCCCAAAAGGAGCACAATTTATGTTTTAGATTAATTAATGTTTACTTATTTGACATGCTTCGAATACCCATGAGTTATTTAGGCAACTTATGTTTAATGATGTGCCTAATTTGAATTTGAAAGGGATCACCCTGTATGATTGATGGCCAAACAGTCGATGAATTGCGAAATCATTGCGGCATTCATCCTACGGCTACGATGTAGACTGGCGCATAAAATATGTGCTTTCTTCGTCGGAAAAATCTTCCTCGTTGAGCTCAGGCAATAGATTGTAAAGCAATGTACCATAATGTAAACCAGTCTTTGAACAACTTCAAGACAAACCTGAGTTAATTTGAAATTTTCTAGGGTCAACCAGGTCGTCCTGGCAACGCAGGATCGCGTGGAGAAGAAGGTCCCAAGGTTGGCATCTGATCTGATTCTATTCCTAGTTTTATCTTAAAAATACACTGTTTTATCGTGGATGAAATGTGAAACATTTCTGTGTATTTTGACTATAATTATATTTTGGCTAACATTATCAATAAATACTAATTTTGCTTGTAGGGTGAAAAGGGATTACCTGGACCTGCTGGCCCGCAAGGATTACATGTAAGTTAGACAATGTGAATGACATAATTGGTCATGATTCGTCGAAATTCACATTCGTCGTAATTTATGGTAATTTGTTGTATGGTGATAAACCTCATTAAGCTTCATGATCATCTCATTATCTATTGTTTGAATTGCATTCGACGCGGCCAAAATGCGACGTTTAACATGGTTTATCCTTTTTAAATGTAGGGTGATCGTGGATCGCCGGGCATGAGGGGACCTGCTGGAAAACGAGGTACAAAGGTAGGATACGCAGGATAAATATTGGGTGTATCATGCTATAGTAAGGGCTTTGTGAGCTGTTTGTCCAAAGAATGACGGTCTTTCAAAACATGAGTTATCGGCTCTGAGATTCAATTTAAATCTATGCAGTCGTATTAAATAATCGTCGAATCCTTCGTAAACTCGAACGTGGAGTAACATGCACCTCGAGAATTCGCAATATATCCGCGGCATATTGATGAGATATCATTTATGATTTTGTTATGATTTTGATAAGGGGCTAAACGTTTGCGGAAACTCAGCCTAGCTGTTAAATAATCCTTAACTTTTGATCAATTATAGTATTGATATAATCATCAGAGCTAAGTTATATCAATATCAATTACTGTACTGAAATATGAAACAAATGCTTGCAATGACAATGATTACGTGACCTGAACTGGTTTATTCAGGTTTGATTGTTCTCTTATAGGGTCCACAAGGTCCGCGAGGTATGCCGGGATATGCTGGTCGTAAGGTAATGTAGTACTAAATGTGTTCATACTATCATATGTACACTAAGCCATTTAGACGTTAGCCTGCGTTAAACTACGTCGAATCTTTTCAACAGGGAGAGCAAGGAATTGAAGGCCCAAAAGGCTTCACTGGAACAACGGGCCAAAGGGTTTGTTTCATATTTTACCTAGCAGTACTTTATGACACGAAATTTTCCTATATGTTCAAGATTGCAAAACTTTAAATAACTTCATAATTTAGAACTTGCTTCCTTTCCAAAATATTGGGGGGAGGGGAGACAGATCGATACAGAACTTGTTGTTACCATAGTTTTATAGATCATGCATTGCGATGTCAAACTGGTGATATTTGCATTAGCAAGCTTGAATATTTTAGTAAAATTTAGTAAAGTTGTCTATAAGATAAAACACTAAACATTTGTGGTAGCATTTCGTAATTATAAACCGCCTGTACCATTGGGCCTAATATTTGGTATTTTTAGGGGCGTATTGGTCCTACTGGTGACCCTGGTAGGAAGGGTGTGAAGGTTGGTTGATGTTTATGGTAAACACAACGTGTACAAATAAGGATTTTTATAGAAAGGCTAACAAATAATTAAACCATAGAGTGTCACAGGTGTTCCATATACAATATTTCAAACGGGATTCCTATCAACGCTCTCTGGCTAACCATGATAGCCCTTTAGCTTGAAAGAGGCTACAGTAGAAGTACGATGTTTGCAGCTAGACTTATTAATTACATTGATTTGAATAGAGTAAAATAAGAACTCGTTGAAAATTCCTTTTTAAATTAGGGTGCACCTGGTCCTCCCGGTCCAGACGGAGCTCTTGGAGACCCCGGAAAACAGGTGGAATTTTTGTTTTGTTGTATACGTGTTCATACGTATACATTTGTACATTGGTGTTTCTGTAATACCTAATAATAATGGTTCTACTTGTGGACATTTAGGGATTACCAGGATATGATGGACCACAGGGGGCAAAAGGAGAAGAGGTGTGATCATAGTTCACATTTACGGCTTTAATGTCATTAGTGTAACACTTGCTTATAATTGTTGGCACTGCTTCTTATTCTGCTGGGGCCGGTTGTATCAAGCCAGTTTAGCTTAAACGGTGGAGAAGTCAAAATTAGATAACACTCTTACATCTCTCTTGAATGAGTCAACTTGAATATTATGCACTGAATATTTAGTTGTAAACAGTATCTTTGTATTAAGGTTAAAAACATTTAGTTTGCTTCTTGAATAAAACGATGGACTTGCTTTCTATTTTGAACTTAACCACCGTTTAAGCTAAACGGACTTGATACAACCGGCCCCTGATTCCCCGCAATTAATCTGCTTATTTTTTCATATTGCAGGGACCACCAGGTGAACCAGGGGAACGAGGTCGTCCTGGCCCTATGGGAAATGCGGTACGTCGTGTCTGAATTTTGAAGAAGAGAAACTTGTAGAACGTCTTTTCTTGTATCTATTGTACGATATTTGGCGTTCCAGCTCGGTATACATGCAACTCCACTATTCACATGCAGTGAAACAAGTGCTAGCTACATTCACCAAGACATCACATATTTGTAATTGTTTCATTAATTTTATTTGTGCTTTTTATAAGAATTTTCGAGTGAATTTCAGAAAATATACGCAAAATCTTTTCTCGAAGAAGCAAAAATATTACACTTGCAAATGCAAATAATAAATACAAAATTCTTACAATTTCTTTTGTACATTTAGGGTATTTCAGGAGAAGCAGGGAAAAGTGGTTTGGCTGGGGATCAGGTGGGTGCATCTGGTTCGTCTTTTGACTCCATAGAAAGATAAAATTTTGCCCACATGTTACTGTCTCTCTGACACCAAGCGTGCTCATGTTGTTCAATATCCAAAAGTGAAATCTTAGTAATTAGAGAAATATCTCAATTTTTAACGTAATTCTTTACGATTTGTTTCCTTCAGTATCGAGTTTCCACGGTATATAAAAGCACTAAATTCAAACCTTTACTTTTCATTACAGGGATTTCGAGGAAAAGATGGACAAAAGGGGATTAAAGGAGTTCGAGGTTCAACGGTATGTCAATAGGAATTCAACCGTTACGCTATATCAATGCTTCGGTTTCTGCATGTTGCTGGTCATTTTGAACATGGCTGAGTGCAAGTTGTACCAGAAAACTGCATGGTGGTTGATGTGTTTATTTACTGGTAACTAAAAAACGGCGTATTCAACCATGGTTGAGTCCGCCGGAAAACGGCTTATTCAACGATGGTCGAGTCCGCCGGAAAACGGCGTATTCGACCATTGTCGAGTCCGTGGGAAAACAGCTTATTCGACCATGGTCGCGAATGCGCCAATTTCCGGCGGACTCGACCATGGTCGAATACGCCATTTTCCGCCAGACTCGACCATGGTCGAATAAGCCGTTTTCCGGCGGACTCGACCATGGTCGAATTAGCCGGAAAATGACTAATTCGACCATGTTCGAGTCCGCCGGAAAACGGCTTATTTGAGCATGGTCGAGTCCACCGGAAAACGTGACTAGTTGAGGTGGGTGCAGTAAACCTATAGTGTTGATTTTAGACCCTTCAGAAACCAAAAACAATCTATTTTAGTACATACACCGCTAAGGTTTTATTTTTATGTAATAATTTTTCTTTTAGAAATTGAATAATATATCATTTTTTCTGTTCGTATCGTAGGGTCCTCCAGGTTTACCAGGTGTGAACGGCAGTCCAGGAAAAGTTGGAAGTCATGTGCGTATCTGAGCATTATTATGATGATGATGAATTTTAATTATTTTTCCTCATTGAGGCTTTTCGAAGCATGTCAAGTATTGCCCTAAATGATAATAAAAAAACATGTTGATTTTATATTCACGTCACAATATATTCAGGGTCTGAGGGGGTTGCCTGGTGAACCTGGTCTCAAAGGATTTCCTGGACCAAAGGTAACTAAATGAACACAAGAAAAAGAGCGAGACCGCGAGATTAGAGTTTTAATTTTGCATACGTTTTTTCCTAAAAATTCCGCAAATTTCAGAACGTCTGGAATGTAATTCCAATACCCAAAACCAAGCACATATTAACATATTACACCATTATAATTTTAAACTACTACATATATATTTTTGTGTAATTTGTCAGCAAATATTTATAAAAAAAACAACAGTTATTGAACTATTTATTTGCACTTAGACTGACGTGTATTTTCTTCTTGTAGGGGGGGTTGGGTGAGCCTGGCGAACGAGGCATGCGCGGACCAAGAGGAGAGAGGGTAATAAAATATTTACTTCATGTATACAAAAATTTACTTGCTCCCAAAAGCTGCCTGAACGTGGACTGAATTATTTTCAGTTCGCCCAGTTCGAATTATCGTAGACGGAAACGCAAACAGAAATATGATTCTGATTTTATTTTACGTCTGATAGGGATTTACAGGGCCTCGGGGAAGACCAGGAAGAAAAGGGTTCAAAGGTGATGATGTATGTATTTACCTAGTCTCGTGATGTTTTAATCCGAAAAAAATTTTGTTTTGACTTTTATAAAACGATACTGCACATGAAGTGTTGATTTTTCGAAGTAAAATGCACGAGTTGAATAAAGTTATATAACTAACATCAATACTGCAACATTCAACGAAAAAAAATTATCCACCAGCTTCCTTGATAAGTTCCAAGGTGGTGGTTGGCTTAACAGACCTTATCCAAGCTGATCCAATAAGGTTTAATCGTGTTTTCATAGAAATCCAATTACTCGTGGTTTGGGCGTAGAGTTAAATAGACAGGTTATAAGCTAGATTTTAGAGGACATGGACTTTGAAGACGACTTGAAAACTGAGGGAAAATGTCGTTATGGACGCTTAGGGTCAACGAAATTTAAGGAAAAATTGTTAATCAATCCTCCGATAAAAAGTAATAATATTTTGACTGTTTTTTCCAAAACTTGGAACGAGTCTGTTACAAAGAAATTTTATAAAATCTCTATTTATTTGACGCAATTGTATATTATCACCGTATACAGGGTCCTGATGGCCCCCCAGGTGCGAATGGAGAAACAGGCTTGGATGTAAGTAAAATACATTGCTGATCAAAAGTATTCAAACACCGTTTTTACAGACCTCATAAAAATGCGTATATCTACTTAAAAACATGCAAAAAGACCAAAGTTGTCGGGTTTTGAATATTTAGTGATTTTAATGCTCATTTAAGAATTTACGCACCTAAAAACTGTTTGTTGCACTAAAACACCTGATTATTTTGAAAATAACAGCCAACATTCTGGAATAGAATCAAAGAGAAACAGTTCTAACAATCAAGTTAATACGATCATAATTGAATTTTGAAAAAGTAGTGCTAGATGCCACGTCTTTGGTGATAAATGTATTTGGGAGTTACCAGTTAATTCCTAAAACTGCTAGGGACAGTATAATATCACGCTGTATAATATAAGTATAGTCATTCAAATAGGTTCTGTTTTAAATTCTGTATGACCATGCTTTTTTGTAAGGGTCAAAAAGAGGTGTTTGAATACTTTTGATCAGTACTGTATATATACATTGCTTCACTAGTTGCTTCGAAGTAACTTATTTCGTATTTGGGATCTATTGAAATAGGCAAGACAACTAACGAATGGCCAGCTAACGAATAAACATGCAGCCATTTAGGACCTTGAATGCATTGTAATTAAATAACAAAATTTTACAAAATGTGTTCTTAGGGTGTCAAAGGTGACATGGGTGTTCCAGGACCTCCGGGACAGAAAGGCAGCCGTGTAGGTAACTGTTTACGTATTGTTCACAATTTATAACGTAAATCTCGATGCTTCGTGCGATCAAATTCCATATTATGATAATGAGAGTTTCCACTCAGATCAATGTCTGAATTTTCGTCGTGGAGAACAGAAAACGATTCTCTTGAAATGGGAAGGAGAGGTGACTTTGGTAGTACGATGATTGGAACTGCATGGGCAAGCTCCAGATTCCTTAAATATTTACAGTTTTCTAAGACTATACTAAAGAAATCGCACTGTAGTTGACGCCTGAGAGAAGATGTCCAATAACGATTTGAAATATCTTCTCAAATCACTGTGCATTATCATCTTCTGATCAAACGAGAACAATGGTTGCTTGGCTTTTGTTGTACTTCGCGCATTTGAAAATGTGGTCATTCGGTATACAGTTCTTATGCACATTCATTGGTCTTCCCTGACTAATATTCTCTTTTCTACTTTCCTTAGCATACTTAGTTTTATAATTCATAAATAGGGTTATGATGGATTTGATGGTTTTGCCGGATTTCCTGGACTTATGGTAACTTCAATTTTCACATGCTCTTTCCCTTTCCAACCTCAACAGTACTCAATCAAAGTAATCCATTATTTTGCACAGGGAGCTCCAGGTCAGCCTGGTGACATGGGATTCCCAGGACCGCCTGGTGATGATGGCATACAAGGTAACCAAGGACCGCCAGGTATACCAGGACCACCTGGGGCTGAGGTAAATAAAGCAAACATAATTTTGATTTTTAAACTTAAAATATTATCTTCACATTTTCGTGTTCATTTATTACCAAGAAAACAGATGTCACGTTAAAACAATACAAAGCGGTAACAATCTTTTAGAAAAGTTGGAAACAAATCCACAGCATGTTTGTTGCAACTTATTTGAATTTATTCTTATGCAGGGTGATCCGGGAGCTCAAGGAGTTCCAGGACCCGCAGCAACAACTAGCGGTATTGGACCACCGGTAATCATTCCTTCATTTCTAAATATGCCTTACGTTAAGCATAAATTGCGCTTCAGTAATTCATTCAGTTGCGTTCATTTTGGCATCCATTAGACTGATATCGATGATTGATTTTACTACATTTATCGTGAAAAATTATAAATTCTTGAGCATTTGAGACAATCTTTGTATTTCCCAGGGTTTGGCGGGACCTCCTGGAAGTAAGGGACAACCTGGAAAGGATGGTAAAGAAGTTAGTGACGTCAACATTTTTAGCTTTCCACTAAGAATATTTACTGTTATAATATATTATAATATATTAACTATTATATAAAGAATATTTCGAGTAAGGGTAAATCTGTTGCCCGGGGGAGAGGGTGATGGAAAGCGGAGTAATTCTTAACTTTTGGCTGATTAAAATTAGTTTGCTAGTCTTGTGCCAATTCTCGATTGATCAAAGTAGCTATCTCCACGTCTTTATTAATAGTTATAGAGAAAATGAATGCTTCATACCTTTGCACGAAGAACATTAATGTTAGGAAAATATAAGTATCAGGGCTACTGGCAAATTTTAATGATCCCTACACTTCTAAGACGCACTGACTACTGTGACACACTTAGAGCAGGTGAAACTGATATTGCCTCGTAATTTCGTACAGGGTGTGAAAGGAGCAGAGGGTGTAAAAGGAAGGGCAGGCCCTGATGGAATAAAGGTAAATATAATGTCGTCCCAAGGTGACCAGGTGGCAACGCAGTAGCTTCTCAAATATTCTCTCATTAAAATTATAGCTGCAACTCACTAAAGCTACAAGAAAACGCCTTCGACAGGCGTTATGTTTAGTCCGCTTAGTGGCGTTATAACTTTTCTTGTGACCAATCTACGTTGAAAGAATGGCACTATGTTTTTTAGACAAGCCAGACGATTTCAAGGAAAATAAAGCACAGGGCTAGAATTATCACAATAGTATCCGAGGGGCAGGGATGGATCCAGCACTAGTGCACTAATTTGCATTACAAAACAATATGGCTATTTTGAGCAGTTTTCTTGTGTCATGCAAATGAGTGCACTAGTGCTGGATCCACCCATGCCGAGGGGAGTTGTGGAAGGGGTGGAATTAACCCCGGGCCACCAGCTAAGAAGGCGCGGGGAAAGTTAACGGAATAAAAATTTGAAGTTTTTTTAAAATTTGGAATTCGAGACTTTGAAGACTGTGTATGACATATAAGCCTGTTTTTGTTTAATTAGTGGTTACATTTTAGGGTGACATAGGCCCACGTGGGGCACCCGGTGAGGCAGGAATAAAGGTGAGTATATTTCATAAGCAATTCTACTTCAATGTTAATTATTACTTCAGACAACACAGTAAAGTTCCTAAAATCCCAAAAGAGATCATAAGCCTTTCACAAGATGGTAAATTTTGTTTGCCCACTCGAGTTATACCCCAGGAGTTACGACTTGCTCCTGTCTCTACTGTACATGCACATTATCGACGTTAATGCGGATATTTAGGGTGGTCGAGGTTCCCGAGGGATAAAAGGTGTAACTGGTTTTACAGTGAGTATCATTCATTTAAAAGTATTGGGTTTACGTGAAACAGGACTCGTATAAAACTTCTTTCTTATCAATTTTTATTGCTAACAGGGTTTGAAAGGAGCGAAAGGGAAGGAAGGCTCATCAGGAATGGGCGGGTTTAAGGTATGACCTATTTAATCTAACTCGTATCACAAAAGGTCCAATTCAGTGTTCAAGCTTATAATTTGGTAACAGCGATATATGATGCAACGCTAATCGAAGGCTTGCAGCTGGTCGCGTAAAATCCAAGGTTGGTCTTCCTAAAAGGCGCGAGGAGAAGCGTAAAACTTCCACGCGGCATTTTATTATTTTTTTACTGGCTCGTATTACCAGCCATCGACCGTCGCGTTGCTAAAATTCTCAAATGCTGAATTTTCGTGTCTGTGATGAACGACAAACTGCGTCTGTCATATTTCATACCTTACCAAAAGTTTGAGATCTCAACCATAACCCTAAACCCCATAGATGTGCTTGATATTAACGACACCCGTTTGCTTCATATTTCATGTCTTATCGTGGTCAAATTATTCTTGAGCGAATATTTTTTCTTTGTCGTTAGGGCATCAAAGGGGACACTGGGCCTGACGGTGCCCAAGGATTCCAAGGACCTAAGGTAGTGTGTAAAAATGATTAATTTGTCAACTTAACTATTGGTTTCTTAGAGAGTAATGTGGTAGAGGGGTGGAAGTTTTGGATTTTATACAGAAACGTATATATGTTGTCAACGTCTTTTTTAATACAATAATCTTCTTGTAGGTCTTTTAATGAAATTTTAATGTACTTAATAGAGTCAAATTTACACCAGGTTATAGGTTCCTGTTACTAGTCTTTTCAGCCGCTGATCTCATCTTTTCAGTAACTTTTATTACCTTTTTCATTCTAGGGAAAAATTGGACCAAGAGGTCCAAGAGGACCAAAGGGAAAACGGGGGGAGACGGTATGTCTTTTAAGTTTTGTAGATAACTTCAGATCACCTAAAGCTTTGAAGCTTTTCTGACTCTATTAAAGAAAGTTAAATTTTTTTAGGGCGAACAAGGAGTTAAGGGAGTTCGAAACAGGGATGGCAAGCCCGGAAAAGACGTTAGTTAAAACACTTTTAGAATGCATCTTGAGTTTTAATAGCGTGACCCAAATTGCCCCCTCATATGACGTCTTGGCAAGATGTGGTTTCAATTGAAATGACCAATTCAATCACGTCAGAGTTTCTATTCATTGAAACAACTCGATCAATTATCAAATTCTTTTCATACCTTTGTTATCATATAGGGTTTGCCAGGTCAGCCGGGAAGCCGCGGAAATTCAGGGAAAAAAGGGGCTAAGGTACATTAGCATTATTTACATTCAAAATAAAGATTTGACTTTGCCTTAAAACAATGGGAAAATAGATCTAGGGTAGTACATGATAACCTAAAAACAACCGATTTAGTTCCACATTTGTATCTGTCTATTTTTCGTATAAAAAACACTTCTTTTTGCAACTGCTCACAGATAGACGTTGTTTTTTGCTGACAGTGCATCAAAAATAGGGTTTGGAGTGATTTGGACTTCCATCATGCATGAACTAAAGCTGTAACGACAACGCCCTTAGTAATTAGTATATTTTATCGATAACTGGCTTTTTGTTGAAAATATAAATTATTCACATTTATTTATTAGGGTGAAGCTGGTCCACCGGGATTAAATGGCAGAGCTGGAAAAAGAGGAGTGCAGGTGACCAGAGGCCTACCACATGGTTTACACAAGAATAATTGATAACCATTTTACTTAAACTGTACCAGTCAATATTTTATGCTAGCCTTTTTCTTTTCTCAGGGAAAAGTTGGTCGTAGAGGGAAGCCTGGTCCGAGGGGATATCCAGGGGGGATGGTGAGATCTTCTTTTATTCTCACACTCTCGTGATTTTCCCTGAACTTTATTTTGTAAATAGAATATTATATGTACATTGTTTTGTAGGGACGACCAGGGCGCACTGGTCCACCTGGAAGAGCTGGAGTGCCCGGTGAGAAGGTGGGTGGCATTTTTATTCCAAAATGCAGATGCGCCAGGATTGCCATTTTAATTTTTCTTCTTTTTTATTTACTTTATACATAAGCAGGGATTTGGGCATGCGCAAATGTTGCAACCATCACTTCAATGCCCCCCCCCCCTAATGGACTGACTGTATAAGTCGGAATTATAGTCGTAGGCAGTTTAACTCGACTGTGTCATGATACTGAGGGTGACAATAAGCAGATCTTAGTGCGAAAATCACATTGTGTCTATAGAAGCACGCATTGGAAGTAAACATTCATAAAGCATGTATTTGTGACAATGTGTTTCATGCAAGTTGTCGAAATAACCCCCATAACCAACTCTCGTGCGATGCTCATAATAATCTGTTTTTATTTTAGGGTGATCGAGGACCATTCGGATTTCGTGGAGAAGCAGGGCCACCTGGTAGTCCAGTAAGTGGATAATTTGAGGCTTGAATAGCGCCTTAGGTGCATTCCAAGGATAACGCATCACTATTTGGCCTTCTACATTGATACCCTCGAATAATACGCAGAGAAAATTTCTTAAGGTTTATACAAAATAATAGACTCTGATTGCACCCGTATTTCCGTATTTATCACAATTTACTCTTACTACTGGGGTAAATATTTGATAAATGTTCTAATAATATATTGTTATCATGTCATACGACGATGGTGTGCGGTGAATTAACTCTAGAACCAATAGACCTTATGCATAATGACGTAACAAGCCGTGACACCTGGAGGGAATTCTGGTCTTAGTAGTAAAGGCGGGAAATTTTGAAGTTTGAATTTTTCGCCTTAACTACTAAACCCAGAATTCCCTGCAGGCGTCACGGCTTGATACGTCATTGTGCATTGAGATGATCTCAAAAATCATTGAAATTTAGGGTATCAGTGGTACACTTGGCCCTAAGGGACAGAAAGGCCCTGAAGGAGAGATGGTAATTATAAAAAGCTGACAAACTGTTTCGTTTGGTTCCTATCATTTGTAAATTTTATCGAAATGTTTATCTCCAAAGCGCAATACGTCTCTTTTATATTATCTTCACTTTGGATAAAAAAATCACCTTAGAAATCATGTTTTCCAGGGTGATGGGGCGCCAATATCACTAAAAGGAAATCAAGGTCTCAAAGGAAGGAAGGTAAACGGTCATGATGTAATGTTCACAGAGAAATTCTTCTTTTCAACTCAATTTTGTATTTTTGTTTTTTTTGCATATTTTAGGGAGTAAAAGGTGACAATGGACCTTTTGGTCGACCAGGTCAAACGGGTCAAAAGGTATAAGGGACATTCACGCTAATTCACGCTTACTGTATATACATTTTTAAAAGAAGGACGAACCTGTCGTAAAGGTGTAGTAAATATGGAGTGCGAGCCACTGAAAGCAACATCTTGATTGTTGAGTAGTGATTACTAAATTTGTTAGAAGTTGTTAAAAAAAATCACTCTCAAAATGAAGGACATAGCATAATCGCATATTCATTTACTCACGGGAAGATTCCAACCCCTCTAAAGAGCTTCTTGCTTTAGATTGGACCCAGGCTAAGCCTGTGGCATTCTAGTGTTTTTTTACAACAGCCTATAAAATTACGTATTTTGGTGAACTAATATGCTCTTTCTTGGCGTTTTTTGGGAAAAGGCCAATAATCAAGTGCGTTCTTCTCACGTAGGGAGAGCCTGGTGTCAAAGGCGATAGTGGACTGCGAGGTGAACCAGGAATACCGGTTCGTATTTATATGTATCGAAATTTGTCTTAACCATTTCATTATTTCTAATTCGAAACGTGGACACAGATATCACTCATAATAAGACTGCGTCCTTCTCGAGGACATTGCCGACACTTGGTGACAAAATAAGGGCCCATTATCTATTAACAAGCATTAAGATTAGTTCACCCCATATCTCATTTTCATAATATATTTGTCTAATGTCAGATTACACACGTATTTATGTATGTTTTTCAGGGCGATACGGGTAAGGAGGGAAAGAAAGGAGACCAAGGTGTTGCAGGGAAACCAGTAAGTGGTTTGTTTAGCATACAGATAGTGGTTTTGTAGTAGATCTGATTTTTACTCGTTGTCTTTTGTTGGGTTTATCTTCTCCAAAAGTGGTCAGAAATGTTAGCAACAACATAAGCGAGTAGAGAATTATAGCTAATGCAGTTGGTAATGCCTCTCCTGCTAGAGATACATTGAACAGATTAAATATAAGGGCACAGTTAAACCTCCCCTCACCTCCCCCGAAGTACCCCAGTCGCTATTAAAGTAAAACTAAAAAAAGACTATTAATTTGGTTGCTACATTAATTCTTTTAGGGTTCACCTGGAGGAAAAGGGATCAAAGGAAAAAGAGGTGGTCAAGGGAAAAAGGTATATCGATTATTGTATAACTTCTCACACATATTCTGAAATATTGCACACAGCTATGCACGATTGGTATCCAGTGATCGACTTACGCGAAATTACATTGGTGTGTGATAATTTATTAAAGAAAATTCACAGATTGATTGGCTAATAGCGATGAGTAAAATCGTTGTAGTCGTATTTCATTTGTGACGTGTATGTGACGTCACACAGCAATGGCGTGACGTCAACATCTCAAGGCAGCAGAGATGTGCATGAAATCTTGGATAATAAAAACACGTGATGTTTTATTATTATTGATTAAACCGACACAAATGCGAGCGAATGTTCAACTTAATGTTCAATCTCATTTAATGATAAACTATAACACTTCAAATTCCACCCTGAAGAATGATTGCATACAACTTATCATGTAGCCTAAATAGGCTTTTAAATTAGCACCCACGAAGCTCGCCTTCAATTTATTGTGAAGCATGTAATTCTGTTCTGATTTCTATCAATGGTTTCTTTCATTCCACATGGGAGAAAGATAAAAAGATCGAGGCTATTTTTTAGGGTATTCCGGGACCTCAAGGACTTCAGGGATCAACTGGGAAAAAAGGTGCACCTGTAAGTAAGAAACCAAGAGGTTGTAAAATCCCAGAAAAATACTAAAATGGACGAAAACCCGTTTCCACGTTCTAAACGTTCTAAGCCCCGTCTGAGGAGTTAGTAGTAAATTCCCACGAAATGAGTGCGTTGTTGTATCTATAAACAGTCTAGTTGAATACTAAATGTTTTCTTACAGGGTAGAAAGGGTAGAGATGGTGTAAACGGTGAAAAGGGAGGACCGGGTGATCCAGTGAGTACACATGCATAGCGTACACCACACATCCCTTTAACCAACCATAACAATCTAATTATATGCTGGCGTGTTGTTCTTTCACAGGGAGCTCCGGGGGATAAGGGAGAAAAAAACAACGTGGCTGGACCAAAGGGGTTGCGGGTAAGAGTTGGGTATACCTGCTTGAAATTTTACATGGAATAGTAGCAGAATATCGTCATTTTATCAAATTTTGGTGCAAGGTTGTCACTTACCACATGCTTTCCAAACTGCATGTTTCCCCTAGGATGACAATAATTACGTTGTTGCACTTGGTGAGACTAAACCTCAGATGCGAAAATAATTTGTTTGAATTTTTATTCATATCTTCATCAGAAATGCATGTTTTATCACCTATTAGCTATGTACTTTTTGCCTTAATTATAATTAAAAACTTTACCGCTGGAATAATTTGCTATTTAAGGGAGAAGATGGTGCACCAGGACCTCCGGGTAATGTCGGGAATACAGGAGCAATGAAAGGCGAAAAGGTTCGTAGTTGAAGCGTATTATTTGCTATAGTCGATAAACTCTTTCGATATCGCTCAGTGTTTCAAATTTGCGCTCGTCAGCCGATACACTGTTAAAAGTCGTGACTTTTCTAATCGTCGATACTGTTTTCATCAAACACCGCTCAGTCGAGTTACTTGCCAGTGCTGTACACTTAAAAGAAGAGAGCTAATGGAGACGACAATGAAATCGTGAAAAACGCACGGGGATTAGGAACTTTGTTAATATTGGAAACCCTAAACTCTGCCAGGTCAATCCTCTGCAGGCTGCATTGCAATATTCTAATAGAAACACATAACGAGATTGGCCTATGTGTCGTGGTTTTGGGAAAAAATCTGCGGAAGAATCAAGAATGTGTCCTGCAACATCTTCATATGCTTTTTTATTCTCTTATTTTTACCTCGTGATGAAGTTAGTACATTTTGTTTAATTTTCTAAAGTGTAAGGGAGACACAACCCCGCGAAACGTGTACACTTAAATGGCACTGGTTTTCGCTATAGTTACACACTTCAATGGTTCTTATAATAGTGGATTATATTTATTCAACTTAGGATCAGGTTGAGAATAAATGCATACATAAAAGTATGGATAATAAATTCACTTCAACTTGTCTTTTAACTATCTATGGATAGTCTTTTAACTATTCATGATGAAAGCTACTGAATGTTATTCTCGTCTTTATTTTATATCATCACCAGGGAGAAAGAGGAGCTACGGGTCCTCCAGGGACATCTGGGACACCTGGACCACGGGTATGATTGTAGATACTTCTTCCAGATAGATAGATATATTCTTTTTGACGTGTCAAACCATAAGTCGGTTCTTTAGAAGTTGGCTCTAAATTTTTTTTTTGTAATCTTAAAACTACGACGGTTTCCTATCGTGCCATACCTTGCTATTTTCGTGAATATTATGTGATAAACTATGATTGTCAAACATATGCTTATACATAATTTTTATTTTGAATAATTTTGATGTTTCTACAGGGTCCACCAGGCCCCAAAGGAAAAGCTGGTGCGCCTGGCGAAAAGGTTATATATCTATAAATATTGGATAAATTTTATAAATATATATCCATTTTGTTTCCATGTTTCCAAATAATATCCATATTTCTCAAACCGAGACAAATGTGGGACCTTACTCTGATAGAGAAAGTCTCTTTCTTAGGGTGACGATGGTGAAAGAGGCACGGAGGGTCAGCCCGGTGACCCAGGTTTGAAGGTAGGAAAACGTTTTTTGCATAGAAAGAACGTTCAACCTTACCAGAGAAAATCAAACATTAATGGCATTATGTAACGTCTAACGTTATCGCAAGCAACCAATCAGATGTTCAAGTCATGCCCGTAAAATTTTGTAAAATTATCAAAATAATAAAGAACTCTCCTGAATGAATAAAATTGTCGATTTTGTAGGGATTTCCTGGGAAAAGAGGTCCGCCAGGACCTGCAGCCAGCGATGGAGAAAAGGTAGTTCGTTCACGTTGAAACATTATAGAGCCTGACAAAAATCATAGCTATTTCCCTCATAAAATGTAGCACATTTGAAAAAAGTTCATCATTTCTTCCATATCAGGGTGATCGGGGGGATCCAGGACCACCTGGCACAGGTGCGCCAGGATTAAAGGTAATTCTGATTCTTATGGTTTTGAAAATGACTTGTTCACGGCAACCACGTCAAGATGAAAACCAAGCTTGTAACGAACAGAATGGTGAATCAATTTTCTATCTAGGGTATAAAGGGTGAACCCGGAGATGCCGGCCCAAGCGGTCCAAAGGGTGAAGTGGTGAGTATTATATTTTCAATATGACAGCAAGGAATCTTTTTTCGATTCTTCTTTGCTTTCAACTAATGTTGACTTCTCTACATAGGGAGTTAAAGGAAGCGATGGACCACCAGGCAATGCTGGTCCCCAAGGAGACCCCGTGAGTAGTAGATAAACGTGATTATGAAAATTATTGAAATGTATATTTAAAATTTCGTTTTTGAGGCATATATTAATATATCGTGGTTCACAAAGAGTCATACCCCTTAATTGGATAGACTGTTTTTGTATCTTTTTGACCGTATTAAAGAGAGAGTTTTACACTAGGAAATGCGAGTATATAGACCTACTTGTGAACTTTTGCTCAGTTAATTTTCTTTCTTCATCCGTATAGGGTGGTCTTGGGTTACAGGTACTGTGGTCTCGGTCATAAACTCATTTATCACTCTATACTTTTTATTATTTATATAGAGAACAATAATTGAACAAAAAACATGCATTGAGTCGTAATAAAAGTCTACATTATGCTATTCTATGGCGGTATTTTACCCCACTGAATCTTGCTATTTACTGAGAAAAAACGCTTTAAATGCTGAAAGCTTTTTTGCATAATGATCACCCCGCACTAAAATATTATTTTCCCCTTGTAGGGAGAGCGAGGGCCACAGGTATGAATTCATATTAGTTTTAGATTTGCGGTAGGAAGGCTATTTGTATATAGGCTAGGTGTACGATATACAGACCATTCTTACACAAATATTTACTGAGATATATTCTTACCCTTTTTTACTTAAGGGTCCACAAGGAGAGAAGGTAGATATATATTTTTATCGCGTTGTTTAACCCACTTGATGTTTGCAGATTATGATTTTTATTTGAAAAGAGCATTAATTTATTCATCTTTTCACCTGACAGGGCGACCAAGGACTTCCTGTAAGTATATAACAGTTCACAGCATAGATTTTTATATTTCATTCATTTCTTTAATCCAGTTTTAAAAATCATTACATTTAATCGATTTTTGTATCGAATATCCTTCTCTACACAGTAGTTCTGAACTGAACTAAACTAATATTAACTTTTCACCTCTAGGGCCCGCCAGGTCCTCCCGGAAAACAGGTACAGCTTGAAGTGATAAATAGATTACAAATATTGAAAATACCATGAAAACAATATATGTATATAAGTATATGTATATTTTTATATTTTCATCAGGGTTTCCTTGCAATTGACAATCTTGCTATCGTATTTCTAGGGTTTTGGATGGAGTGAAAGTTTCTCAAATTATACCAGTGGCGATGGTCCTCCACCAATTGTGAGTCGACTTCATATATTATTATTAATTGTCACTTAATATATATTGTCTCGAAACCTTTACTAGATCTAGGTATATCACTGTTGAAGTTTTTAATGGTAAATAATTTTGAGTATATAGAATTTTGAGTAGTTCTGTGTCTCTGACATAGGAAGATACACAATACCGATATTATCCTTCTGCTTCTAGCAAATCCACTGTTTATACCACAAGGAATTTCGTTAATAATTCATTAGGTCATGGACATAATCCACTCTCAACTTGAGGAAGCTCAAGAGGAATACACTAAGCTACGTCATGCCACAGGAGAACAGGATCGTCCAGCTCGAAGTTGTAGAGATCTGATGACGTACTCGCAAAACAAAAACCTGATGAATGGTAATAATATGAAAGTTGATCACAATTTTTGTGGGTTTCATGAAACGTCATCGTCATACCAGACACATGCATGCAGCAAACATTCATTTCTGTTACCGAGTTGATTTCGAGTTTCCCACCATAAAACCTGAGAATGCTTTTGGTTTGCCTATATACAGCTGACCTTATTGTTCTTTCAGGCATTTACTGGATCGATCCGAACCAAGGCTCTGTCGAGGATGCTTTTGCAGTCTTTTGTGATTTTGATAATGATGGAGAAACGTGTGTAGAATCTGTCGACAAAACAGTAAGTAGGAGTAATTGGTTAGAATTTTCAATCCAGGAGATACCTGATCTTAATCAAGTTTTGTCTTGCAGAGTTCCATTCGATCAAGTGGAAATCTCCAAAATCAAAAAAATCATACGGAATATAAGGTCAGCATCTATTCTTCCACCAGGTTCAATATTCAATTTTCCTCTTTTCCTCAATTGAATCACAGGGCTAATATCGCATCAAATAAATGCCCGGATTAAGAAACGACCGAGACAGAAGTAATATGGATCATTTCCTTCTTCACGCGTATAATGATAGAGCTTTTTCATTTGGATATTTAGCGGGGTTTTTTTTCATTTTTCAAGATAAAATATGGCGGAAATGCCGGTCAACTAAGGTTTCTCCAAGCGCTAACTAAGATCGCCACACAAAAGTTGGAATATTCCTGCATAAAAGGCTCCAGTAGCACTGGCTTGGAAAATGTCATCACAATTCGTGGAATCAACGGCAGAGAAATACCCCGAGAGTCTCGACAACCAAGACTCGATATTCGTACCGATTGTAAGGTACGTCCAATCAATATTAGTCATTGCCTTTTCCTTCCGCGCATGCTCTGAGGCCAGTTGTTCAAAGCCATGCTAGCGCTAACCCTGGGTTAAATTTTATTCCAGTGTTTTAGTTTATGTGCTTCTAAACCACTTCTTGTTTTAAAACCTTCAATTGGTCCAGAAAATATCTATGAAAAATATATTCAACTTTGTAATAAAGAAAAATAAAAAAATTAATGTAAAGATTTGCTTTAACCCAGGGTTAAGCTAACCGACTTTTGAAGAACCAGCCCGGTGGCTTACTTCTCTAAAAAATCTTCTAAACCTGTTTAAACCTTAATTATTTTGTTGAAAGTCCTTTGTATTGACTAGAACTCGCTCAATATGATCGGGTTAGCTCAGAAATAAATGTAACCACGATGTCCGATTACCTGAGATGTCACTGCGTACAAGAATGAGAACAGTATCCACCTTTTTTCTCCAGGTTAATTCAACCGAGCCACAAGGCAGAGGCGTTATTGATGTCACAGTACGGAGGTTTGAACTTCTTCCCATCACTGATTTCTCGCTTTCGAGCTCAGACTCCTTTTATACACGGTTAGAAGTCGGCCCCGTCTGCTTTAGATGACAATCATTAATATTAAAAAGGGAAAACGGAGAGAAACGGGTTGGAAGTTGTAACATTCCCAAGTGTTAATAACAGTTAATGTAAAATGACAGCATTTTCAGCATTTTAAACTCTTGTTGTTTTGCTTATTTTTATGTTTGCTATTGTAGATTAAATGCATAATAAGCCATTAGCGATTGATAAAAAATATCAAGTATGATGTATTCATTAGTATATTGTGTATTTTCTAAATTGACGTCCAAACTAGGTCAATAGCTTTAATATCAGTGACTTTTTTCAGATAATAAATAGATAAATGACATTGACGACTATTTGAGAAATTGTTTTAGGTTCTTTTACCAATTCAGCTATTGCATCCAATGTACTCTCGTGCGGAACAAAAAAAAGCCAGTGATATCATCAAACTGCCTTCTGCCCCAGAGATAGTTGAGAAATTGTTGATGTTGACGCATAATGTAAATAGGTTAACAGAAATATGTGGAGATAATCTATTTTTCGCGCCTCGCGCCTTTTCTTCGCGCCTCGCGCCTTTTCTTCGCGCCTCGCGCCTTTTTTTTCGCGCCTCGCGCCTTTTTTTTCGCGCCTCGCGCCCGCCTTTTTTTTTCGCGCCTCGCATCTTTTGTCACGCTTTTTTACAGCGCTTTCCTCTTTGTTATTTTTATATTCAATACACTTTGATATTTTTAAAATTTTGGTCTTCGTATTCCTCCGGAGTCCGGACAGACGAAGGTAAGAGTTCCTTTCTAATATCACACTTTAAACCGAATCAATTTCATCATTATTTAAAGAAAAAAACAAGACGCCTGGTTTTGCGAGTTTAACTCCAGCACGTGTCAGTATTCAATATAAAGCTTCTGAAATTATATAAATAAACACTACAGTTCATACTCATTTAGAAGCCCTGCGAAACCTAAATGTTATTCGGTATTCAGAATTCATCTATTTTCCACCATTGGGTGTGTTGTTAGAAGTAGAACTATTGCAAAACTAGTAATAGATGGTGATAGTAAATATTTTTGAGGACATATGCTTTTATATTTTATTGCCGAATACGGTGTTATCGAAACAAATTTGCCTGAGTATTCATACACATACTTTATATTAATTATAACTTGCATATCAAAGCCGCGAAAAAAAGGCGCGAGGCGCGAAGAAAAGGCGCGAAAAAAAGGCGCGAGGCGCGAAGAAAAGGCGCGAGGCGCGAGGCGCGAAAAATAGATTATCTCAAATATGTGGAAAGGTCTATTAACTATTGAGCTTCGAGCGCTCAGTTGGAACGACAGTTTCTCTCCTGCTGAGAGTTATCCGGTCGTCATGAAGGAAGACTTAAGGTTGTAACCCAATATATACCGGATTCCGAGGTTTTGATTTTTGTTATTATTCAACAAACTTACTAAATTCAAAAAATTAGGTACGCGGTGCGTACATGTGGCAAGCGTTGGTGCGAAGCATATACCCTAAGCAAATGTAAGACAAATTAGAAACCAGAACATCAAAAACGTTATCATTTCCTTAATTTCCTAAAGTCTGTGATGAAGGCTTGAAACTTTTGCTTGCCTCAGTAAACAATTGACAAGAGAGAGAAATATGTCTCTACTACGGGACATCCTGCAAATATTCTCGGCCATTTATCTATAATTGGGTTTAGTGTTGTTTAATAACCCGATTGATCGAGAATTTAGTAGATTTTTGTCCTTTGATTGAGTTGCGCCTGTCGCATGCTTTCAGCCCAGATTAGGTCATCAGGATAACTTTTATTACGTGATTGAATTGGCTTTTGAGTGGTTGGCTTCAAACAGGACTAAACGGGACATCTATTTTTTCAGTAACAATGTGGTAAGCCAACGGCTAACTACAAAAACGAGAGTTTATGCTATAGCAAAGAATTAGATAGTTGTTTGCGGATCCACCAAGTCGTTAGGAAGAAATCTATCTTCTTTCTAGAATAAAACCAATTATTTTGTGGTCTCTTGACAATTCAGGAAATTGAATAAAACGAGGTCGAATACTCGCGACGTGATTGTTGACATGCCCATGCAAGAAGGCAAGAAGCAACAAGAAAACCTTTTTATAAGTGAATTCGTATGAATGAACTCAATCGGCGATTAATATAGCAATCCTAGACCAACCAGATCAAATTGCAATCATACGAGTCATACGAACTATTCGTTATACTGTATATTATAAGACATAAATATTGGACGTGATGTACAACAAAATCAAGTTTCAGTTTTCCCTTGGATCTGAAAATATATCATCACTATTCCTTGCAACAATCAGTAAATTGCCAATTTTTTTGGATTTTCAGACCTTGCTTTTTGAAAATAGATCGGATATGTATTGCTATTCAAATTCACTCATCACCATACTTAATTGGAAGTTCCTTGACCTTGAATTACGTCAACGTTTCAGCAATACACTCTTCCTGTATGACCAGAGCTATCAATTCTTCAAGGTCCGAACTTTATGCAATCAAGGTTACCAATTGTGTTGCTAAAGACCTCTTACATATAGAAGCTCGTAAAGAAAGGCATAAAGATGATAAAAGCCTTAGTTGGCTTCACGCTGCTGTTCTGTTGGAAGCAATGTATATATGCGTAAGTGTTTTGATGTACACTTCTGTCTGATCAATGTCAGCATGCTCATATTAAAATAATGTGCGCACAAGGACTTGCCTCTGGCACGGACTCGCCTCTGTGCAATAGCTTTTATTTCGCTATGTTTTTTGGAGTTAATATGTCCATATTCTCATTCTTAAAGCCTGCAATTATTAAGTTTAAGATTTCTCTGTTCCAAAAGTATTTTAACAGGTAATGCGCAGCTAAACGAATACAAATAATCATAAGTTGCTTGGAATTATAAACATTGTTTGCGCAAAACATACACTCAACGCGCGCAGGTGTCCTAGCAAAATCAATTGACCGCTAATATATCACTATAATAGTCGAGACAATGAACGACTTGGACATGTTTAGAATAGTTGGTTTTATTAATAAACAAGTCGTGACAGAGCTTTTCAACTTGTATTACATATACCAAAACATGAGGTCATATTCATGTAATGTCGATATCGGTTTGAAATCGTGACTAGACTCTAGAAAGATCAGCTCTTTAATATGCATCTCGTGATCTCGAACAGGCAGTTACCAACTTACCACTGGTGTGTTAGTGGGGAAGAGGTCTATAGAAATGACATAAACTAGCTGCTTGAAAAACATCACTTAACTTAGTGATTAGCAGTAACTTAGCTGCTTGAAAAATATCACGTTTCTACAATTAGCTTTCAGACGAAGGACCTGCTGTGCTCGGAAAGTTGATGTTTTGTATTTTTTGATAGTCAATATCTAATCACATTATCACAATTCGCTAATGAATCCTCTTGTCAGCCAAGAAAGTCTATTAACCCAAAGCCATTGGTATTAGCTGTATTCGTACGCTAAATTTGGTTTGATGTCCTGCATGTCCACATCTTTACCCTCGTCTTCACCTATTGTAATACATATTATATATGCGTTCAGATTTCACCATTTTACTAATAATGCACTTCTTTGGCTTTGCGCATGCAATCAGTTAAAAAAGAAACAATTGCCAATTAAATGGAGAAAATCTCACCAACCAATCGACCACTTCAAATGTGTCAACATGAACGTGGGGCATGCACAGTGCATTTTCGAGTAACATAATGGATTTGAAAGAGTTAGAACTTGAAATTGCAAAAACGTGAACGGATTTTATGTAAAATTTTATCTGCCTACTTGTTTGTATTAAAACTGGTGTGTGTAGTATATTGATCAACATTAATCTTGCGTGCCTTCACAACGTTTGATTTAGAAAGTTAACGATTTTTTGACGATGGATTTCCTTTTTCGACATCAATCTATTTCTTCCCATCACCATAGCATTAAGTTGCAGCCTCATCTTAACTTTCAACATGTCTATAATATTTCTGTATTGAATTTCGATATCCCTTCCTCATCAAAGCCGGAGACGGAGACCGTGCAACCACAGACCCTTTTCTGATTTTTTTTTCATAGGCAAGTCAGCCCGAAGTATTTCATAGCAGCACCGAATCTTCTTCGAGTTGGAATCGAAGAAACAGTGTCTGTGTCTGTGTTTGATGTGAACGGTGATGTCGACATACAATTATCCCTTCAAGATTTCCCGAACAGGAGAAAAACATTCTCCCGTGTCTCAGGAAGATTCAGAGCACGTATGTTGACTAAAGTGGAATTAGTATAATTGTAGTTCAGTAATTCAACCAAGTATAATAAGCATGTAGTAATCAATTATTTGACTTTTATTTGACTTATTCGCGCGACGCTGATTGGTTTGCGAAAAAGTGGGATCGCTTCCTACTTTTATAAGTTCGCGGGAATGAATTCGCCTAGGGGAGAACGGGCAGATTAGACAAAATCAGCCGGAAAAGTTTCTTTTGTCTGTAAAAATAAAACAAAGTCTTTCCCTTTACAAGGAGATAAATCATTTTATAATTTTATTAGATAAATACAGACTTAGTTATCCCTGTGTTCGCTAACTGTTACTGTCTGACTTATAACTGTCTGTTACTATTTTTTAACAGAGCAACCTGGTCTACTGAAAATAAAAGTGAGTCGAAAAAGAATTTGCCACTTAGTCAAAAATCTTTCCCAGGTGTTTGGTATAAAGGGAGGGACAATGGGAAGAATGATGTTGTTGGTATAGAGAGAGGGGGGATGAGGTGGTTGGTATAGAGAGATAAAGAATGAGGTGGTTGGTATAGAAAGATGAAGAATGAGGTGGTTGGTATAGAGAGATGAAGAATGAGGTGGTTGGTATAGAGAGATGAAGAATGACGTGGTTGGTATAGAGAGATGAAGAATGAGGTGGTTGGTATAGAGAGATGAAGAATGAGGTGGTTAGTATAGAGGGATGAAGAATGAGGTGGTTGGTATAGAGTGATAAAGAATGAGGTGATTGGTATAGAGAGATGAAGAATGAGGTGGTTGATATAGAGAGATGAAGAATGAGGTGGTTGATATAGAGAGATGAAGAATGACGTGGTTGGTATAGAGAGATGAAGAATGACGTGGTTGGTATAGAGAGATGAAGAATGAGGTGGTTGGTATAGAGAGATGAAGATGAGGTGGTTGGTATAAAGAGATGAAGAATGAGGTGGTTGGTATAGAGAGATGAAGAATGAGGTGGTTGGTATAGAGAGATGAAGAACGAGGTGGTTGGTATAGAGAGATGAAGAATGAGGTGGTTGGTATAGAGAGATGAAGAATGAGGTGGTTGGTATAGAGAGATGTAGAATGAGCTGGTTGGTATAGAGAGATGAAGAATGAGGTGGTTGGCATAGAGAGGTGAAGAATGAGGTGGTTGGTATAGAAAGATGAAGAATGAGGTGGTTGGTATAGAGAGATGAAGAATGAGGTGGTTGGTATAGAAAGATGAAAAATGAGGTGGTTGGTATAGAAAGATGAAGAATGAGGTGGTTGGTATTGAAAGATAAAGAATGAGGTGGTTGGTATAGAGAGATGAAGAATGAGGTGGTTGGTATAGAGAGATGAAGAATGAGATGGTTGGTAGAGAGAGATGAAGAATGAGGTGGTTGGTATAGAGAGATGAAGAATGAGGTGGTTGGTATAGAGAGATGAAGAATGAGGTGGTTGGTATAGAGAGATGAAGAATGAGGTGGTTGGTATAGAGAGATGAAGAATGAGGTGGTTGGTATAGAGAGATGAAGAATGAGATGGTTGGTAGAGAGAGATGAAGAATGAGGTGGTTTAGAGACATCAAATACATTTCATTAACTAACTACAGACTGAGTTATTCGATAAAAATAGAACTTTAGATTGGCCTCACTTTAGTATTGGTTCGATTAAGCTGGTTTTGATTCGACTTTTGTAGGTAAACGCGAATGACTTACATGACCTGAGATCACTAGACAAACAATATGTCTACCTTAAAGCGAGTTCTAACACTCCTGGTATTGTATTCAATGATGAGATTAAAATTCTTGTCAGTTACCGAAATACCATGGTCTTTATTCGAACTGACAAACCCATATATAACCCCGGACAGACAGGTAAGCTAACATTTCTGTACGGAGTTTATATTTTAGTTATCGTTTAATAGTTGATCACTCCTGCATGCATAAATGGCCTAAAATAGTGTACAACACATGGTTGTTTCAAGTTTCAACGAAGGTTTTTAAGGAACAAAATCCTCTCATTTAGTCAACCTTCGAGTTATACCTCTCGGTCTGGATTTAACAGCATCAAAAAACAACGTGGGTACTTTATAGCTTTATCTTTCATCTGTTACGTTTATTAAAACTAGCGTCATTACTCCTAGTCTGCTCTATTCTCGCTTTAACATGTTCAGTATGTAGTTTCCCGCCAACATTGAATATTTTATTTGTTTCTTGATGTAGGTCACAATTGAGATTCTGGTAAGGAAGAAATATTAAATGTTCAAGTCGATGTTTATGTCGATGTCAGTTACTTGCTTTAATTCAAACAATCCAAGCTCTAAAACTAAGCTGGAAATCAAGTGACGATTTCTTTCTTTCAGAATCCTCAAGGTATTCGTGTGGCGAGATGGAAAGATCTTAACACCAACGAAGGTCTGTCATTTTCTTCTTCGATTTTTTTTTATCAATCTTACCGTATTATGCTGTTGAAGGAAAAACCGCTAATAATGAAGAAACTCGTACTATAAAATTCACAATAATTACGTTATCCTGCATGCAGCCCGACGTATTATCACGCGTCATATTTAGTGAAAATATTATTTATCAATTCGTCCCCAGGTTTCTTCTCGCGTCGTTATGAATTATCCGAGAATGTGCTTCTTGGAGTGTGGAAGATTAATGCCTTATATGGACACGGGGTGAGCACATTCATTCTTTTCACAGTCATCCAAAATACTTTTGAAGATGATTACGACTATGTTGAAGACCCTTCATATCTTTCATTTAATTTTTTCGCTTGTACATTTCTTTTAGCGTGTGCAGAATGCCTCAATCAAATTCGAAGTCAAAGAGTACAGTAAGTCAAGCATGCGCAGCTTTATACTCATGCGTATTTTTCCAGGCGGTCATTATGTCAGCGGATATTATAGGGAACCACAAAATCAACATCATTGGACCTACTCGAAAAAGAGAAAGAGGCCTGTTTCGAGTTATGCGAAAACAAGGCTAGGCAGATATTCTTTACTGAATTTAAAGTCATTTGTTTATTATCTTTCTTTATCGCTGAACCTGTTTCAAGCTACACACAAACAAAGTTTTTCCAGTCAAAATCTAGTCATTTTCCAGTCAAATTCCAGCAGAAAACCTGACTAGCCTCGTTCTCGCGTAACTCGTAACAGGCCTCTTGCTCTTTTTGGAATAGGTCTATTGGACCTCTAGAATAATCTGACAATATATAATTGGCCCATATCAGCGGATTTAGGACCGGTTTTATGCTTTAAAGATTTTCTGCATGCTGTGTAACAGGAATTTTCATGGATAATTTCTACATTTGAAAGAAATATATAATAGTTAATAACCCTGAGCTATCGAACCTTACTCACACTCTCCTTGTCTGCGACAAATATATTGCATTTCTGCTTATCGATAAGGGTTTTGTGTGGCAAGATTTTGAATGAAAGAAACCTTAACAACTGCATGTTTTTTTATTTCTTTTCAGTTCTGCCCAAGTTTTCTGTGAATATTGAGGGTCCGTCATACATATTGGAGAACGATTCATCAATTTCAATAAAAATCAAATCGGAGTATGATCTATTTTTAATCGATGATATTTTATTGCTAAACTTGCACGAATAGTGGAAAAGTGCGAATCAACTGCACTTGTGACGTCAACTATGAAAAGTTTTGAATATCATTTTCATGATAACACACTCTTGCATTCGAGAGCTGAATTATTTGAGGCTTTGAGAGGCCTGCCGCTTGAGAGTTCTAGACGGCTAGCTTTAAATTCTGCAGCCGGACTTTCAGTGAAAAGCTTCAGAGTTAATAAAATAAAGCAACTATGATATAAATAATCCTGTTTTAGCTCAACATATACATGCTCAGTTAGAAGTTTCTTCACTCACCGTACAGTCCAGGGACGTCGAGAGGGAAAGGGAAATATTTCGGTCCAAATATTACTGTACCATAGTTGGCGGCGCCAAGAGAGGCCTTTTTTACAATTAAAGCCTTTAGATCGTTAGGAATCGATCGTCTGTTGAAAGGTTTTATATCTACCTATCTCATTGAGTTGATCATGAAAACGTTGTTGTAACAACAATGACACAATATCATTTTAAACTTTAATTGAAACGTGTTCGAAGCATTGTTAGTTTGATATTACTTGTCCACGCATCTAATCCAAGGTTATTTCGTTTCCTTTACTCTAGATATACTTATGGCGAAGGGGTTCAAGGAGCAGTTCGGGTGAATCTTGCTGTTCTTGACGATAGTGGAAAAGCTGAACGATTTAGCACCTCTTTACACTTGGTAAACGTGAAATTCTCGCTTTATTTCATGCCATATCTATACTATGCTATATTCTATCATACTAATATGCCATTGGTTGCCTTTCCTTTATAGCTACAGGGCGGAAAAGCAACCGTTAACGTTCAAACCAACCTAATCAAGGACCATCCGAAAATACTCTGGTTTCCTGATGGCAAACGACTATTGATCGAAGCTAAAGTAACTGAACAAGCAACAGGAACTGAAGAAAAAGCAATGGATAATAAAATATACTTCACCAATTCTCCCTTAAAGATTAGCTTTAAAAGATCTCCAAAATTCTTCAAACCAGGAGTACCTTTCCTTATTAAGGTGTTGTGAAATTATAGTTATTGGTAAAATTTTCTACATCATTTACTTTTATTTCGCTATTGGTACACTTTTTTATTATGAATGACATCAAGTTCAGATCTAATAATTCATCATGCATTAATACGTTTTTTTTTCTGTTTTCTCGTCCACGGTCAGACTAGTTGGTAGTTTGAATCGGGGACGCCGGAAGGATCACGTTGTTAGTGGGGGGAAAGACTCGAGGGCCACTTAAAGAGTGAAAATTATTCAGAAAAAGTAAAATCAGGGGGAGAAGAGAGCGAATGTCCCCCCTTTTCTCTGGCGTCCCTGGTTCAAATTGATACCCAATAAACGTTAAATAGCCACAAAATGATAACATTTTCCATACGATTTACCCGATTACAATTCTTTTCTGGTGCATCGGTTGCATCAAAAGTGATGTATTTATGCGCTAAACAAGCTTATTGTATAGGTTGACGTAACCTACGTGAATGGTAAGCCAGCAGAGAATATTGACATTGAAATTGATGCGAAGACTGACGGCGGAGTGGCAGTCTTAGAGCGTGCTGTTGATGGCGTTCAAGCCAGTGGAGACAAAACAAACCAACTCGGTCATGGCGCTTTTGTTATTGATATTCCTAGGTTATTTACCATCAATCGTCTGGATATTAAGGTACGTTGCAACTCTTTTGAGCATACTACATTTTCGTTCATTCCTAGAATGATTCTTAGAATAAAGAGTTTTGAATCTGAATCATAAAATAAGGCAAGGAAATGCTAGAGGTTTAAATAAGGCATTAAACAGTTTATTTCTTGAAATGTACTTTAATCATGCAATACTTGTAATTTACTAAAAGGTACCTAAAGAACGTACGCTCCTGAAAAATGGCCACCACATACGGCCTTGTGGTTACCATATTTCTTGTTCACGAAAGATGTACCGACATCGACTTTATTAAATATATTTATCACTATTTACCAGCTTTTTTCTATCTTAGGTCAGTGCTAAAACCAATCAAGGGGGAGTGGATATCATTTCAGAAGCGATGTTTCAACCAACTATGTACAGTTCCAGCGGAAATAACTACTTGTTCGTTCGATTCCTTACGAAGGCTAAAGTAAGCAAAACTCTTCCTTTCCATAATTTCATATATATGGGTGTATATTCATATATTATTCGTCTTATGCCCAACTGATTTCTTTTGTTAGCTATTCTACGGTCGTACGAACATTATTATATGAACAGATCTAGACCTATCCCCTTTTAGCTTTCAAGCGCGCAACGCGTGACGGTAGTTGATTATATCGCTTTGTTTAGAAGTGATTTTGCTTGCTTCTTTGTTAAACTAAATCGCTCCTGTACATGGCGAAATCACAACTCAAATTGACCTTGATAATCAATTACTGTCACGCATTGCGCGCTTGAAAGCTAAAGGGGAAAGGACTATGTACAACCCCCAATTAAGCTTCTACAATCCTGGCCAAAACCATCGACTACACTCTGAATGATTTGTACTTTTTTACGCAAAACATTAATATTTCTGTTTCGTTTCCCCCCCTCGCCCCCCCTAATCAATGTTGAATCTATGCTAAATGCTTGAATGAGTTATGACACATCACTCAACGTTGATTTGTGGGGGAAAGGGGGAGAATTTTGAAATAAACCCCGCGACTGCTGACTGTAGTGTCAATTAACACAGAGTGTCGTCATTACTAGAATACTTTTGTTGTTACTACTGCTGGGAAACACGGACCTAGCAAGAGTTTTCTTGTTTCACATTGCATATTTGGCTGAAAGTAGAGTTAAGTGTTGTGTTTTAATCACCCAATATAGGTTGGTGAATCAGTTGTGAGCGAAGCATTTGTTTTATCCAATCAAAACCCAAGTTCTTTAACTTATTTGGTGAGATTATAGTTCACGCTCTTTTAGATATTTACCTGAAAGCTAATTGAAGTCTAACGTGTTGAGAACATAGACGTTGGCGTTTGCCCATTCAGACGTATTGTCAGATGTTACCAGTTGTCAATCACTAATCTGTAACAAATATCTTTTTCACTTTTCTATAATTTTAGGTAATTGCTAATGGTCGGGTTGTTACCCAAGGATCAATCGACAGAAACCTGGGTGTGGTAACGTCAATTAGACTTCTAGTAACTCCAGAGATGTCACCACAAGCACGATTTATAGCTTATTATCATGCAAACAATGAGCTGGTTGTTGACAGCGCTATCATGGAGGTCGAGGAAGAGTTGCCTAATAAGGTTAACATTTAACGAATTGTGTATGTTTCATCGCATATCTGTACCGTCTATGACGTGCAAATGACTAATTCCCCCATGGTCATAAAGTATATTAACTAGATCTAACTTATCTTATCTTCTTCATATTCTCAGGTTACCTTCCTTGGTAATCAACATCCCCAGAAATTACCAGGCCAACCTCACAAGATCGAAATTCAAAGTAGCCCGCATTCCCATGTTGGCGTTCTGGCTGTTGATCAGAGTGTTTATCTCTTAAGAGATGATAAGCATCTTACTAGTGACGAGGTAATAACGATCAGTTCACACTGTTTCAATAAGTAAAGGCACGATCTTTTACCTTTAATCTTTTCACCAAAATTTTAGGTATTTAAAAGAATGAAATCACATGATCTTGGATGCGGAGCAGGAGCAGGGATGGACAACAAAGACGTACTAAGAGTAAGTCTTGACAATCTAAACACTTTATAATTATTATGAGTTATGTTGTAGTTTTTAAGTTACTGACATTTTCCGATTTAGCGGGGAGGTCTTGCTGTGATGACAAGCATCAACAATCTTAAAACCGATACCAGGGAAGGTTAGTTCCAGTGTGTGTAAAAAATGTGACAGTGCAATGTGATTACTTGTAACGGCCTCTGTCAGGAGAGTTAGTATGAGATAAGAGGAAAGTTAGTCTGAGAATTAGTACGAGAGTTGTACTGATGAGAGGAGAGGCGAGTTATTATGTTGTTAGTTATGCCACATTTAATGCGAGGTTGTTTGAAAACGCTGCAACGGTTCTCCCTGTTTATTTTAAGTTTCCACAATTGCCGTATGTTGTTTTGTGTTTGCTTTCTAGATTTTAATCCTTGTGCTCCTGATGCGCGAAGAAGACGCAGAAGTGCAGGTATTGGGGAATAACATAAACGCAAGGTTATACGGCCTTTCGCCTGGACTTTTTTAGAGCGTTGTTTCTATTTTCAAGGCTAACATCTTCGTCCACCTTACTTACCCGATTGGATGGTTAGGTGTTAGCTCTGTCGATCGCGGGAGGGGTGGCTTGGGACGAGTTATGTTTCTTGGAGGCAGGTTGAGATCCCTCCAGGTTGAGAATTTCGTTTTAGACTATTCAGCAAGTTTGTTTACATTTTCGGTTACACAATCAGAATGCATAAGTTTTGGCTACTTCCGGTAAAAAGGTACATTATTTACCATTTTACATGAAGTATTTAAAATTTAGGCATTCTGATTGGCTTTGCCAAAAAAAGTTAAACTAATATGTCGATTAGTTTAAAACGAAATGCCCTCTGCACCGCGATTTGCCACTAGCCTATCCTCTTCAGTCACGTGGTTTGCCGGACGTCACGACCCGACGTCACTAAACCGGTTTCCTCGCTGTTAACCTTGTATATTGCATAACCCCATGAAAACATCAACGCGTAACGTGTTAAAATCATTTATTGGTAACACAAGGACATATGTCTCCTGATTATTAGGTATGTTGACTTTATAGTAAAATTTAATCTGTGTATTTAGATGATGTTGTGGACCAAGCATGTTGTCTACTTGGTCAGCTATCGGACCCAGCCACTTGTAAAGCTCGGGCGATGAGCTTCTCCAATTCAAATCTGTCCTCGTCATTTCATCCACGTGATGCCTGCGTGATACAGTTCTATACATGTTGCTACAAAGCATTTGAGATGGGTAAGAACGAAAGCCGGTTTTCTACCAAGCAGAATTTTTCGACCGAATGAAATTTTTTGATATTCTTTTCAATTGTGAGAATTCGACCGTAGCTTCACCAGTCATAATTGAAAAGAAAATCGAGCGAAAAATTTCTTTCGATCGAAAAATTTTGCCTAGTAGAAAGCCGCCTTGAGACGACTGTATCCACCAGTTCCCAGACGACTGTATCCCAGTTCACTGCTGTATCCACCTAAAAAGCTAGCTATATTTGACAAGAACGCACTGCGGTGACACAAATAAATGACTGAAGAAAACTGAAAAATTCAGGGCACTAGAATATTTAACAAAGCAAAAAAGTGTAGTCTTTTTATTGTTTTTCTTTTACTGTATACTTTTCACATCATTGGCTCGAATTATTTCATTTCAATTTAGATCACCGAGGAAGATCTGGCGACGTCGACATACCAAATGACCTGTTAAATAACCTTCCATTCGATGGTGATAAATTATTCATGGAGTTAGCTTTAGAGCAAGCTCAAATGAGAACAAATTTTCCAGAAAAGTGGTTGTTCGAGGATGCAAAAGCCGGGTGAGTTCACTGATAACTTCAAGATTTCAAGCAATAACCTTCGTCATCTATTCAAGATGAAACAATTTCACTGCACATATCTGCTCTGTTTTAACTGCATTCATTACAGATTTTAAGACGACACAACGAACACCTGATACTGACGGAGGACGGTCTACGGTTACTTCTCGTTTAGGGCTTTGTTAAATTTTTGAAATTCGACATTTTTACTTTACGTGTATACTGATGAAAACGTTACAATGTCAAAAACTAAACAGTAATGAATGTTCCTGCGAGGGTTAAAAATCGTTCGTTTGCCGACAACTAGTTTTCAGGGGGTGTCGTACCTAGCACCCCCCCCCCCCAAAGCGACGGCCCTTGATATACTTAACAGTAAACACTAGCAACCTTTGACTACGACATGATTTGTTATGTATTACACGTTATTCTGTCGTATCAGCAGAATAAAGAACGTAGTAACGAAACTGACTACGCGACGACGTTACTTGTGGAGAATGGTTTTGTTAATGAACGAAAATGTAGTATATGCTCATAAGAGTTAGATGAATGCAATTCAACATACCTTAATATCCAGACGATTGATGGTAAATAACTTAGGAATATCTATAACAAAAGTGCCATGACGGGACTGCAAAGGTTTGAAAGTTACACGAGGCTTCCGCGTGTAAAATCATTTGAGATTAAATTTGATATGACAAATATTTAGTATTTGTAATTAGTGGAAAAATAAATTCAACCGTAGTCGGCAGTTCGTTGTCAACATCTTAAAAATTTTATTCGCCCTTTGCATTGTCCTGCCTGAACACTAATAAAACTGGGCACGGGTACCAATAAATTGGGTGTAGTGTAAATCAACAGTCTCATATTGTGTATCTTGTTTTCAGTAAGAATGGTCGTGTCATGTTCCCTGTTACAGTACCAGACACGATAACATCGTGGGTACTGCAAGCGATTGCCGTTTCAAACACCACTGGCTTTGGTGTAACTCCATCATTCAGCTTGAAAGTTTTCAAACCTCTCTTCCTGTCTCTGAAGCTGCCGTATTCAGCACAACGTGGCGAACAAATATCTGTTATAACTACTGTGTTCAATTACAAGGCCACGGATGAAAAGGTATGAACGATAAATCAATTTTGATTTTTGGCACTTCACTCGACATTGGTAAACTCCAGAGGTTGAAAGAGTCTTAATTTCGAGTGGAAATTATACACACTTCAAATTCAAGCGAGGACTGAACAGTTAATTGAAAAATGAGTCAACTACCGATCCTCCGGCATCGCAAAAGCGTATAGGTTCGATTCCTGCCGAAAGACCGATAGTTGACTCATTTTTCAATCAACTGTTCCTGGCTTGAAATTGAGTGTATAATTCCACCCGAAATCAAGACCCTTTTAACCTCCGGTAAGTACGATATATTTACTACAGCTAGCCTCCTCATGTAATAAAACCACCAAGATCAGAAGATGAATTATTAAAATGCTTTTCGTACATTCAAGGTTTATATATTTCTCGAGAAACAACGTGGCGATCATTATTGTACGTATTCAGAATCCGGAAGAGGAGGTGCAACGTATACAGTCCAAGTTAAAGGTCATGGAGCAACGTCTGTATCGTTCCCTATTGTCCCCACTGAAATTGGAGAAATGTCTATTGGGGTAAAAATATACACTCGATCTACCTTAACAATGCGTGCTAACACAGTTCACTGTGCTAACATGACTGGAAACAAGCCCAGTCCGCTGAAAACAAATCAAGCCCACCCGGCCGACACAAACGCATCGCCAGTTAATTATACTTACTTGCAAGAGATTCCGGGACCCCTCGGAATATCAAGCCCGGGTATTTTACTTCCCCATACTCTCCACTTCCCCTTCTCTCAGCCATGCGGCCCTAAGACTAGCTGTTGACTACAAATAATGATTTTCATGTGACCACATATAGCTTCTTCACGTTTTAAAAGTAAGAAAGTGAGGACATAAGATAGAATTGATAGAAAGGATAGCGATTTTTGCTAATGTACATAAACGTCTTGTAAATTTAGGTCAAAATTATCTCGGGAAACGGCGAGGGCGATGGTGTACGACGAACATTTAAAGTATTGGTAAGTATAACAGTTAACTTGTGAATTCTCCTAAACCTAATTTAGTCCCATGATCAATACCGTTGTTCATTTACTTTCGAAAGTTTTGTTCAATTACTTTTTGCTTTTAGCCCGAGGGGATGGAAAGACGACAGACATATTCAGTAGTTCTCGATCCATTAGGTAACACAATGTTCGTTGTGTACCTCTGTAAATTAAACTAAAAAAACTTCTTCACCATATGAAAGAAAATATTGCATGAGAGTGTTTTGGGGAGTGTAATATTAGAAGCTGACTGGCCAAGTGAAAGTAGCTCTTCTCTAAAAACTAAATAAGGCTATAGGTCAGTTCACACGATCCAATTCACTTCTGATGGATGGTTATAGTCTGCTGACTTGCAATGTATATGGGTAGCAATTCCACCAAAACTGCCGCACTGAACGGGATTTAATATAGAGCAACTCCATTGCGTCTTGAGAATTTTCTTCCCCTGACTCTAGATCTACCACAGTACTGTTCAGTTTTAAATTTCTCCTCGTAGAGGATATTAAGGGAATTATCTCAATAAAGCACCCTTGCCTAAAAAATCTTCTTTTTTTTTCACCAGATGTCTTGCGTGATCCAGCAGAAGCCCAGCCTACTACTGCACCAACCACGCCATCCAAAATACAGACTTCAAAACGTAAGTTTCAGTTTGAGAATAATGATTGAGAATATCAGCAAAAACCAACACAATAATTGGCTAGGTCACAATAATGAACCTAGAGTGTGACACAGTGGTTTACAATATTTTCTATTATTTCAGAAGTATGGTAAAGGTTCCAGGGTTGGTTAGCAATCGATATAGAAATCTTTTAACTCTAAACAGGCGACCTCCATTAGTTACGCTATATTTCAAGACGTTATAGGCCAACTAGACTGATACTTGAAGACGAGACTATCAACACTTCTCAATCGTTTCCCCCCTCTTCCCTAAGCCTAGAACTGGGGCCTAATTCTCGTTTTTGTCCTCACCCTAGGCCTCTCAAAAAGGTCCGAGTCTAATCGTCCCTAACAAATAAAATACTATAATATTAGAAAATAAAAAAATATAATAAAATAAAATACTCCTTTATATCAGTTAAACTGCTATGTTTTCATTGCATGTGATTCCTTCATTTTTAGTCCAATCATTTTGTTTTTAGAGGGAAATGGTGAACAGAAGAACCGACTAAGTATTACGTTGCCAAATTCAACTATTCCTGAATCAGAGTATGCCTTACTTACAGTTATTGGTATGTATAACAATAATCGGTTCTTTTTCGAAATGCACGCTTAAGAGGGCTTAAAATGTCCTGCACATCCCCTCAAAATTAAAATCGACGGTATTGCGAGAAACGATCTAAAGATATTCTATGAATGTTCAATATGAATTCTAGGCAACCTGATTGGGCCAGCTGTATCGAATATCATCGAAGGTCGCGGATTGGATTCTATCATTAAACTTCCCACAGGCTGTGGTGAACAAACTATGTTAAAACTTGCGCCTAATGTGTTTGTTCTAAACTATCTGCGAAGTACCAAACAGGTCACCAGACATATTGAAGAAACTGCGTTCAACTATATTCGATCAGGTAAACTATAAATCACGGCAATCATATAGCAATATATATCTATAATAAAGATCCATGCAAGTTTGCAAAAATAGCAACATCAACTAAAATGAAATATTTTATGGGCTGTCCTTAAATTCTTTGTGAGCCTTGTTCTTCTTTAAAAACTATTAACGACGACACGTCGACGGCCGACATACAAATTAAAACCAGGCCTAGGAATGTTATCTCTTTACCTCCTTTTTATTGGGTGAGGCAAAATCATTTAGGTTATATACGCTAACTAATGTGTTTTATTTCAGGCTATCAGCATGAATTGAATTACCGTAAAACTGATCACTCATTCAGTGCGTTTCAAAATCGGCCTGGTAGTACATGGTATGTTTCTGCAGCATGCAACAATATATCGCTCTTTCAAAACTTCCCTAGCAAGAGTGTCTGTGATATTCATCCATAAATCAGATAAGACCGTATATAACATATTTTGACTTCCAACATTTCATAGGTATAATCTATATTATAAACTTCTTTCATGCATTCTATAGGCTGACGGCTTTTGTAATGAAGACATTCTGTGCAATTCAGAAACTTGATGGAATTGATATTGATCAAAATGTTATCGACACGGGAATACATTGGTTGACGTCAAGACAGCGGGCTGATGGTGCCATACCAGAGAATCACCCTGTTATTCATCAAGAAATGGATGTAAGTTTGGGGGATGGGGGTTTGTCGTCCGTATATATCCGGTGCAAATGCGGTATATGATGTGGTGCGGTGATATATGGCATGCTTGAGACGAACGACGATTAATATCTGCGCTGTGCAGGCCGCACAAGAGCTGCAGAGTCGAAACCAGATGTGAGAGCGCGCAGGGGTGCCTGGGGAGGACGTTCTCCCGTCGCTTCCTCCCCAAGCACACCTGCGCGCTCGCACATCTTAGCCACAGATCTCTATATTACGCTGAATGCAGCCGTTATGTTTTCCAATAAAGCGCCCGGGTACGAGGCTGGGTCGAAAAAAGAACGATATTTGGGTGGGGTGTTTATTCATATATTCAGTTCTGCCTGATGGATTTCTTTTGCAAGGGTGATAGCTCACAACCTCGCAACCCCCCCCCCCAATTATTGTTCTAGCTTCGACCCTGCTGAGCGGTGTGAGCCAGCCAGGGGGAAAAGATTTTGAGATTTATATAGACTCCCAGAAATGTGATTTGCTGCATGCGGCTAAGATTTTATCCAGGAAGTTGGTTTGTTCAACGACTCTCGAACACTGACTATCCGATTTCTCGGCTGATTTTGCCAAATCTGGGGGAGCGCAGCCCTCTCCCCACCACTGCCCAGCCCTCTCCCCACCCCTGCCCAGCCCTCTCCCCACCCTGCCTCATACGCTATAAATACTATTTTTGCAATCCGTTAAACTATTGATGAAATATGGATTTTTTCGTTTCTAGGGTGACATTAACAGCGACATAACAATGACTGCATATGTTGTAACAGCTTTCATTGAGTGTAACAGTTTTACACCGGTAAACAAAGCTAAGATTTTTATATTAGATAGCTCCACATGCTCGGTTAAGCATTTCTAAACACAGTTAGATAAAGATCACACACCTATATATTATATGATGTTCATTAACCACCATCTTTTACGCACCAATCTTGTCAAAAATATATTTGGTCTCAATTTAGAACTCGGTTCAAACAGTGAGAAACGCTGTTGCATATTTGGAGAACGCACGACCCAATGTAGGACGCGTGTATGTGAAAGCTGTGATTGCGTACGCCTTGGCATTAGCAGACAGCCCTCAGAAACTCAACGCGAACCAAGATTTGATAAACAGTGCTATTTACGATGGAGGTACGAAAAACTAATTTAAAGAAAGAAATTGAGCATAATGATGCTCCTAATTCCACCTAGACTAGACTAGACGCTCTGGTCCTGTATGTCAAATAGCCTATAGCCTAGTGTTATTTTATGAACATACTGATGTTTATAGGGAAGAACACGCGTTATTGGCATGATGGTCAAGGAGGTAATGCTATTGATGTTGAAACAACATCTTACGCATTGCTTACTCAAATGGTCCTCAAAAGGCGAGGTTATGCAGGACCCATCGTGGTCTGGTTGACAGAACAAAGAAAAGGCGGTGGCGGCTTCATCTCCACCCAGGTAGGTTATGTCAAGTTGTTATAGGTACGAGGGTAGCCTATATTATATAATTCGAGTGTTCGTGGGCCAAGGGCAAGATATAGAAAGAGAGGTGTGCGTAAGTGTGGTATGTTTTTGGGGTAAAGTTGCGTTAAAATGAGGACAAGCAAATAGCACATCTCGTATGTAAAAGATCACAACGCACAATGTGTGTTAATTTGAGGACAAAAAGTTTGTGTCACTACATGGGTGAATTATATTCACTTCGATTGCTGCGATTTTTCATGCAATTTTTTTTACATGTGAATGAGTACATAAGTTATATACGAATGTTCAAATAGAAGCACTTATATATAGGTCAGATTATTCATAACCATTCGCTCGTTTTCATCTACCATCTACGAAAATCGCAAGTATAAACTTTACGCATGCAGAATTTCGGATGTGGCAATAAACTAGCTCACTTAGTATCATTCTTTCACTCTTCGCCTTTCAGGACACATGCGTAGCTCTACAAGCTCTGGCTGCTTACAGTGAGGAAACTGGTGGAGATCAAATGAATCTTCGTATTGAAATCACTACAGACAGAGAATACAAAAAAACATTAACGATTAATCAGAACAATGCTCTGGTACAACAACAATTAGATGTAAGTTTTTAGAAATAAATTGCAATCAATATCAATCCTGTTAAATACGTGGTTAAGGAAGCAACAATTCGATCACTTAACTCGTCCACCAATAGTATTTTGTAATTGGAATCTCTGTGCATTTAGATTACCAATCTCATTGGAGATGAATTGTTTATTGAGACAAAAGGTTCAGGTGTAGCTCAGCTACAGGTAAATATAAGCAAAATAATTACGCGGTTCCATCAAGAGTCTGAACTTTTTGTTCATCAGTTGAACAATCCCCTTTTCAATTTTCACTTCTTTTAATGACCAGATTGAATCCAGATACAATACACCGCTGTCTGAAATCGAGGTGTGTCAATTTGACCTGGTGGTGACGACCGTAGAACGAGAAGGACGGTTTTATGATCCACCTATTCTTGTAAAACCAAAACCGACAAAATCGCCAAATAGAAGCAATCGCAAAGGTAACAATAAAAAATGCAGAAAAAACAAGGGGAAGAAATGTACTAGAAGGAGAAGATGCAAAGGAAAACGACGACGAAGATGTAAAAATAAGGGAAGTGGTAGACGCAGAGCTCCTAAACCTACAACCCCTGCTCGGCCCATTACCACGCGGCCTCCACAGAATGATGCGCCTGCGCCGAACACAGTCTCAATCAAGATTTGTACTAAGTAGGTTTTGTACAAATATCCTTCGGTACCTTTTTTAAATGGTGATCCTGGCGCATTTACATTTCTGAATACGCCTAATTTCTATCATCCCCAGGTTCAAAAAAGCTGGGGAAAATGCGGGAATGTCCATCATCGACGTTGGTATCTTGACTGGATTCAGCGTTAAACAAGAAACCTTAGTTGAGGTGAATATTTCGAAAACGTTGGAATTAATATTTAATAGCACCACCTGGCAACTTTACAGCCATAATCTTAGTGTTAACCTTAGTTCTATAACCATATCTTGCGACTTGCGTACAATGAGCTCAGTTAAGATTATTAAATAGATGTTGAATTCCAGCCATAAACATGCAAACATGTGATAGAATTTTGGAATCATAGTTTATCCTGCTGTACAAGAACTCATCTCATTTGATAATATTATTCATGGCTTCTTTACGACTTGATAGGATACTTTACCCATTTTGCTAGCAGGATTTTTCAAAATCCATCCATATTTTCTGGTTCAAACTGGAAATCCTTTTCTTTTGAAAAAGTATTTCCAAACTGTCAAACAAATCAATATAGCTCATGCAGTCGGTGTAGGCGAAAAGATGAAATAGCATTTATTGATAATCTTGTAGACACAATCATATTTGATGGGGAAAGCCCGCAATATTTTTATGTCATGCAGACACATGTGATCTCTAGATTTTGATTTCCTTCATTTCTCCATTTATTTCAGTCATAAGACATTCGATATTTTTTTAGCTACGTGACAAAGTGAAACCTGGTATAGCGAAATTTGAGATCTCAGACCGTCATGCTGTTCTTTACGTTGATAAAATCCCAAGTTCGCATCACTTGTGTTTCAACTTGGAACTACAGAGAGAATTTGAAGTTGGCATAGTCCAGCCAGTACCCGTCACCGTATATGATTATTATGATCCAGGTCAGTTTAATACGCAAGTTAGTTTTAAAAGGAAAACTCAGAACGGTAAAATTTTTCAGACAAATTTTTCAGCGTGAAGTAGAGTGTTTGTTTATGCATATGTTTATGTTTGTAGCATATAAATAGAACCTGTTAGTTTTGTTTAAAAGTTCGTGGTATTTTAATGTTTTATAGACAACAGGTGTACCAAGTACTATGGTCCTGAAACAGGCAGTAGGTTAAACCTCGCCACGTGTGAACACGACAGCTGCAAATGTGCAATAGGTAGCTACTAATAAATTACTGTATATTGATGAAATTCTACGCTCGGTCGCGAAAGCGAGCGTGTGGGTTTAAAGAGTCGACTTGTAGCAAGTCTAGTATAAACACTGAAGTTAAATTTCCCAATTGCATACTGGACATTGTAAAATATTTACTTTATTTACAGATAAATGTGCCTCATGCAAACCATCCAATGACGCTAATAATGTTGTCGACGAGTTATGTAAAAAATACGACTATGGTAAGACATCAATATAATACCACACCTTGTCCTTACCCTGTCACCTTAAATCTGACTTCAATGATACTAGTCAAATATTGAGTGCATTCCCCCCCCCTGGCCTTGGACCGTGTGGACAAGGCGACAAGGCGTCAAAGAGATAAACTAGATAAAAACAATTTTGAAAACGCTCGAAAACGACGTACGTGTGCACATAACCTTACCTCCTTTTATGTAGTCTTGCCTCGCCGACCGCGACGTACTCTTTATTAATCTTCCCTTGTCTCCCATCTTTGTATTTTCTTAGGTTTCAAAGGAAAACTAAGAAATATTGACGAAAAAGGCAAATGGCTTCGTTTGACATTCGACATAGAAGATGTCTATAGAGAAAGCGCAACGAAAAAGATTACAAAAAGGACGCGGCGCATCGTGTATTCTAAAAGCACCGAATGCGACTGCCCCAGATTTGCAAGAAAAATCGACAGTGATTTCCTCATAATGGGTACAGACCATGGCCTCCTGGGTTCAAACCAGGTAAAAATGGGTGCAAGTGTGTTTGTCAAAGAATTGCCACGGAACAGCGCCGACTTTTTCAGGGAGTTTTTGAGAACTCTTAAAAAGGGTTGTTGAAGAACGGTTTAAAGTGACTGATAAAATATAAGATTACAGTATAATAACTAAGCAAAGTTTAAGAACAGTGATTTTCTGACATAATTTAGATTCCTAAACAGTAAAATAACTAAAATTGTCAAGAAGAAAAGTAAAAGTAAAATATGCTTCACGTTTCCATTGTGATATGAATTCATGACGCCACGACTTCTAGAGTTCTCAATTTAATGGATAGTATCGTCTCATTGTTTTACCTTTAACTTCAAACTACCCTCTCCTCCCTCCGATCTTTTTTACCACACATTAGCGAGGTTGAAGACAGGTCCCACCAGTTCCATATGCTCTCCGGTGTTACATTAGAGGGCTTTAGAGGCCAAAGCCCGAGCACGCACTTTTTCGTTGAATGAGTTTGTAGTGCATTATGATCATACCTATTGCTGATATCAGTATGAATTTCGTGAGGCCTTCATACTTAAGAACGTTTTGAAAATAGGTTTCTGGAACTTTTATTTTATTGGCGTAAAGCAAGTAATTTATTCTGGAGACTTGCTTCAAGAATAAACAGAGCATTGCTCTACTTCACTTTGCATATATTGCAAATAGGTAATAAAAGAATATATGATTTGATGATACATTAGACGATTAGATTCGTGTTATACTTACTTCGTTCCAGGCTACTTCCTCCAGCACGCGGTCAAATTCAAAAAGAGGGACTTTGGCACATAACTAGCACAACATCGTTGCATGCATAACAAAGAAATTTTGTGGCTAAAACCGCAAAATGCTTGTTGCTGAACCTTTTCTAGTGGAAAGGTTACTTTCATAACGCTTTCACATGATCGCCCTGCGAGAGAAAGTCTTCAAAAAATCTCCCTGCGTTTGAATTTGGAGGTTAGCAGTTCACGTTTGCTTTTGGAGTGAGTATTTATTACTTCTGTATAGTGTATACTGCTGTAGTTTTCAATATTTTCTCGTTTAAGTAGACTTTATTAACAGTAATAAAGTATATCAAGATGAGTAAGCATTAAATATAGCTTTTTCTTTTCAATTTTTATGAGCATATCAAAATCGGTTATTAAAAGATAAGAAATTTAGGCCATGACACGACAACATCTGTTTTAACTTGTAATACTCCTCAACTGAACACAAATTATGATTTGTCCATTCATGTTTTAGCTGAAATCTTTTGTAAACATTTATCGGTTCAATAAATCACGTCGGTAACAGTATTATGCGACTGAACTCTTTTAAGAGATGTTTTGAGTGTGCGCTAATTTTTTTCCCTCGCTTGTGTATTATGTCGTGGGCTTGCCATAAAAAAGAAACTGTCATATTGTCCTAAATATGAAGGTCAGATATTGGTAATAAACTATCTTAATGTTGGGAAATAAACGTTGCATAACCTAAATTCATACAGGGATGTTATTTGATATTTGTACGTTGAACTGTGACCCATATAAGTTTATTGTCTTTACTGAAGGAAATGAGTTTACGACGCTCGCTTTGGTGTGTGTAAACTTGGGATTTGCAAGTGGCTAAAAAGCTACGTATAATATATCGCTGAAGAATGATAACTGACTGAATATGGAGGATGCAGTTGAATCACTGATTGTGGAGGAAGAAAGCAAGAAATTGATCAAAAGCAAGTCTATATTTCAACGTTTTCGAAATAAGAGCGTAACTGAGAATAATAACCCTACAGACAGCAAGCTTTCAACACTCAAGAGTGACAGCATGAACCCTAATGAAGATCATGTAGACAGCGAGAATTCATCACCTCACACTAATGGAGTAAAGGAAAGTATACTGAATGGAATAAAAGAGAAGGATGGTTCTCCACCACAGAAAAATAGCTCATGCCTCTTGCTACGACTTTTTGAATCTAAGTTGTTTGAAATGTCAATAGCAATGTCATATCTCTTCAAGTCAAAAGAGTCAGGTGTACAAGCCTACTTGGGGAATAAGCTCTTTGTAAGTGTTTATTATTTAAAAAGTTTAGGGAAATAAGTTGACCTGTCAAAAATGGCAATGTATGTATGTATATATGTATGTATTTAACTAGAGTAGGCTGAATTACATTATGTGGTTTGCAGCACTTTTGAACATGAAACAAGAGCTTGACTTATTTTCATTTTAAAACTGTTAATTTTACTATTATCATATGATGCAGATTTGTGAGTAATTATTATTTCACTAGCAAAAGCTTTTTCGATCTTTTATATCTGTTATTCTATGATAATAATATTTTTGTTGTAGATTAAGTAATGAAGACATTCAAAACAGTTCATTTCTTCAGGATGTACAGTTGACAATTAAAACAATTATAGCAGTCTCATTAACAGAAAATTTTCTTCATATTCCTAGAGTCTTGATCGCTCTGATGTGGATAAATACTTGCCTCAACTTGTGTAAGTAGCTTTTGATTCTTCTATTCCCAATTATTATTAAAAATTATTTAGAATATAAGTCATATGTACTTTACAATTTACCCCAATGTTCCTGAACATTGAATATATTAGTTATTTTGTATTGTTATATTGAATACAATAAATACAAAAATATCCCCAAATGTGCATTATTTATCATATTTTTAAAATAAAAATGTAGAAATATGTACATACACATGGAGGATGTTGCCTTTGCAATCTATCATTATTTCACGGAGCGTGCAAAGACTGATGTGGAATTCGCTGTCCAGGTATGTATTGACATGTAAGATGTAACACTTGCCAATTTACTTATTACATGATTATATTCATAGGCCACATGATCTGTTCATTTTTGGCTCTGACAGGTTTTAACATGTAATAAGCAAATTGGTAATACAGTCTAAATTGTAGTAAATATTAGTACAAATAGAAGAGACAAACTAGAGACAACACATTTTTTAAAATTGTTCCAGCTTTCCTGGTTACTTGAAGCCCATTGTGCTGATGGCTGGCTGCCCAGTCGTGAACATCAAAGAGGACTGAAACTTGTTAAGAAAATTCTAGAGGAAAGCACCAAACAAAAGTAAATATTTTGTATTTTTTTATATATCTATTGTCTATGAAATACATGAATGCTTGGAAATACGGAATTTATTTCTTGTGTTGAAAATTCTCACTCGTTTGCTGCGCTTACTCATTCAATATTATTCTCAACACTCGAAATAAATTCCATATGCCAATTCCTTTTTATGCCTGCAGTAACTTCTAGTCAAATTATTGCATGACCTGCTGGGCACTACATTTGTTTCATTATTCTTAGAATGTCAACAGCACACACAGTAAATGGCCATCAGCCAACATCCAGTCATAAGAAAATCAGCCATCAAAGATCAAGATCAGATGCAACTGCTGCAATTGTTACCTCTAATGTTTTTCAAGGGGTAAGACACCATTTTAACTTGAAATATTGAAGAAATTTTAACATCTCTTAACATGTCAGTAGTGGTGATCTAAGTAATCACATATTTCCTCTTCCTGATCCTTCCAATATGCAATTGTTTTACAATATTTCAGGCTCGTTGCCAAAATGTTGTAAGATCCCTTTTATTCCCACTTTTGCTTTTTTCTGTCTCTAATCTTTTTTCGTATTCGGTATTGACATTGACAGTCTTCACCATAGTCTATTACTGTATTAGTATCACTTACTATCATAACCTGTAATGTTGATAATATTGTGAATTTTAATTATCATTGTAGTGTGTACACACAAAAAATAGCCTTAGGTTATGTAAAAGATTTATATAAAGGTTTATTGTTGCAAGTATAGCTACATATATATTTAATTCCCAAATAAAGTTTTCATTTTAATTATTTAAGGTATACATTGTATATAGTTCTAAATCTTCTATAGTTTTAAATGAATGTGAGCTGAAGTTTATTTTCATAAAAATAAGAAACATGCTAAATTTCAGTAATTTTTAATAAAAAAGCCCACCCACTGTTTTGAGTGGAGCCAATCTGCAGATACATTTTCTATGATAATTATTATAATCATTATATTATATGATTTTTAATTATAGCATACTACCTTTAATGGCATTTTATTTTGTTAACAGACAACACCATTCAACAGTTCATCAGGAGATCTAAGATATGGTCATGCCTTTGATAGCTACTGCAGTAAACACACACATTTTGTACCATCAAACTCAGCTTCAACAACTGTCTTAGAACAACTTGCCAGAATGCACTCAGAATGTGACTGTCAGGTATGATAATAGTAGCAGAGGAACTTAACCTTTACATAGAATCAACTTGAGTACTCAGAATCTCTCGAATTTTGTTTTCCTTAGAAGATTCTGAAAAATATCTGGTACACAAGTTTGTACCTTCTGTAAACTGCTCCATATATATTGTATGTTTCTGCATGTATATAAAATACATATAAAGACAAACAATATAGATTATCTCTATGAACAAGGTCCAGAAGATTAAAATATTACAATTAGTCACCAAAGGCAAGGTGATTACAAGCCTATATTCACTGAGCCAAAAAAATTTGAGGTGTTTACAAATATTAATCAACACAATTTCATAAAAAATTCAAATTTCTTATTTAAAAAAAAGCATCAAAAAGCTATGATACCAGTGACTACGTACCACTTCAGAGACAGTGAATTTCGACCAATCAGAATGCAGGAAAATCGATAGTCACCTCAAAATTTATACTAATGATTTGATATCCAAATATTCCATCTCTGGTCTATAGGGTCCAAGGTTGGTGGCACAAAGGGAATTTGTTCATGCACTTGTAGCTACTGGAGAGAAACTCAGAGGACTGGCAACAAAAGATCTAAAAGGTACTGTTAGTATATAACATACAGTTTGTATACTTTTTGTAATATATGATCCTGTATATTGTTTTTCTGATTTGTAAACTATTTCAACTTGTATTTTTTCTAGTATCGGCGTTATATGCTGAACTGTCTCTTCTTAACCTAAACCTACCAGCCAGAGTATTTCTACCAATATTTCCAATTCCATTTAAACATCATGTTGTTAGAATACCCCATACTGTTGCTGCCGTTCTGAACTCCAAAGACAAGGTCAGTAAAGATACTCTGTAAATTTCTTATTGCATACAACAAAAATACTTCTTCTTAATTGTTGTGGTTGTTTATGTTGTTTAAGCATGAACAAACAAGGCTTCTAGTTGTTGAGTCTAGTATGGTATAATATTTAATCAACAACGCCTAGTTATTGTACAAGCTTATATAGTCATGCATCTAATAATATTAATATGCTAATTATTCCCAATCCTACTGTTATGTTAATACTTTAGTGTTAGTGAATGTCTAATAGTTACTACATCTCCCCCTTTTCAGATAATAGTCCTACGTTTTTTTTATAGTTCTGAATCATTTATAAATTAACTAAAGTTTCTATGTTTTCTCTCATATACTATAATATTTCTATTCTATACTTATATACAGAAGTCCTTCAAGCTTCTCTCAAATACTGAAATCTTCCTCCGTTTTGATCTGCGCAGTCCCTGTACTTCATCTTCTTCTCCGTTCTGGTTTCGTCTTTGTTGGATGTTACATTGTTCAGATTGTCCTGGCTGATCTGGTTGCTGATCAGATTGTCCTGGCTGTTCTGGTTGCTGATCAGATTGTCCTGGCTGTTCTCTCGTGGGTGGATATGGGCCATCTGATGCTGGTGGGACTCGTAATGGGTTTTGGTCATCCCTCTTGGAAACTTCGGGTTCTTTCAGTCGCTTAAATCTCGATATATCTCGACATTTGACTTTCCCATCTTTCATCCTTTCTGCAACGACTCTTGATCCTTTAATTCCAGTCACTCTATATATGTGCGGTTCAAATGGAGTGTCTCCTTTCTTCTTCTTCTCCCTTTTCACGATAACAGCATCACCGACTTTCAATTGATATGTTGTTACTCGATGTCGTTTATCGTGATTTATCTTTGCTTTCTCTTTATAAACTTTGTCCTTGTATCCCATCCTCGTCGTCAAATGTTGAGTCTAGTATGGTATAATATTTAATCAACAACGCCTAGTTATTGTACAAGCTTATATAGTCATGCATCTAATAATATTAATATGCTAATTATTCCCAATCCTACTGTTATGTTAATACTTTAGTGTTAGTGAATGTCTAATAGTTACTACACTAGTCATCAGCTTTTGCCGAAATATACTTCTCCTTATACTACAGAAATACATTTTCAGTTTTTGCTTCTACAAAACCTTAAAATAATTGTCGTTCCTGATCTCTGCAGGCGCCATATTTGATCTATGTTGAAGTCTTAGAATCTCATACTCCTGATTCATCACCAAATCCAGCAAAGAGATTAGACAATACGTCTCTTCGTCAAACACGGTACCTATGTGCTTTACTCTGGGATGTAACTAACTTATTTGTATGATTACTTTTTAAACTCGATTATTGCGCAGCGTAACGTTACAGTAGCGCCATTAAAACCCGTTCTTTCGAATTTCCAGTTCTGAAGAAGCGCTTCCAACATTTTGTCGTTCGCGGTCGTCGTCGGTGAAATTTACTGTAAGTTTGTTTTTCTTCTCCGAATGTGCTAATAGCTTCACATTATCGATAGGAATAAACCTGGAACCAAAGGAATTCAGAATGTCGAGATTGCGGCAACTCCCTCATAATTTCACCTCCGAAAATACTAAGATCAGTCAAAAAACAGGCATCCAGGTTTATTCATATCAAACCTCGTGGGATCCTACATAGGATCTTGTTTGTGTAGATCCTATTGTAGGATTTTACTGGATCCCACGCAGTAGGATCTTGCATGAAATTCTAACCTTTAATAGCTACATTAGACGTGAGTGAAAACGTTGGACATGAGGCTCCTGTAGTATTCCACAAGAATCCTATTAGATTATTTTACCAAGGCTCTGATAAAAACCAGTTATGTAGATATCGATTCCTCTGCGAATTTTGCAATATTCCATCAGTATCTCTTAGTGAGTGTACAGTAGATGCACGAGAGTCATGCTTATTTTTCCTACGTACATACATATATCAACAGGTGAATGGTGACTCGGATGACGATGTTTGGTCAGGTGTGGTTGAGGAGCAGAAAGAAAATGGACCAAAATGCGATGAAACGGTGAGAAAAATAAAATGACCTAAAATCTTTAATCTGAATAATACAAGAGTCTTCCTACTGTTTAAATGGGATTGACGACGGTTGACGCTGTTTGGGACTAACATTGCTTAACACTCTCTGAGGGACGACTCTAGACTGATGCGAATGAATAACTCAAAAATTTCAACGGAATTACCAACGAAATTGGTAAAAAATAAGACTACAGTAGCTTCCAAGACACACTTGGTATAAAAAGACACATGCACTGACACGATAATAAAGTAGAGAAGGTCAAATTCGAAATTAGTAAGGTCGAATATACTGAAATATGGACCCCCATACACCTGGAAGTGATGCAGTATACTTCAAAATATCTAATCAATCAGCCGAACTGATGGATTCAGCCCCAGGTTTAACGATAGTGCACAATTTTCAAATAAAATTTGATTTTGTCAAGTTCGATCCAACAACGTCAACCATTACCACCAATACGCCCCGTTTGAACGACGCTCTTTACTCCTCTTATACATTACGTTCATGGTAGCGATATTTGATCAAACTTATTGTCCACAGCTGTCCAGTTTGAGTCTATCACATAGGGTGAAACCAGAACTTACTAATCCTACTGACTGAGTTGCTGTTTAGGGCTAATAATACAGTATCTTTCTCTGAGTGCTCTAGTGTAACAGTACTATAATATCAATTTTACATACAAATGCTTTAGCATTCATGTTACATGTACGTGCAAAAATTTGAGAGAGTATATGAGCATTGAAAGTCAGCAATGACAACAATTTCCTAATGTTTAGGACTCCGTGTATATTGCTGCTGGTGACGTTCGTAAGAGACTAAGTCAACAGCTCACAGCACCAAGGAAGACAAGATTTAATAAGGATCCAGATGATCCATCAGGTACACTGATTTACTTTTATGTATCTTCACAACGAATTTTAAAGTTCGATGTCGTTCTTAACTCTTTTTTGGTTATCGAGACCAATTTTTGTGTAAACTTTGTTTCATCCCTTTAGCATCAGTTTTAAAAGAACCGTTTGCAGAGAAAGAATCTAGAATCAGAGCCAATTCTCCATACGGACATCTTCCTAATTGGAATATCCTTTCAAAATATACAACATACACCAGATGCCGGTTGTATAAGAAGGCTGGACAGCACTATCATTGAGTATCATTGAGATAGTGAATTTTACTGTGGAGCGATTAAAAAAAACACTATCCGGTGGATAGCGCTATCCAGCTTTCGTACAACCGGCCCCAGAATATCAGATTTGATAAAACAAGAGTAGATTAGACAATATCTTCAAGCTTGCAGATATGATCTATCATTGAGTATGTTAATTCCTTGACGTTTTCCACGATTATTATCAGTAATTGTTAAAGTTGGGGATGATCTACGACAGGAATTACTCGCTTATCAACTTCTCCGACAGTTTCAGGTAAGAAATATACGTAATAAAAGATCCCTATATAGCTGATGACAATTTAGGGTGGCGTTGCCGTGGTTTCTGCGCATCACTTCTGCTGATGAATCCATAATGTGAATTGTCAACGAATTTTTCTGAAAATAAAACCATATCGTATTAATTCCCGAGCCGGAGCGCTGTGCCAGGGTACTAATCCCATTGGGAGATTTTTTGCGCCCGGGTATTTTTACCGAACATAGCCGCATCCAAAGTTGTCCAAATTCTATGTCACGGACGGTCGACCTTGGATAGTTTTGTTAGTCATGCGCATGCGCAAAATTTTGAGCGAGTGAAGACTGATAATCAGCAAATTTCTGATTGACTAAGATACAAAGTTTGTATTTCAATGAGAACGTCAACATTTTAACTTTCATCACACAAAAAAAAATTATTGTTTTATTTTGTTTTATTTCGCTATATAGAAATACATGCATGCAGCAACCCCTTGCCATTTCAAACAAAGCAAATAATTTCCTAAGCTTGCAAGACATAATCTTATATTATGAAATGACTCAATTGAGTCGCTGATATAAAACTAAAAGAAAAATGAAGTAAACATCTTCTGTTTTCCAGCAGCATTTAGAAGGCAGTTGATGGACTCTAATAACTTTAGTAACGGTTAAAAATTAAAGTTCAAAACATCAAAATAGTAGCTACAAATCCTCATGTACTATAAAACGCCGAATATTTTTCTTCGAATATTTATGCAGTGATCGGTGGAGTCGATACTTGTCCTATGAAAATTCAAAATTACACTTTCAAAAACTCTTTTTAAATAGTCGGTTGTGTCTAGGCAAAAACGTCATACACAAATAAACTGCATCCTGACAGCAAATACGGAATAAACAAAATACACACCTATACCTGTTTAAATGTTGTTAACCTGTTTTTATGGTTGTATTTCCATGAGTTTATAACTCATTTTCCATTTAGGCCCTATGGAAAGAAGAGAAAGTACCGTTATGGCTGAAACCTTATGCTGTCGTTGTTACGTCGAACGAAAGTGGTTTTATTGAACCAATCGTTGACGCTGTGTCTTTACATCAGATCAAGAAGCACAGTCAGATGTCTTTGCTCAACTATTTTATCAAGGTTCAGTGCATGTTTATGAAGAATATTTTCACTTGTTTGCGTGTATTTCTGGGGAACTGGGCAATAATCGTCATACTATACAAATATACTTACTTTCCTTGTATTGTTAGGAACATGGTGATGTGAATTCAGAAGAGTTTCTTTCAGCACAAGAAAACTTTGTTCAAAGTTGTGCTGCCTATTGTCTTATTTGCTATATACTTCAAGTCAAAGACAGGTAGGAATAAGTAGAAATATAGAGTAAACGTTTGGCAGGAAGAGCTCCTGTGCTTACAGGGAAAACTGTTGTGTTGGTGGGAGGGTTCATTGACTGGGCAGGGAAGCTAGTGCACTGATTGTGCAAGCCTTCGCAGGCTGGAGGAGCTGCCTCCTGGGCGATAGAGACTGCTTCACAGGCTGTAGGAGCTGCCTTCTGGGCGGTAGAGAGTAGGTGTCATGGAACAAGCTACGTACAATGATAAATAACTGTTCGTTTCATTCTATTCCAGACACAATGGCAACATCTTACTGGATGCCGAAGGTCACATCATTCATATCGACTTTGGTTTTATTTTATCTTCGTCTCCTGGGAGTAACTTTGGATTTGAAAGTTCACCTTTTAAACTCACCCACGAATTTGTGGAGGTAAACTTCAGGAAATTTGAACCCTCAGGAAATTTGAAACCTCAAGAAATTTGAACGTTACCATGGATGAGCAACAGTTAGTTCAGTTTTATTGTCTTTAGGTCATGGGCGGTGTTGACAGTGATATGTACAACTTTTTTAAAATTCTTATGCTTCGCGGATTCTTGGCCGCCCGAAAGAACATGGAGAAATGTCTGGAGCTTGTGGAAATCATGCAGACAGGTAGGTGAAATTGTGTGTGGAAATTGGTGAAGAAAAATTAGCCAAATTTTGAGGTTCAACGATTTTCTGGAGGATTTTGTTGGATCAAATTAGATTACCATTTATTGACTGTGTGTGCCCATGTGAATTTTTGTCTGTCGAGGCTAAACAGTGCCTTCAGAGATAGTGTATGCTGTTAAATTTGTTTGCAGTTTTTTTAAGAGCACTCTTGCTGACTTCAACCGACGTCAACAACGTCTGGCTTTTTAAAATTTAGCAAACATTCACATTTAACTGGGAACGTATGTGTTTATTCCGTTAGGCTCCCAACTGCCGTGTTTTGTTCGTGGTTCGTCCACAGTACGCGCCATGCGAGAACGTTTTCACTTAAACTTAACCGAAGAACAACTCAGTGAACTCATTGATAGGATGGTTGAGACTAGCATGAATTCTATAACCACTAAAATATACGATGGTTATCAATACATAACTAACGGCATATTATGACGTCATCACAACTGATTTCATACCATGAATGAGTGGGTGTGTCTTGCTGGAATGGTTGAGTAAGAATGGCGATTGTCGTAACTCGTAAGAATCAATCATCGCATGGGACACTATGCCGCAATTTGGGTTATATACACCAATGAAGGTCTGGTCGTATGTCTGAATCCTTTTAAATCTAGAAAAGGGAAAGTTGTGAAAAGTTCTAACCGTAATAAGTTCTAGTTTTATTGGTGGTTAGCTGAAGTGGTTAACAATTAATATGATGATGGTGATCATAAAGATAGTAATAATGAAGGCCGTTGATTAAACACGACTTTTCGAAGTATTCGCAAATATCAAGTAATATTTCATGTCGTAACATGGTGTCGTCTTTGATAGAGAAAAAAAATTAACAAATGTTAACTTAACAAAACTTATAACAGAATGAAAAACAGGTGATGGGATATCTTAAAACGGATTACAGACAATATCAAATCCTTGACCGAAAATGGAATAAGAAGGGACAGGGGTTATTTTAAGACCGTTAATCCGCTGCACACATAAAACGCGGTGAAACACACCATACTTATTCCAAAGATCCTAAATATTTGTTACTGGTCACTATACTTAAAATAGCCCCTGTATGAGAGGACTATAATATTGTCCTGTTTGGTTTACAGGATAATATTTGGTGTCCTTTAAGAGGTTATTTTCTAAAGGATGTGTCATATACGCGGGTCCTGAAATGTTAAAAAAGCAGACAATTTTGTATATATATATATGAGAAGAAAAATATTTTTTGGTACATGTATATACCTGTTTCATAGTAGCTCGAATATTTTAATCGTCTGCAATTATAAATGGTTTGAGCAGTCTGGTCCTACCGCGCTTATATAGAAATATGAAATTGTAAATATAATATGAATCTTGCAAAATATTAGATATAATATGGACATTTTTAACTTTTGTGGTCGTTTTGTTTGAGTTTGTGCGATAATTCCTACCACATCCTTAAACCCATCCTATATAAAAGCCCCTATAATGCATGTAGTTCTAAACTGATAGCACTGAATTTAAGCCATCTCGTAGCAATAAATGGGATGATCCAAGATTACGCGGTGTTTTTTTAATAGAATAATAAATAATACAGCAGCTGAAAAGGGCATCTTCAATTTAAAATAGCAGATTCAATGGTTTCTATACATAAAATACAGTGACATTATATAAACTCGAATTATTTAGCATCCGAGACCTGCTTGTTCACGGCCGTCGTAAAAATGGTGTAGCGTTTGTTAGAAAAGTGCATTTTATGTAGAGTTTCGATGTATTGCTATACTCGTTTATATATATGATAAGTTGTGCATTAGATTTCTTGGGTTAGTATGATATGCTTTTAAAACGGTACTCGCGCTTACCGGATACCCCGGATATCCAACTGATGTGTCACCTGCTAATAATTATACCCAACACTATGAATGTCGCATGATAAGTTCATCGGGAAGTTCATCCCCTCCCTCCTTGAAAATTGAAGCGAGTCTCATGACTTCGTGTTGGTATCAAACAGTTTAAAAATAGAGCTCCTAAATATGGATAAATATTTCTGGAAGAATCATTGTCCGTTGGCATTCCTCGCGGTGTATAAAGAATCAGTCACTTTATATGCATGATCGATGATTTCATTTCGCTTGCATTATGTCTGCTCAGGAAGTATAATATATGGCACTCGAAACTAACGCGGCAAGTTTGCAGGTCAATAATAATAGGTTTGGTTATTAATAACCTGCACAAGAGCATCCCAATCTTTCATTGTTGCGAATACCGACACGGTCACCTTAAACTCCATAACGCATTGATTACAACATCAACCCTTATAAATGGGTAACATTCTGAAAATGATATGGTATATCATAGGTCTTGAGAATGATATACTATACGTTCAAAATTGAGATCCGCGACATCACGTCTTACATGAGAATTTTCTAGTGGTCTCACATGAAAAATAATTGTATAGGCGCTGGCTAAATTGCTGTAAACAAAAAATCACATGACGTTTAACACCAAAAAGTGTTACCCGTTATTTTAACAGGACAACATGCACATGTGAGTAAATTCTTGCTTCCGTGTTGATGCAAGTCTGATTAATTAATTGCAAATCTGACCAGTAGACCTCTTCTGTGATTTCGGTCTGACCCGTTATATTCTTTTCTCCTATTTCCCTCGTATAATTAAATATCTTGAATGGCTATATAGTATTGGCAAAGCTATAGGGTTAGTGACGCTCGAATATTAGTAGAACCGACAAATAATTATGTGTGAAATCACCTAATATAGCCAAGAAAAGGAATGATCTCAAATAACCGAAAATACAAACCAAACTCCCCGTGAAATTCCTATGATTTCAATAACATCATTTTTCACACAAAGCAAGGTCTTTATATATAACTAAAGGAAACTGCTACACCAAAAACTGCGTGTATTCGGCAACGTTAATGTTCTTTCATTTTCTTTAATGTTCCAAATTTTTCCTGATAATTTGCATAAATATGAAAGATAGACAAGTACCCGATTGACAAACGTCTTGAACGCTCCTTGACCATAGTTTGAGATACTTTCAAAGTTATGACATGTGCTTCCTGTAGACGGTGGGAATCTGAAAATCGTGCCAAAAGCACACAGCAAATTTCATTTTGAAATGCTGCTTTGAGTGCTTTGTGCATGTGCCTTTCACTTTTGTGATCGAATTTGATTCCTTCATTATATATATCTAGTTACCTTGTAAACCCTTTATTTTATTGTGGAAAATGTTTCCATGCAGTTCATGCAGACCCTTCACTACAGGTTTTTCCCGGTACTCCTGTTTTCACTTGAGGTAATATTCTGTGCCAATATTCTGAAGAACATATAGTTCAACATCTCACAAGATCGACTGAAAGAAGTTGGTTTATAATTATAGTATATATGCATATATATAAATATATATATAGTCTATCTATATATATATATGAATATGTGCTGATTAAATGAAGTTGTAACATTGATATATGTTTAGTTTTTTAATAAAGTATATACTTTCCGTAAATCTACAGTTAACCTAAATTTCGTGGTAGCTTCACAGAGAACATTGTAAAAGTTTACTCTGGGATATTTCACAATACCAATCAACGCTAATCGATATTAAGTTCTTATCCAGAACAAATGTCGTTATAGCGAAGAAGTCAATATCGAATCTCTCGTCTCAAACTCCTCCGCAGCCACGGTATGTTATTGAACGCTGAGCTCTCGATTAAGTACTGACAATTATCTCTTTAACGTTGATATTGGTGTGTGCTAACTTCACAAAGAAATACGCTTGTACGAATGAATTGCAGATTTTAGATCGTCTTATATGATATAAATTGTTGCATGTGATATATACTGAGGGTTTTATAACCGTGATTTTGTAACTAGGACTAAAGCACGAGCATTGTAAGTTGATTTGACATGCAATAGCGATAGAAAATACTGGTTATAGCGACCATGCGGTCAAAATTTTATATTTTTCACTATACGAAGTTTATCATATATAGGTGCTGAATTCTGTTCTAAATCTTTCCATAGCTTATAAGTATGACAGTTTCACATGAAACTTTTACGCTGTCCATGCAGCTCTATTTTCTGACTATATAACTGAAATAGTTGTTATTATGTAATTAAATATGTGTTTATGTATGCTATCAACAATATAAAGTTCCTGGTGGTTGATTACATGAAGCATAGGGTGCACTAGCTGATATTACTGCCCCGATTTGCCATAAAATCCTAATAAAAAACATTGCGTGATTATATGAGAAACGTCAGTGCTGGAATTATGGAAATTTCCGCCATCTTAGAGCACTTGATGGGGCAACTCGCTGGTAATTTGTCCTTCTATTTCATTTTTACAATGCATACATGCATGGCTGGAGTTATTCAAAGGAATATCAACGATTTTCGTGAATAGTTTCCTACCTTTAACAATCCCGATCAACGAGACTAAATCAACCTCATGCAGCCATGCGTGTATACCCCCCCCCTGTATAATTTCCCCATGACAGTATTTAGAATAGAGCTTGAATCTTGGTGATGCGTTGGATAAATATGACACGTCGCATTTTGAATGAAAAATCTTGAAAGCAATATTCTCGTTGGGAAATTCCCTCCAAAACATGTTTAAATATACTAGAAATATTTTGCTATACGTGTCTCAAACATCAAGACATGCATGCAAGATAAACACTTGCGCAATCTCTCAGCAACACTTGGAATTTCCGCTGAGAAGAGGAAGTAAGCTGGTTGATTTTTTCGTGTGGTCTGTTAGGGATTCTTTCAATGTCTATTTTCTGTTCTAATTTATATTGTCATCGTCTGCAAGTCTGATCTGCATGTCTCTTTTGTGACCTCGGTAAATCCTAAATAGAAAGTTCTTTGAAGTGGTATGAATAAAAATAACTTCTTTTTTTTAAGAATCTCTTTCATGAAGATTTGATAAATGTCATGCAACGTGTTTAACCGTTACCATGCAAAGAAGCGCTATCATGTCTTATTTAAGGTTCAACCTGCACCACATGCGGTTCCTGGATTAAGAAGTATGTACGCATGCATTGAAAATTGTATGTGCCAAAAAGGTGGCGATAATTTGAACTAATTTTAATCCTTGTAAACGTCATTGCTCATATTCATCGTCGAAATTGTATGCATAGACTGTCTTAGACACGCTTATTTGTGAAATAATTCGTAAAATGCCAAAGCGGCCCATGTTGATGTTACACATATGTACATGCTGTGATTATTGCAGCTGGAAAAGGAACCCCAACCCCGTTTATAGAGACGAAATCGTTAGATATATAAAAATGACAACATCTAATGGATGTTGCATACACTGATTCAAATTGAAATCTTCGGTACTCCATATTTTGAATATGCTCTTACTAAATCTGTAATCTACAAGTTGATTTTAACATAAGGGGAAATATAACGTTTATTTTGTTTTTTGTGAAAAGAATGATGCTTTTAATTACAAAAATATAGTATTCCTAAATATAGTGCCAACACCTTGTACATGCATGCATCGATTTACTTTTGGATATGACGTTATTCTCCAAATGATTTACAATAAAGGTCTTTATCAGCATTATTTTCCTGTTTATTTCAATTTTGTTATGTTAATACATTTTTGAATATCTTAAAATTCACAAGGAAGTAATAAATGCAATTATTTTTGTAAAGTATAAAGGATTTTGACACTTTAATGGCACAGAAATGACACAGAGATAGCTCATCAATCACTCCGTTTTACTTCCTTGAAATTCTAACCGAAGAAAGACAAACTTATATAGGGACAGAACGATTACAAGCACATTG